TCAAACGGAGCCGCCGTGTGGGGCGGAGGAAAAAATGTAGGAAGCCGGCTGCTGAGTGGATTGCAAGAAGGTTGGTGCAAAAAAGAACGAGAACGCTTCGTGGGTTGGTTCCCGGAGGTGAATTTATGGATGAAGTGTCGTTAATTGAAGAAACCCTAGATTACATTTTGGCTCTTCAAACACAGGTTGATGTCATGCGGTGTCTTGCAACAACTGCATACGTAGCGCCACCATCATTATGAGTATCCAAATTTCTATTTCTTCTTTGGCCAACATTGGTATGATGAATGGATGGTGAAAGTTATGGGCTTTTTTTTTTTTGTTCTTTAAACATATGTATAGCTAATTGGGAGTTAAATGTAGTGATAATTTGAAAACATTATGTTGTACATATTAAATTTTATGTAAGTTAAGACATATATTATTACCCTTTTTAGAATTGGGTTTGTTTAAAAGTTTAAACTCATTTAATTTATACATATTATTGGATTGGGTATTCATTGGTGTGAGTGAAATATTTAGCATTGCGTGTATGAAGAAAGATGGTGAGAGTCGAAAATTGAATATTGTGTGTGTGTGGGGGGGTTTCCTATTGAAGGCATTTACTTGGGAAAGAGGGGTGTTGAGTGTGTGAAGGTTTTTCCCCAAATCCAAAGTTGATGGATGAGAGGGGGGGGGNTAAACTTCCCACCCGATTGATCGATGATATAGACATGGTAGAAACATTGCTACGCTATTTCTAGTTTGGTCGTGTCGTTGTTACTAACCCACTTACCCATTATCTCTCTCTCCCAATGGTACCTTCTAGTATCATGAAGTATCACATGATGCCATTCCAATTGATGTGTATGGGTAGAAGAATTAAATTTCAAATGGGTTTTTGTTGATTTCAGTGATGATGTGAGGTCACATGCAACAAGTACCAACGAGGATACTGGGTCTCGAAGAGTGTAGATTGTGAGATCTCACATCGACTGGAGAGGGGAACGAACGCCAACCAGGATGTTGGGCCCTGAAGAGAGTGAATTGTGAAATCCCACATTAGAACATTTTTATAAGGGTGTGAAAACCTTAAAAACTTTGAAGGAAAGCTCGAGTAGTGTTTATTCGTTAATGATATTTAGTTTGAAATAATGAAGCTATGGATTGTAAACACATCACCAAGGAATCCTTTACCTCTAATACTATTACTTACTCAAATGATTAGATTAGTGAAGATGTAATGTCTTTAGGAGATATCGGGAATATAATCATTAACAAAATCTCTTTAAATGTAACCTTTGAAATAAAGTTTTAAAGTACATTATTTTAAATCTAATTAGATAGGTTGATTAGCTAAGAAAATGATCAACAAAAAAAAAAAAAAAAAAAAAAAAAAATTAGGACGTTTGTATATGAAAAAAGTGTTATGTATGATGTTTATGAAAAAGTATTCGAAGTAGAAAAGTGTTATCGTCGAAGATGAAATTGTGGATAATTTTTTTTTAAAAAAAGTTTATTTATAGAAATTGTCTAAGTGAGAATGTCTCTTGGCTCATAAATCCCGATACGAGATTAGAATTCTAACTCTTCTAGAATAGTATCTCAGGATTACTCGGACTCTTTCGGCTCATACACCTTAATAGTCTGTTTCCCTTGTGAGCTTAAAATCACATCATTTAATGGGCTATTTTGGAAGCAACATAGCCCATGTGGTTGATTTGGCATAAAATGGGCCTATGTATATAACATAGTATGCTCCATTGATAGACTTCCTTTTATTGATTTACGTTGTTTGAGCTACATTTTAAAGCAATTAACTTACAAATTGACTATATTGTCCTTTAATAATATAACATCATGATTAAGGTTCATGATCCTTAATCACAGCCTTAAAAAAAGTTTAATTTAAAAGAGACTTTTAACATAATGAGATGCTACATCAAAACTTGAGGAGCATAATGATGATTTAGACACACCTTTAACCAATTTGCAAAATCACCCCTCGAAAGTCCACAATTGCCACCAACACCCAAAAGCCGAAGAAAATGAACACCTTAAGAAGATATTATATTGTTTGTTTTGGCCTGTTACTATTGTCGTTAGCCTCAACTCTACTATGAAAAAGTTTACACTTTTATAAAGAGTGGTTCGTTGTCCCGCTCGAATCAATAATATTATATCATTGTGGAGGGGTGTGATTTCTAACGAGTTATGCTTGAGCCATGCGTCCCCATTCCTTTTTGTCAGGATATAAGTTGTCCCAAGAAGCATGCTTTGGTTATTATGGCCAATTTCTTTTATGATCGAGAGTTCCTAAGTGGTGGCCCTTGGACAGCTCTTCCATGGAGACCTACCACTCCATCAGCTTTAGTTTTTTTGATGCTTAGCTCTACAGCTTCTGGTTTATATATGCGCCTGGATGTGACCTTTTCATTGCCCTTTATTTACCCCACGCACACCCCACAACTAAACTTGCTCTAAGCTAGCTCAGTTACTTCATTCTGGACCTCCAAATGGAACCCACAACTCCTTCGCCTGCACATCCTGAGACTATGGACATGCTTTCACGAGCATGGTGTAGTTTTGCTGTTCAAACTCTAAGCCCTGAGCTGCACCCTGACAAATCTCTAGCTCTCTTAGACACCCCCATCAAAGATCGTTCAGATCCTTTTCCAGTGAGTGCAACATTTCTTGTTTTCTGCCATTTGTTATGTTTCAGGAAGATTAAAGTAATCAATTATGGGATTTATTGATAGATTCAGAGAGTGCAGAAAACTGTAAAGATGGAAGCTGAAGATCATGTCAAATCCATACCAACATGGAAATCAAATGATATGAAGGTATCATGATTATAGTCAAATGATATGCTTGTTGAATTCATAAGCATCACTTTTTTTTTTCTTTTTCAGTCGTTTATATGGATGCAACAAGCAATGCATCCGGAGTTGAACTACAGCAGTAATTTCAGAAAGAAATGGGTAAGTTTATAGTTCAATAAGTTTATAAATTCAGTGGCAAATCTAATATAAATCCACTGTCCTTGCAGTTTCAATGGAAAATCGTGCCATTCAAGAACTTGTCAATAAAGAAATGGCTAAGTAACATAAGACAGAGTCGAAAAGATGAAAATAGGCTTCAGAGGGCTGAAATTCATGCAGCTATATCCGTGGCTGGTGTAGCAGCTGCACTTGCAGCCATTGCAGCCGACACCTCAAGATCGAAGGATCACAACTCAGGCTGCGGTAAGGAGGCTGCTGTGGCTTCTGCAGCCGCTTTAGTGGCAGCACAGTGCGAACAAGTGACCCAAGCAATGGGCGCCAAAAGAGAACAGCTTAGCAGTGTGATTGGGTCAGCCTTGAGCAGTACCACTGCCAGGGATATCCTCACGCTCACAGCTGCTGCTGCCACATGTAAAATATACTCATTCTGATATTCCAGCTTTGGAATCTTGTGTTGGGTTCATAATCAATGCCAAATCTTGTTCTTTCTTTTGCAGCCTTGAAAGGAGCAGCCACGCTTAAAGCAAGATCCGACTACAAAAACAAATCAACCGGAGGAGTTGCATCCGTGCTTCCTATAGAAGACAACCATGAGATTGAGATTGATTTCAATCTTGAAAAATCAAGATCCATGCTTGCTAAAGGTGTTCTTCTCAAAGTTGAGTCACCAAATGGTAAGAATATGCAGCTATTTCATTACATCAGAGAAAAATGACAGTCAAATCTTTATTTTCTTTTACTAAAAGATTGTATACCTTTTCTTTTTTCAGGAACGTACAAGAAGAGATCCATCTCCATCGTCCAAAACAACGACACGAAAGTGATTCTGAAGATCAGAAAGCTCAATATGTTGAAGACCAAACAAGAAAGTACGTTCTGTTATAAGATCAATACTTATGAAGGCTTTGATTCTACAAGCTTTGACTAATTAATTGATGTATGCAGGTGTGGTGTTAGATATGTTCGTCGAGTTATATAGGGATGAAGACGCAGGCGCCATTGACGACAACGATGAGGAGATTCATACATGTTATCTCATTGTTTTAACGACAAATAAGGGCACATTCAAGTTAGACATGGCTAATGATTATCAAAAGTATAAGATATGGGCAACCACTATAAATCAAATGCTCATGCTTTCTGCTCATTCTTTTACATGAGTATGAACCTTCGTGTTCTGATGTTATGGTGTTACTTCATGCATCTTACTGTGTTTCCTAAATTCAAAATTTGTAATTTAATCAGTACATACTTTTATCTTAATTTATATGAGAATATTCTTTTAGCATCCACGTTATTACTTTTGTAATGTGGTGCAATCATTCGTTCTGATACTATTTGTAACCGCCAAAGTCCACTGCTAACAGATATTGTCCACTTTGGCCTGTTACATATTGCCGTCAACCTCACATTTTTAAAACGTGTCTGTTAGGGAGAGATTTCCACACTCTTATAAAAAAATGTTTCGTTCTCCTCTCCAACCGATGTGGGATCTCACAATCCGCCCCCCTTCGGGGCTCAGCGTCTTTGCTGACACTCGTTCCCCTCTCCAATCGATGAAGGATCTCGTAACCCACCCCCCTTTGGGGCTTAGCATCTTCGCTGGCACACCACTTAGTGTCCACCCCCTTCGGAGCTAAGCGTCCTCTGCTGACACACTGTTCTATGTCTGCCTTTGATACCATTTGTAACGGCCCAAGCCTCTGCTAGCAAATATTGTCCTCTTTGGGTCTTCCCTTTTGGGCTTCCCCTCAAAGTTTTTAAAACGTGTCTATAAGGTTTCAACCTCCAATCGAGTTGGGATCTCACAATCCACCTCTCTTCGAGACCCAACATCCTCGCTGGCACACCGCTCCTCTAGGGAGAGGTTTCATCTCAATAGAGGTGGGATCTCAATAAAATCTTTCAGAAAGAAGAAAAGTGAACTCCAAGCCACTAAATGATTCTTATGTACATTGCTTCTACACACCACAATGGCTGACCCATATTTACAGCAAATAAAGGTCAAAATCAAACTACTAACAATGAAGTAAGGATTCAATCAAGAAAGATGAAAAGAAACATGAGTAAGGTCCAAACAGTATCAGCATACAGCCTCAGGGATTACATATTGATTAGCTACAGAAGAGAATGACCTGTGATAAGTTGATTATTGGAGCCCTCGCCTTTAATATCTGGCCAAGTGGTTCTGCAAGTTCCGGTTGACACAACGTGGAACTAAAGAGTGACATATATTCGGCGTTTCCCGGCAGAGATTGATTGATGGAAGTCTCTGGCAACAAAAGGAAACTCCCAGAGAAGTGTCGTCAACATGACACAACTCGAGCGATCGAAGCTGGGAGGTTAAGGGGGTAGCTTTTGATGGTGTCTCGTGAGAACGTTGGCCTATTGGAAGTAAAAAACTTTTTCTTGCAACTTCCTTAACGAGTGCTTTTTCAGGAAGCTTAACGAATGACACTATGCCATTGCGACAGAGCGGACAAGAAACTGAACCTGGAGGGCCACGAGAAATGGTTGTCCCCCAATTTGTAGAACAGAGGTATAAGGCACATCTAGTACAGAATTCATGATCACAACCTGCAGGGCATTGGATTTCTTATCAACCCTTCAACAACCCCACATACCAAAAGACGTAATAGCTAGCTGGGCTGACTACAGAATCTAACACTTCAAAGTTCATTACGTTTGTAACATTGAAGTTCAAACTTCTGCTCATACTCAGCAAACTTGTTAAAACTTTAATAGAACAATTTAGCAACAGAAATGATGTTCACATAAATAAGTTGGGTTATGCAAGATGAGGAAATAAGAACATAATTCTCAAGTCAAGTATATGATATTGTTAAGTTAATCATATACCTTCGGCAGCTACCGTGCACTTCCTCTCTAAACAGACAACGCATGGATCCTGGCATCCAGGGGCAGACTTACTATTCCATCCATATTCTCTGCAAATGGATCCAAAAGGGATTCAGATATCAATTTCACTCATCATGGCAGTAGAATGAACTACTACATTCATCATTGTGTGAAGGATAAGCAGTAGAATGAACATAACGAATTCCAGTTACCTAGAAATTTGAACAATACTCATAAGGGGCAGAGATAGGTAGCGAGAAGGAATAAGTTTTGGCCGGCCTACAGGCTCTGTGGAGAGAATGTCCTCGAGCCAACTTTTATGCCATGAGCGAGCGACCATCAAAGGTGTCCAACTGTGTGAGAACAAGAAAAAAAAAAGTTCAGTTTCTACACAACCACTACTGCTATCAATTTTAAGAAATAGTTCGCTAATGAGTGCCCAAGTAATTAAAAGAACCTAAGCTAATTTCTTATGTTCAGGAGGTGACCTGCTGTAACATGATCCAAACATAAAAAAGATTCTAGTTCACATAGTACAAAGAATAAGCCAACTGTATATTACGTACCCATTTTCATTTTCAGTGGTCAGGCTGGCACCCCATGCAATCAAAAGCTACAAGAATAGAAAACAGTAAGTAATATCCTTTCAAAGAGGAAAAAATAATACGTTCATTTGATCCCATTTCCGATTCTTTTCCTTTGAGTGAAGTACGTACTTTACAACATTTTGCATTACCACCGCATGCAGCATAATGAAGAGCTGTACTCCCAGGACCTACGAAAGTTGCAACAGACAGGCTGCTTATATCATCGCAAGGGATAAAAAATCAAACTTCTCAAGCATTCTTCACTTGCCCACAAAATAGAAGGACAAGGAAGCACATTTATAGAGGTAATGCCATAACTTCATAATCATGTTTTGTTGTTGTGAAAAGAAAGAGTTATAAACATGTAAGATGGTGAATTAGGAAGGAAAATAGAGGCTAACTTGGAAAAGAAGGCCTCAAGTTGAATTAGTGAAAGAGAAGACAAAAATTCAAAGGGAGAAACCTATTAGATCAATTACGGTTCCATCGCCTATAGTCACCTCAGAAACAGATGCCCCAAATTCCAGAAGTAACTGCACGCTTTCAGCTTGCGCATTAAGAGCCGCCATGTGTAGGGCGGTAATGCCTCCATCTGCTGATTGGTTGATAAACTGAGACAAGGCCCTGGAACACAAAATTATGATGTTAATGAACCATAGTAAGCATTTCAACCAGGAATTTTTCATGAAGAGGAATTCAACATGTACTTGTGATCAAACTCTGAGATTGGTTCTTCATTATCTCTTATTTGACTCATTATTTCCCTAAAATTCGGTATACTTGGAATATAATCAGCAAGAAGAAGCCTGATGCACCGGGAATGACCATTTGTAGCAGCTAGATGAAGTGCAGTGCCTCCATTCAAGTAATCTGCTTTATGGACCTAAAATGTGCAACAAATTTATGAATGACTAATAAGTTGCTCACATTATGAACGTGGCAGCTAACATGAATGATAAATTACTCACGTTGGCTCCAAAAAGTACTAAAATCAAAACAACTTCCCAGTGACCATGTTGACAAGCTTGCATCAAAGCAGTCTGTGTACCGAAGTGTAAGGCACGCAATGATGAACACAAGATACATAATGAATTTGAAGAAAGTGTTGAAGAAAGTGTAATACCTGACCCCTATAGTTCCTTAAATCAATGTCAACTCCAGACTGAAGCAAAAGATGGACTATCTGCAAACATGTAAGAACAAGCACAATGACAACAGCCTATAAGATTCTCTAATCTTAAAGGATTCTCTAATCTAAGGGAGCGTGTGAGATCCACGTCCATCGGTTGGGGGGAGAACGAAGCATTCTTTATAAGAGTGTGAAAATCTCTCCCTAGTAACGTGTTTTAAAAACCTTTATGGAAGCCCAAAAGGGCAGAGCAATGGCCTTGGGCCATTACAAATGGTATCAAAGTCAGACACCGAGCGATGTGCCAGTGAGGAGGTTGAGTCCCAAAGGGAAGTGGACACGAGCCAATGTGCCAACAAGGACGCTGAGTCGCGAAGGAGGGTGGATTGGAGGGGTCCCACATCAATTGGAAAAGGGAATGAGTGCCAGTGAGGACATTGAGATTCGAAGGGGGTGGATTGTGAGATTCCACATCGATTGGAGAGAGGATCAAAACATCTTTTATAAGAGCGTGGAGACCTCTCTCTAGCAGACGTGTTTTAAAAGTCTGGAGAGAAAGTCCGAAAATGACAATATTTGCTAGTAGTGAGCTTAGGCCGTTTCAAAGTCAGACTAGCAGCTTGAAAGAGAAAACCCAAAGAGAACAATATCTGCTAGCGGTAGGCTTGAGCCGTTACAAAGTGAGACTATCTTCAAAAATATTATGAGTCTGCATTTAAAGAGTGAAGTACCTCGTGATGGCCATGAGCAGCAGAGAAGTGGAGGGGGGAATTTCGAACACCAAAAGTAGAGTAGCGTGCCAACCGAGGATTACACTCCAACAAAGCCTGCGCTTCTTGAAAATCCCCATCTCTTGCAGCTGAAACTAAACGTTCCCCAGATGCAGAACATCCAAAGGAGTTTACCACAGCGCTTAAAAGTTTCATGGCACTCAGATGTTAAGAAACTAACAGCTTCGAAGCTCCAGAAAACTCCTTAAAATGGAACTGAACATCAGAAAATTCCTTAAAGTATGGATGGAAAAGCGACCTATCCATGCACCAAATATATATATATATATATATATTCGTTTCAAGCAAACAAATAACAACCAAATTTGAAATCTCCAGACATCCAAAAGGGTTGGTTGCAACTGCTAGAATTCCACTAACCCAAGATTCACCAACCTAAGATAATGATAGACGAGTAAAAAGAAAGCGGAATATCTAGGCTCGAACCAGCATAACCTGTTTTGGGGCTAATGAATAAGAAATTAACCAAATTTCGTGAACTCCGAGATGTCGGTAAGCAAAAAGTAGCTGATGAAATCAAAGGCAACCCAATTCCAAATACCCGATTTCCATCAATAACAAAAGAATCTCGGAACACGGACACTGATTCGGAGAAAATGTAACGAGCAATTTCGAGACATGCCAACAAGAAGTGTTTCTGAGAAAGCACTTCCACCTGGAAATCTCTGCAACTTCTCAGAGAAGATAGCCTAAGAAGAAAGGAAAGGTACGATGATTATAGAAGAATGTAGCGACATTGAATCATAATTTCCATAAAAGAAAGAAGGGAATGTGAAGAAGAAATCCCAAGTGGGAAATTGTTTTAATGGAGACGATGACCTTTTCCTACACAGCCTGAAAGCGTGTCCCAATGATTAGACATTATGTTCAGTCAACTCGGTAGTTGAATCGTTGTTTTCCTCTCCAGGCGTTGTCCCACCATTTCAGTGCTTGCCTCCATTCATTCTTCCAAATGATTGCTTCCCTCCATTTCTGAGCTTCGCCAGTACTTATTCGTACCTCCAAGCGTTGTTGTCGAATGCCAAATCCAACATTTGGGCGCCAAGTTTTGTTTATACTGCTCGATGATGAGAGCACACGGAAGGATGGCCCGGTCTGCTCCAATTTTTTTTTTTTTTTTTTTCTTTCCTCAAATTCTGACTAATTAATTTTTTTTTAGATTTTCAATATTAGCACGCTATATCATTAATTATAATTTATGATTTGTTAAGTTGAATGGGTGCATGCTTCTTGTTGATATCGTTATAATTTTTAATAATTCAGGCATAATGTTTAAGTCAAGAAAGTATTACCAACAAAAGTTAAGTTTGATTACGGGACAACTCAATTCATATCAAGTTACATTTTATAAACTCTGATTAAACCATTAAAACTAAATTTGTGTTTTAGCTTTAATGGTTAATAAAATAGTGTAGGGTAGTGTGAGATCCCACGTCCGTTGGAGAATAGAGCTAAACATTTTCCTTGCAGACACGTTTTTTAAACCGTGAAGTTGATGACAATACATAATAAGTCAAGCAATGAAAACTTCAACCACATTGGTTGGGGAGGAGAACGAAACAATTGATATAAGCGTGTAGAAACCTCTTCCTAGCATGATAGTGACACGTAACAAACAAAGCAATGGAAACTGGGAACGAAGTATTCTTTATAAGTGTGTAGAAACATCCTCTTAGCAGACGCATATTGAAATTGTAAAGGCTGACACGTAACGAACCAAGCAGTGGGAATTTCTCCCTATTAGATGCGTCTTGAAACAGTGAGGCTGATAGTGATATGTAACGAGCCAAGCAGTGGACACTTCTTCCTAGCAACGTATTTAAAAACTGTAAAGCTGACAACGATACAATATGTAACAAGCCGATATAACGTGAAAACGTGTCCCTTGGTCAAAAAAGATTGTAGTGAGGAGGTTGGGCATATGTGTTTGAATTTTACCAAATCCCTTTGAAATGTTTGATTAGGGAAACAAAGTCAAATTAGAAGGTGAGTTTCAAGTGTACCTGCTACATCGTTTGATGTCACCACATTACATGAGCATCCGACACTTGTGCCACACCCACATGATTTAAATTTTGTTTTGACTCTAGTAGATACTACGTCACACAAAGTCAAAAGAAAGAAGCAGACAACAATGTGGAGGCTCCCTTCTGTGCGCCTGATCTGTCTCTCAAGTCCCAAATACAGCCTACGTTCACACCAAACCCAAGCCTTTAGCCTATGAAACCTCACCAAATCGAGTTGGGTTTTGCTCCATTAACATGGATTCACTGCTTCTGCAACTTAATGGCACTTTCTTCCCTTCACCACCACACCTACACCCTCCTCCTCCTCCTTTGGCCTTCAACTTGGAAAACAAGATCCCTCCAAGTGTTCTTCTCATCATAATCATTCTAGCTATCGTCTTCTTCGTTTCTGGTTTGCTTCATCTCCTTATTAGATTCCTCTGGTCTCCTCCCCCATCACAAACAGACCCTCAAAGTTCAGACGATGTCACTGCCTTTCAAGGCCAATTACAGCACCTCTTTCATCTTCATGACTCTGGGGTTGATCAGTCCTTCATTGATACCCTTCCTGTTTTCCATTATAAAGCCATTATTGGGTCCAAATCCCCATTTGACTGCGCTGTCTGTCTCTCTGAGTTTGAGCCAGAGGATAACCTCAGGCTGTTGCCAAGATGCAGCCATGCTTTTCACACACAATGCATTGACACATGGCTTTTGTCTCACTCAACCTGCCCTCTCTGTAGATCTAGTTTGCTACCTGATCATTTCTCCCCCCACGCCACTCGTGCACCAATTGTTCTTGTCCTTGAATCCGGGAGCGAGAGTTCTGTAAACAGAGAGGGTACATCCGGTAGAACAAATCCGATTTCTGGGTCAAATTCGCAAGTGGGTCTTGGTGGAAATGGTGAATTTGAGGCAGGGGCGAGCGAGATCAGGAAATTAGAGGATTCAAACCCAAGTATAGTGACTGTAAAGCTTGGAAAATACAAAAACATCGATGCAGGGGAAGGTGGAAGTAGCGAGAACAAGAATGTGGATTCTCGTAGGTGCTTTTCAATGGGGGTTTTTGAATATGTAATGGACGAACATTCGTCTCTCAAAGTAGCGATTAGAAGCAAGCCAGTGAAGAAGCATCCAAGCAGGAAGCCAGCTCTGCCGTCGACGCCTGGTTACAGAGCAGCCATGTCCGAATGCGACTGCGAATCCAGAAGAGAGTTCAAAATCAGTGGGATTGAAGGTATTGGGGAAGTGAAAAGGGGAGAGATTACTGATAGAACTAACAACAAAATGGAGAGTTTCTCTGTATCGAAGATTTGGCTGAGAGGAAAAACCCGGAGAGAATCGGCCGCGGATTCTTCAAGAAGGGCAGTTTCATTACGGTTTCCGATTCAGAGCAACCGTGGGGATCTCTCAGAGATGGACGTTTGGAGGTGGGAAAACGACGTCGGAGACGAAGAAAACCAGAGGCGTAACAGCTTCGAATCTGAACTGAATCAATCTTTCGCGAAGAGGACGTTACAATGGCTGATGGGAGGAAGACAAAACAAGGCGACACACTTTGAATCATCATCTTCATCCTCTGTTTCAAATATCTAATTCTCTTCTCTCCATTTTTTTTCTTTAAAATTTATTAAATATCTACGTGGAATATCCTCGAAAGAAAATAGAAATATTTTAGTGGTTTCGAGGCTCTAAAACAATAATCACTGAAATTAATACGGTCACTGCTGATGCGCCGAAACGCAAGGCACTGTCACTTCGATTTTTGTTATTTTTATGTTAAATTCTATGATTTAAATTTAATTTCAACTCAATTTCTATAATTAAAAAAAAAAAAAAAAAAAGAATTCATGATTCAACGATTTTATTTTTTTAAATCTATTATAAATTATCCCCCACTTAAATGATTTAGATATTAAATCATTAAATAAATTATAAAAAAAATTGAAACTTGTATAGTTGAACTAAAAAATATATATTATTATATCAAAAATCTCCGTGGTTGATGTATATTTAATTAAAAAAATAATGAAACTATTTATTTGTTGATTATTATTATTAGTATTCACATGGTTGACTTTATTAGATCGTAGTTTTAATAAAATTTAGGAAATAATATATATATACTGAAAACAGGCCCAAAGGGCTCAGGGGAAGATTGGATTGGGGCTGTTGAAATAAAAATGGGCCTGTTGAATTTAGTCAACGTCTTGTTGGAGAAAAATTGTAGTATCACATGGCGGCTTCAATGATATTTTTCAATGCAAATTACGCCAATATAAAATAGATAGTGTCTGAAAAAGCACGCAACTAGAATTAGATTTTTCATTAAAAAAATAAAAACCCAGAAAAAGAATTAAAGAAGCGAGACTAATGGTCTTTAAGATCTCGCCATTTTGTTTTTTTAATTATCATTCTTAAGATCCGAACTTAACATTTTGTATTCATCTGTCATTTGAAATAATTGTTAAGTAGATGATTACCTTAAATTTAATACTAAAAAGGATTTGTTTAAATAGAGATGATTATGTGTTCTTTGTGTGGGTCATCAAATTAAAAATAGGGAAGCAAGATCCAAGGATATGAGGTAATGATTTGAGCATTGCAGAATGTTTGTTTGGTGACAACGGGCTGATTGAGGAGAACCCACATGACCAAAAAATGACTGAGCGAGCTGCAACAAGTTCAACCAAACGAGTCAAGAGGGGGAGCATAAAAGTCCAAAATAATCACTGTTATGGTGGGAACTGGAGGCGGTGTGGTTCCCTTCTACAGAATGATGGTCTAGTCGAGTCACGTGTTGTTTCGGCGGTATATAATTGAATGGTTCGATTCCTCTTCGGTTGGCTTGCCCATATTTTAATTTCTTCTTCCGATCTTCTCACCGAACAACTTTAATTCCTCGTTGAATTACTGATTGCCTCAATACCAAACAAACCTAGCTCGTTTCTCCTCTTCCTCTCTCTTTTCTTTCTCTGTGCTTCTCCGATATCTTCTGAGGAGATGGAGGGTTCTATTTGACACCATACGGCTGCTTTTTTGATGGGTCATTGAGGATTTTACGTTTCAGCTTCTATCTTTTGTTTATGGGCATGGAATTGAGAAACGACAAGCTTGTTAGGTGATTCTTTCTTCTTCCTTTGTTTCTTAGAATGTACCATATTGATTGCGTTTATTATTGATGAGCTGAATCTGTTAGTCGATTGGAAACATTGGAAATCTTGAATTTTATGGGACCTGTTTTGCTTTCTTGTTGAGAAATGTGGTGGGATCTCAAGTTTTTTTGTTAGAGAACAATAGAACTCTGCAAGATCATCTGGCCTGTAATACTAGGTCTCTTTTTTACTTGCTTAGTTCAATTGGGTAGGAGTGGTAAACGTAGGCTACTTCAACTAGTTCTAGAACTTTGATTGTGTGGCGTAGCTCTAAAACTTTGATTTCTTGTGCTTGGAACCATATAATCACTATGTTCCTATGCAATTATATATAGACAGTCGTATAACTATTATGGCTACAATTTGTGTTCCTGGAATCAACAGCTTTTATTCTGATCACAAAAAGCATAAGGAATCTGCCATTGGAAGCAGCAACAATGAAGCAATGCAACTTGAGAAGTCATCATCAAAATACTATATTCCGTCGTCTACATTCTTAATGCCTGACAATGGACTAGGGGGAATCAAAAGTAAATTCACTGAAACTTTTAAAACTGAGAAGTCTAAGGTGTTTCCGGAGGACCATGAACCATGGAGCAAAAGAATACTAGACCCTGGTAGCAAAATTGTTTTGAAATGGAACCGAGTGTTCATATGTTCGTGCTTATTGGCACTCTTTGTCGACCCGCTATATCTTTACTTGCCTGCTTTTAATGGGAATGGGCAATCCCAATGCGTGAGGACAGACTGGAAATTGCGAATTGTTGTGACCTGTTTCCGGACTGTTGCAGATTTTTTCTATCTTCTGCACATGATTATAAAGTTTAGAACAGCTTATGTTGCTCCTAGCTCTCGAGTTTTTGGGAGAGGTGAGCTTGTGATGGATCCAAAGATGATAGCAAAGAGGTATATTAGATCTGATTTTTGCATCGATCTAATTGCCACCCTGCCTCTCCCTCAGGTACCTCATTCAGACTTCCATTCCTCAACCTTTGACTTTATATTTGGTGCACTGTGTCTTTAATTTTCTTAGGCCATGCTAACCATCACATACTTGTGTCGTTGCCTTAACAAAATGGTAGAACATCCTTCTCAGCCTGCTTCTTAACGATCAGAGTTCCACTTGGTCTAATATTTATCTTCAATCTGGTCTATTGAAGTCTATATAGAATTTTATGTTCAAAGGGTGGATGAACTTGTTTGCACGACTATCGTTCTCTAGGCCTCAAAATTACATCAAATAATTAGCCTTTTTTGTTTTTTTTGGATATTTGTGAGTTCCGAGTTTCGCACTTCAACTATTTTCATGGGATACCTGACCCTACTACATTTGGTTGTCAAGTAACTCGTAGGATATTATATAAGTTAATGGAAAATTAAGTGGGGTTGCCCCTTTAGATGTAGAGATATGTGATTTTAGAATTTTGACAGAGACTTGTAACTGCCTCTTCCATGCAGATTGTCATCTGGTTCATCATACCTGCAACAAGGAGTCGTCTAACGGATCATAAAAACAATGCTCTTGCACTTATTGTTCTGCTTCAATATATTCCGAGATTGTATTTGATTTTCCCATTAAGTTCAGAAATCATCAAAGCAAATGGAGTTGTTACAAAGACAGCTTGGGCAGGAGCTGCTTATAATCTTCTTCTCTATATGTTGGCTAGCCATGTAACTCTCTCATCTCTATCTCTCTGTCCGACCTGAGATATAAATATGTAAACGTCTTTGCGGGGGATTTCCTATTTTTGGAGGGGATTTCCAATTCGTATTCTTTTATTTTGATTTTTGGCAGGTTTTAGGTGCTACATGGTATTTGCTGTCGGTTGATAGATATACGTCATGCTGGAAATCATTTTGTAGGAAGAAAGAATACAATACACTGGAATGCAATCTAACTTTTTTTGATTGCGATACATTTAACCATAATGACCGCGATACATGGGCAAATAGCACACTTGTTTTTGAAAAATGTGGCCCGGATGGAATTTTCAAGTATGGCATTTTTGGGCAAGCAATGTCGAAGAATGTCGTCTCTTCAAGCTTTATTGAAAAGTACTTCTATTGTTTGTGGTGGGGCTTGCAAAACCTGAGGTACAATTTCCTTTTTCTTTATATTTAACTTCTCATTATAGTGTCCGTAGGTGTAGCAGCTAGAACTCTCTTTCCCTTTAGAGGTAGAACCAATAAATATCTCGTTTGAAATTGTTCCCCGGGCTATAGTTTTCTCCCTGTGGTTAGGAAAGCGTTCTTTGGATCAAATGACGTTGCTTGCTATTTACTTCTTCAACTTTTGCTAGTAAAAGCTTGCCCTTCCCTTAGGCTCTTAATATAAGGTATTTCATGAAAAAGATCTCTGGTGATCCAAGAGAAAACTGAAAGTTAGTCGAGTATCTATACGCATGTAAACAATTTTAATCCTGATCTCAAAAGGAGCTATGAACCACTGTTTGGAATATGGAAATTAGAATTTACTCTAGATGCAAAATGAGTTGTCTTCTGCTGAATGAATTCGACTCGTGAATTGATCTTGAACATTTTATGGATTACATGCTTTTTTGTAACACGTGAAAACCTATGGACTTGTTATCAAATTGTTTAGGCGATTGTATAGGACGCTCATCATAGGTTCTGCACTGATTAGTTAGCTGGCAGACTAGCACAACATGTTGTACGGTCCCTTCTTGTCTTATTATAGATGGTTCTTTAATTCTTCACTTTTTTTTCCTGAAAATACTTGAATAACTTCTGGCTTATTTTGTCAGTTCATATGGACAGAATTTGGAAACAACCACTTTTATGGGTGAGACACTGTTTGCTGTGCTCATTGCCATTGTAGGCCTTGTATTATTTGCCCATCTTATCGGAAACATGCAGGTTAGACTAAAAACTCGTATATATATATTTGCTTGCTGATTCTTGTTCTTCTCATATTTGATCGTTGAGTTCATAAAAGGAAGGAAAATGGTTGATTTTATTTCCTTTCCTTGACATGCCCTCTATATGGCCAGAATCCTTTGATTACTTGTCTCACCATATCTTTTGATGTAGACGTATCTGCAATCCCTCACTGTGAGGCGTGAAGAATGGAGACTAAAGCAAAGAGACACTGAAGAGTGGATGAGACATCGTCAACTCCCTGAAGACTTGAAACGACGAGTTCGACGTTTTGTACAATATAAGTGGGTAGCAACCCAAGGAGTTGATGAAGAAGTCATCTTGCAAAGCTTGCCTGCTGATCTTCGACGTGATATTCAGTGCCACCTATGTCTAGATCTTGTCCGACGAGTATGATTCTCTTGCATACTCGTTCTTTATTTTTATACAGAGCCAAAGGCTGAGAAGTTTGAACTAGCTCTTGTTTCTCAGCTGGTGATATTGAGCCACACAATAATCTAGGTTCTTACAAAAAAGGAATCAGAAGTTCTTTCTGGTCGATTATTCGTTAAAAGTGGTTTAAAATACATTAATTGAGTTGCCACCTTCGACTCACTAAGTATATTGAAGCACTTTTCGCCTCCTGTTTTGCAGGTTCCGTTCTTCGCACAGATGGATGATCAGCTACTTGATGCAATATGTGAACGCCTGATCTCCTCCTTGAGCACTGAAGGTACTTATATTGTACGGGAAGGGGACCCAGTGACAGAGATGTTGTTTGTTATACGAGGCAGATTGGAGAGCTCTACCACAAATGGAGGCCGCTCTGGTTTCTTTAACTCGATAACATTACGTCCTGGAGACTTTTGTGGGGAGGAGCTACTTTCTTGGGCCTTGCTTCCAAAATCAACCACCAACTTGCCCTCCTCAACTAGGACAGTCAGAGCGCTCAACGAAGTTGAAGCTTTTGCACTCCGCGCCGAAGATCTTAAATTTGTGGCCAACCAATTTAGACGTCTGCACAGTAAAAAATTGCAGCACACATTCCGCTTTTACTCTCACCATTGGAGAACATGGGCAGCTTGCTTTATTCAAGCTGCTTGGCGTCGCCATAAGAAAAGGATGATGGCAAAAGATCTGTTAATGAAGGAATCATTTACGTTACCAGAAGTGGCAGATGGAACTAGCCAAGGAGGAGAAGGATTCTCTGTTGTTTCACATCCATCTCAGGCTAAAATGTTTCTGGATGTAGCCTTACTAGCTTCAAGGTTTGCTGCAAACACACGGAGAGGCGCTCGAGAATGAAAGATGACTTGTCAAATTTACAAAAACCCGACGAACCTGACTTTTCCATTGAGCCAGATAGATAACAGTTTTCAGTGTTGTTATCAAATAGCTAGATTTCTCTCTGAGAAGGGTGAAATCTATTTCAGATGAGCATCCTTTTTCCCGTCATCTGGTACTTCGGACCTTACGGAGACCTTACGGGGGCTTGCTTCAATCCAATGCTTAGATGAGCCGGGGATGCAACGTCACAAACCGTGCATTAATGTCGTAACCAGTAAGTTAGTCTCATTAGAATATGATCTTATACAGTACTTGTGTTCATTGGATGGTTAACAAGCTGCTGCAAACGTAGCTGCATGTTATACTTCACCAGAGAGTTATATACAGTGCCTCAGACAGATATTTGTCGACCGCAGAGACTTGATTTCTTTCACTAGACGGTGCCGAGACAGAGCAATGCAGGGATGAGGCTGCTGGTGGACTAGAAAGCTTTGATTCATATTTTATGATCAGTGGCTTGTATTACATACTTTTTTGTCATTTGTTTTCATTACAACTTTCCAACTTTATGAATTATCCTCAGTTTTGATTTCCAGCGAAGTATGTAGCTGAAAATGCACATATGGCAAGACTGCCGTGGAAACAAGAGTTTGTAAAAGTAATCCAGTTCAGGTGCTCCTGCCTTTATTAATATACAACAGACAATGATTCAGTTCCTACCTCTCCCCCCTTTCAACCATACAAATGGCCGCTTTCAGAAACAGCTACGCAACATCACCTTCATATTTATATTTGTTCTTTGCCCTTTGAACCTGCCTTAGAGTCGGCGACACCCCACTTATACTCATTTCTTTAACCCAAAGTCCACTTACAAAGTCTTGAGGCAGAAAGGACAAGCAAGCAAGCTTGTCATTGCTCGTGCAAATAAACAATGCCCTTTTTTCACATTTTAAATTCCAAGCCCATTAGCATGTTCGCTTCGATCCGTTACGTATTGCCGTTAGTCTCACAATTTGAAAATGTGTCTACTAATGAAAAATTTTCACACTCTTATAAAGAATATTTCGTTCTCCTCTCTAACCGATGTGGGATCTCACATTAACACTCACTCACGAACGGGAGGATGAAAATTAAGATAGTGTCTCCCATGACCCTGCTAAGCTATTCACTTGTATACATATGAATATGGAGGTGAAGGTGAAGGTGAAGGTGAAGGTGAAGGTGAAGGCAATTGAATCAAATAATTCCAAGGAGACAAGAAATTACAAGACATTGTTTCCTTTGTCATTCCTGTTCTATCAACCAACATACTGCTTTCTGTTTATCAACAATACTCAAAAACCAATTTCTTGCTTACCAACTATTTGTTTCAGGCATATCTAGATGCTGTTAAATTAAAACAACTCCCCTCCCCCAGCCTTAGGGGCAAAGTATATATGCATATATACAAACATTTTATGTTACCTCCACCCTATTCTCATAACCCATCTACTGCTGTAACTACTCTGATGTTACTGGGCAGCCGATCTCCTCGGCTTCGACTGCCTGATTCACGGTCTAGTTCGAGAGTAACAACTACTGACTTGTCTTGCATACCGCCGGCTGTTTTTGGAATGCAAGCCTTGAGATGGTTGAAGCTAGGAATCAGTGCTTTCTCTGCCCATTCTTCTAAACCAGTGTCGCCAAACCATACCCCAGCTATAAGTTTTTGAAGAGCATGGTCTTGTACCTCGATTGAGACACCCTCTCCAATAATGGTGGAGAATTTTTCATGGATAGAAGTTTTAATGTGGCGGGTTATATGGTTGAAGTTGACTGGCTTGAAAACAATGGCGTCGTCGACGATATCCTGAAGCTCGTGTAATGCAGGTGAAGCTGTGGTTGATTCCATCCTGCTTAGGCTAGATTCATCTTCATGATCAATTGTGAGGTCGCTTGAATTGTGTGATCCATCTGCAGTGTCGTCCTCTGCATTGGCAGCCTCATTCAAATCAAAAAACAGACTAGGAATTGTAGCTTTCCTGGTTTTTGTGAACCTTTCTTCATTGGAAAGCCAATTCCCTCGACGTTTTAGCAGCTTTTCAGACAGAGATAACCTCAATTGCCAACTTTCATTAGCTAAATTTGCAGGCTCGTTTTCACCAAAAGAATTGTGATAGGACGAGTGATTTAGATCATCCTGTAGCCGATCAGTTGTAAGGATGAAAATAACATTACCAAGGCTGATCTCTCGACCATGGGAATCAATGAGCCTACCACTTTCTATTGTCCGTTTTATACTCCCACGAAATATAATATCTGCTTCATCAATGTCCTCAAGAACTATCACTGAAAATGGATTCTTCCTAACAGCCTCTGAAATTTGATCTAATGGGGTTCTACCGCGAAAATTGTTGTCCAATCCTCTACCACCTCGTTGTGTACCAACATAAATGGTAACCAGGATGGACCCAGATACCAGCTCTGAAAGAGCTGATGCCATCTTCTGCTTGCCAACTTTGTCAGGCCCCGCAAATAATAGCCAAATGTCTCCTTTTGATCCAGCACCTTGACGTTTCCTGCTGCCCAATTCGCGTTGAGTTATTGTGTTAGCCACAGCAGAAGCTACATCCCCCTGCCACCAAACCTTCTCCGTTAGAACTTTAAGGACCTTCTTGTATGAATCAACATCTGATATGCCTAGAAGTTTGGCACTCGTCTCTGGTCTGGATGATTTATGATTTTGGCCCCAAAATTCTTTGGTGCAGTCTTTATGAGTTTGCCCAAGAATCAAGTCTGTTCGTATTGAGCTGTAGTCAGATGGCTGGTTGAGTTGTGGATTCATATTCAGCTGAAGAGTTCTCCCAAGGCTTCTATTCACTTCTAACCTTGGCTGACAAGGCTGGCTCTTGAGCAAGTTTTGATTATATAAACCCATTGTTGACATATTTCCTGTAGAACTGAAAATTTTTGGTTGATGGAAATTGGGATGAAGGTGCAAGCATGTATTATTCCATTTCTTCTGTAGTTCTTGATTCCTCTGCTTTACCATCAATTCGTGGTCCTTGCTCTGCAACAAAACACAAACATAGTTTAGCTCGACTTGATTTCACAAAAACGAATCAAGTTTCGGTTAAATTCGATCCAAAGCTACCTGTTTCAAATCAACTGATTCAGCATTAGGAGCATCAGCTTTAGCCTTTTGCAGCCAGTGTGGCAGTGGAGGGTGATTGCTGTCTGTTTTGACTCCTGATGGAGATTTCTCAGACTCCTCGTTCATGAGTTTTTGTAGTTCTTGTTCATACTTCTGGATACACTGTGGGCAGCAAGTTGTTCTTGGATCAACATTTAGAGTCTCAGATTCATGTCTTAGTTGGCTAATGGGAGGCGTTGGAAAGAACTTCATTGGGGACAAGGATTCGATTGAACTGCCTAGAATCTCCTTTGTTCCAAGCCTAAATGAACAAGAACAAGAAAAACACTCAATACCCAACAAAAGAAATCAATCATGAACGATTAAAATAAGCATAGAAACGTTTCTAAGGGCTGTATACTTGATTTCTGCAATGACCCAAAAGTTCGTAAAGATCAAGCAAATGACTCTGAGCTTAACGATCCATAAGGTGGAGGTGGATGAAATGAAAAGGATGAGAATCCAAAAGTACCTTGGATATAACCCAGAGCGAAGGGCTTTAGCCACAACGGGGACAACATGTAAATCCCAATCACTTTCGATGGAGGGATGATAGATTTGGCATCTCAAGAACGTCTCACAAGTAGCGGTTCCTATCAACCACAGCAGGCCGGCAGTTTCCTCTCTGAACCTTATCAATACCTTTCCAATCTTCTGAACGGCAGCACGGCCGGCCTCGGATACAACGGGCTGCACCAACATGCCGGAACCTGGGGATACACAACTCGCCGGCTGCTCAATCAACCATTGTAGATTCCCCAAGTCAAGAATTATGCTCCCAGAACTCGAATTGGCTATTCGGGTCGCTAACAAATCTTCCAATTCATCAAGTTTTGTGGGTATTTGTGCTCCATCTGATGCAAGCTCCTTCTCCAAATGGATAATCTCAGCATTTTCAAGCGGCCCTTCAGTCAGTTCTTTCTTATTAATTCGCCTAAAAAATTCCTCAATCATTGCATCTGTTTCCGAATCCCCAACTACGATTGGATTTCTCTTGGTCGGCCGGAGCAATATATCCACGATTCGTTTCACTTCCTCCCCTCTCGGCTGTTCCAATTGGGTAACGCTTCCCTGATGCAACCGTGGATTCAAATAAAGATTCCGATGAGGCGTCGGGGAAGCGTGGCAACCTAATCCAATAGGGGATAAATTCACCACAGATGCCGAGGAATTCAAAGATCGTTCAATCGTAGCCTTTACAGCAGGGCTCGAAAAGCTCGCCTCCCGCATAATTCTACTCACGCTTGGATCATCGAGAATGGATATAACTAGCTGCTCGAACTCAACCTTCACCGCTAACATAGGTTGCTGCTGCAATTCAGAAGAGCCACGGCGTTGGTGGGCTTGTGCGCGTTTAAGAGCTGCCATTAGCGCATTGGAGATCGGTGGTTCAGAGGCAGAGGACACGTTTTGGGCCGTGGGTAGGCGTTCGAGAGCGACGCTAAAACAGAGCTCAAGAGCTCTGCACTGAAGTGGGTGCGATGAATTAGGATGAGACTTGATGCAAGCCTGGCGAAGAAACCCAGTTGGGGAAGCCAACAGAGTTGCAGCGACATGAACCGGCGTGGTCTGGCCATGGTTACGTCGACCCGCGTCGGCAATTGACTGGTTCAAAACAGTAGCCGCCTCCGACGTCAGAGTTTGCAGGATCGTACTAAGCCCAGCTCTCATTTCCAGAATCGATACCCAAAAGACCCTCCTTTCTCTCTTTCAACCAATCAAAAACGTGAACAAATTTGACAGGAAAAATCTGGTATTCTCTTTCTTCAATCCACCATTGAAAACCACAAAAGCTTCACACACGTCTCTGTTTCAATACGATGTTCCAATCCAGGTAGTGGGAGTGGAGGAGGATGAGGGTCTGAGAATTCAGAGGTTAGCACCAAAAAGGAAAATAAAAAAGAATTCCGGTGAGGTTTGGAAAGTGGTGAGGAGTAAGACAAATGCTCACTTTCAGAATGGAAATTGAAATCGAAATCGAAATCGAAATAGAAATAGAAATAAATGAGGAAGGAAATTTTATTAAAAAAAAAATCTGTTCCATTTCCCTTTCATTTCCCATCTTGTCTGTCTGTTTCTCCACATTTAACTTTTATATAATTAATTAATGTAATTTTAATAAGTTAAAATCCCACCTCCCCAAAAGGTGTCATTTAGATGATTAGATCCCCCCCCCCCCCCCCCCCCCCCCCCCCCCCCCCCCCCCCCCCCCCCCCCCCCCCCCCCCCCCCCCCCCCCCCCCCCCCCCCCCCCCCCCCCCCCCCCCCCCCCCCCCCCCCCCCCCCCCCCCCCCCCCCCCCCCCCCCCCCCCCCTTTGTCTTTTCATCCCCTCAAATGACAGATTTACCCTCCAAACCTATCATCCTTCACACACACACACACACACACACCCGGTCTTTTCCTCTCCTATTGATATAGGATATCACATTTTTGTGTACGTTTCTTTTCAACACGTTAAAACTATAAAGTTCATATTGTTAGACGATAAAAGTCTCACGTCTGCTAATTTAGGAAATGGTCATGAATTTATAATCAATGAATATCTCTCCGTTGGAATGAGGTCTTTTGGGTAAGTCCAAAGCAAAGCCATGAGAGCTTGGGCTCAAAGTACACAATATCATACCATTGTAGAAAGTCGTATTCATTTAACACATATTATTAAGTCACTGAAAATGAAAGTATACTTTATTGGTATAATTAGAAACTATCCATTCTTTTAACATTTTCTGAGTCATCCTATCTTTGAGATCACTTTTCGCGACCATAAGAAAAGATTATTGGGAGTAAACCGAGAGAGAAATAAATGAAAAAGTTAATAGAAATAGAATGGATACAAAGAAACTACATTTTAGTATTAAGAAGAATTAATGATTATTAAAATTTACTTAAATAACATGATTTAGTAACTAATTAATATTTATTATAGCAGCTAACCTGTTGCACTGGAGGTGGTAACAACTGGCACCAATCTTATCGTTCACATGATTCTTAACATAAAAAGAAATATTAATTTAATTGTTTATTATCAGATGAGGAAGCTTCTGTTTTGGTCCACTAATTTAGATTGTCTCACCTTTTCTTTTTTCTGCATTTATGACGTCATCCATCGTTCAACGTATTGACCACTAAGAGGTGGAATCACAATTTAAAATTAGAGAAATAATTATTCTGGAAGGCGCAAATAGACCAGAAAATGTAAAAATAGATATTGTTATTTGGAAAGAGCTGAATTTTGTGGTGTAATAAATATGTTATGAAAAGAATATATGACGTAATAAATATGTTAAAACAAAATAGGTGGGTGAGTGGTTGGCTTGGGTGAGAAAACAAAACATCTAAAACTGGAAACAAATGGAGAGGAAAGAGGGTGTGAAAGGGAATTAATTAGGTTTGACAAACTAAAACCACTAGGAAACCGAACCATTTCAATGTTCTCCTCCTTAGTCCTTAGGGTTGGGTTCATGAATCGTATGGTTAATCCCACGGTTTGACTTGGTCAACCTGACCTGCCACACTCAAATCTCCACCCAATTCATCACTTTGACTTTGACTTTGACCTTGACCCAAAACCTTTCTCTATCTCATCTCAATCACCATCCAATTACTTTTATCATTGTCGCAGTTCTTTATAAGGTAATGATAATACATAACAAGTCAAAGTGGACAATATCAATGAGTGGTGGGATTAGACGGTTACAAATGGGATAAGAACAAGGACGTTGACTCTAAAAGACTGGAAGAAAAGGTTAGCGGAATAAAAGTATTGAAAATAAAAAAAAAAGGTGAGGAGGAGGTTGGAAGAGTAAGCATAGTTGATAATGATGGCGTCGGCTTTTGGTAGCGCACGCCCTCCCCTCCCTTTGCTTCCTCTTTTTCGGTCATCATGTGCCTTTTGGCATGTTTTTTGTTTTCAAATTCTATGTTGCTTTTGCCTCTTCTCTACTCCTCCCTTCTCTCCTTTTTCCTTTTAATTTAAACATCTCCTTGTGGGCCCCTTTTGCTTTTCAATTATTAAAATGACAATTATTCACGGCCCCTTTTTTTTTTTATTTTTTTTTATTTTACTATTTACATTTTAAAATGATTATTATTTATAATAATTAGGAAGAAGAATCTATTTGCACACAAGAAAATAACAAAAAAAAAAAAAAAAAAAATCCTCTTTTTTCTTTCTTTTTTTTATTTTTTTTAAAAAAACAATCATTTTAACTTTGCCGTTTGAATTCCTCTTCATAAAGGCATCTTTAATTTATCAATAAATTATTGTCTTGGGGAAAAAAGTAATGATTTTTACCCATAAAATGAAACAAAAAGACACAAACTACCCCCACGTTATAGTTTCTATCAATTTATAATCCATAGCTTTCCAAAGGGTGATAGATTGATAGCTAAAAGATTGCTTCCCAAGATTTATGATGACATATATAGAGGACCCATCAATCAAACCTAAACTCTTTTTCACCAATAAAAGCCAAAACCAAAACCAAAACCAAAACCCCACTTAGCCTTTGCCTTTTGGTAAATAGTTAGGAGGGCAATTTGGTAATTTAATCTATGAAGGTCTAGAGGTTTTTTTGGTGGCTTCTTGCATCCAAAGCATGTGGCCTTTTCTCTCCAATCCCCACCACCACCTTTCTATTGTTTTAGAATAAAGCTAACCCATGTTGCCTTTGAGATCACCAAAAAAGGTGACGGGTCGTGTAGCACCGAGCTCTTTGGAAATATATATATTTATATATATATAGTCTTTTATACCTTGACTTTTTCGAAGTTCAATCCATAAGCTCTATCGAATACTTTGATTGTCTATTAAGGAGTGAATAGTTAAAGGAAATGGTAAAAAAAAAGAATATATATGGACCCATTTGGTAAAAGAATTGACTAAACTACTTTATTAATCAACCATAATGGCATGGACAACTTGGTTTGTGGATCATAATAATCTATTATACTTCCAACGCAAGTTGCAAAAGGTGACACAGATATGCAAAAGGGTCTATAAAGTTAACCAATATCATGCTTTTTTCAGATGCATTTGCAATAAGGACAGACATGCTTACCTAAGACCCTTGAGTGTGAAGTCTTCAGACTCATTTCATTACAACTTTAATGTCAAGATTTATATGAAAAGAATAACATAAGAATTCATAAGTCCTTATATCGGTTGGAGAAGGAAACAAAACATTTTTCTCCCTTCATATCAGATATGTTTTAAAAACTTGAGGGGAAGTCTGAAAGAGAAATGCCAAGGAGGACAATATCGGGTAGCGGTGAATTTAAACCGTTATGTGTGGGTCTATGGAATGGAAGGGGAATTAGAGGAGACAGTGGCTGGGCAGTTGGCATGGGTTTGTTTGTTTGTTGGTTTGTTTTCCCATCTAAGAAGGGGTTCTGATACTCAGGGGGCGTAAACTGTAAAGGTAGAGAGCAATAAAGTTGAAGAAAAGCAGAGGACGCCCCATAAAAAGCCCACAAAAGCTGCCAACGGAAAGCCTTATTTGCACCAAACAAAAGAGGAAAGCTGAAACGGAAACATGCGTCTGCGGAACAACCGCCCAAAAAGCTGCCTTCCAGAAACATTGTACAAGTCAAAGTTGTCACTTTTGTCAACACTCCATTCTCCCCTTTTCACTTTATTGCCTACAACCTAATTACTCTAAAAGATGACTCTTCGGTTAAGAGTAGAACGAAACATTCTTTATAAAGATGTATAAACTTCTTCCACATGTTTTAAAAACATTAAGAAAAAGTCCAAAAGAGAAATCTCAAAGAGGGCCTTAGGTGGGCTTAGACTGTTACAAATGGTAGCAAAGCTCGACACTGGGCGATATGTCAGCGAGGAGGTTGGGCCCCAAAGGGGGTGGACACGAGACGGTGTGCCAATAAAGACGTTGAACCCCGAAGGAGGGAGGAGGGGGGTGGATTGGGAGTCTCATATCGATAAGGAGAAGGGAACGAGTGTCAATGAGAACGCTGGACCCCGAAGAGAGGTGGATTGTGAAATCCCAAATCGGTTAAGGAGGAGAATGAAACATTTTTTATAAGGATGTGCAAACCTCTCTCCAACAGACGTGTTTTAAAAGCCTCGAGGGGAAGTCCGAAAAGAAAAATAAAAAAATGACAATATCTACTTTCAAAAGAGGACAATATCAGCATGAGCATGAGCATGAGCAGTTACATTGTTAATACTCAAACTTAATCACCATCACTATGCTTCCTGTTATGCTTATAAAGATTAGAGTGCATCCTGAAGTGGGCGCAGTTACTATCAGAATCCTACACAAGGCCTATGGAACTATGAGTTTTGGGCTAACCAATTTGGATTTAACAAGTGGATCAATGGCTGCCATTATCAGCACTCAACGAACTGGAAGATTCCCAAGGAATATTTTACAGATTTTATAAGAATAACATCATTAACTTATTCTATGCAGATATGGGCAAGTCAGATTCATATTTTATTCCTTCCTTCAAACACGTCTTAACTGATACGACTACATCCGTTCTCAACCCCCCAACCCAACTTCCAAAAGTTAATGCATACGCTCAGTTAGAGTCATCTTGATGAATACTAGGTAGGAAAAGCAATCATATTTACCCGAATGTACAGATGATGCGCCGTAAATCAGCATTCGATTCCAAGATTGGAGAGTTTGGATGCCGCACATTATTGGCCTTGCTCGCCATTGCTTACAAACAGAGGGAGAGCTTTGCTTTCTTAGTTATCATCGTTAGTGATTCCTATGCATTTTCAGTTTGAAGACAACATGCTGCCCAGGAAAAAATGATAATGGGGTTAGTCTCCGGCAATTGTATCTTTTAGATTAGATATCAACCTTCATACCTTAATCTGCTTTCTCTTGTATGTGTACGTGATGTGAACTGATCCATCGCTAGCCTCAATGACCGCCGGATATGAAAATTCCTTTCCTGACTCGTCCTCCAAGGTCATAACATCTAGCCAAGAATCACCATCATCCAGGGACAGGCCAACCTTAAGCACGCCCCTCGAGACGGTGTTATAAACAAGTAATAAACGACCATCCCTCAGTTTGACCCCATCAATACCTATTGATACAATGCATAGTCAAAGATGATCGTAAGGGATAGCGAGAAGAGACGTTGAAATCTAGGAAGTAGTAAAATCAGTCATCTGTACTAGTGACAGCATGAATGAAAATCCTGTAAGAACAGAAATTACTAAATCTGGTAAGTAATTCAATTTCATAATGAAGATGCTCACAATAATGATCATTGCCTTTAGACGTTCATGTATGCAGATACTTTCAGGTAATGCTTGTAACTCAGCCATGTTACCTGAGTTTGGATTAGGAAGATTTGTAGGTTTTGCATAGCTCCAGTTGTGACCACCATCAGTGGATTCTGACATACAAATACTACCGATACCTGTGAAGGATCGAAGTAAAACACGCAGATTTCCATTTGCAGTCTGGTAAGGAACTGGTTGAATGACACTGAGAGATCGATTTTCCATGTATATTGGCCCAAACTTTCTCCATGATCTACCTGAATCAGATGTGACCTGTTATATTGACATGTCAGCCACATTTTCCAGATTTTAGGACAAGTCAAAACTAAAGAACTATTCATAAGAACCTCCGTCCATGCACCCCAAGAATTCCAACTTTCAACTGAAGATCCACAGAGCAAAACCCCATTTTCCAGCAAGATTGGCTACAACATAACAAAGAAAAGCAGCTTCATGAGCAACAAAACAGTTTACTTGAATGGTAGATGCATATGGGCACATAAAGTATACCTTATTCTTTATTGGTCCTAAGATACCAGGGGGAAGCTGTTCTCTTGCTGTCCAAGTAACACCTTTGTCATATGACCGCTTCATGCACCCACTCCATCTGATTGTTGTCTCAATCAGCACAAGATAGAACAAAACACACTAGGAAGCAGAAGGGTTCAAGTTTTCACTTCAAAAGTTATTCAATATGTTAGACAGTTGGTCAGAGACTCAAGTCGACCAGGCAAAAAAAAAAGGCCGAGGGATTTCAGGGAAAAGGTATTAAGGCCCTTTTCAGAAAAAACTAATTTACAAAACCAATTAACTTAAGCATATCAACTTTCTACGAATTATGATCAGATAAATTAGCTTGAATAGAGTTGTTATTTCAGTAAACCATTATGAGATTTACAAAAATATACCTTTGAACGTCCTGTCCCACTCTATAAAACAGAAGCAGCTCATCTGATGGAAGTTTGAACAAGACAGGGTTCCACATTGGAACTTCAGGCTGCTCATCAGCCACAATTGGCGAGTGCCAGGAGCCGTTCTGCAAGTTAAAAGTAATATAAACCTCTTCTAAACCACTCAATAATATGGATAAAAGGGCCCTACAGCCTGATTTGACATAAACAAAGGCAAGACAGTAGAGTCACTTTTGTACTAGTATCATTCGAGATAGCATATCGGCAAGCATAACATAACTCAGATGAGATCAACGTTCAAGGAAGAAATTAGATACCTTCTTGTTCTTGTTTTTTTTTTTCGAAAATTATGCTTGTTTACTCACAATTTTTTTAGTAAGCTTTCATTTTTGGGGAGTGATGCAGTTGGGTTGTTTACCTTATATGCCTGCAACCAAATCTTCACATCCGGTGCGCCCTCGAATGTACCCCCAAAGTATGCAACCAAGTAATGATCTTTATCAACCTGCTCTATGAAGATAGAAAACACTCATATTCTCCCCTAAAAAAATCAAGGAGCCAAGTATTATAAGACCAAAGGAAGTTTCTCCATCAAACCAAACCTCCACAATTGTAGAAGCGTGGCAGTTGTCGAAAGGAACAGAATTGGCAGGAAATGTAAACTCCTCTAGAAAGGGCCCCTCTATATAATTCCCTGTGTCCATTTTCGAACTTCTAACCCCTGAAGCTATATGCGAATGCCCTCTTACTAATACTCTGCACCACACATTGACCATAAAAAGTTCTCATTTGCGCATTTTATCGAACACTTAGCTCAAATCAAAGAATAATACAAATTCGGCTCAAAACAGTACGCAAAAATTTCATCCGTGTTGGATATCTTCAATTGTGGGCGTAAAAGAAAAAGGGATAAAAACAAGAATTACCCACCTTGGTCCAAAGCCGCGGAAATTGGAGGGGAATTTTGGAGTCAAGAAATTGAATATAGAGGTGAAAGTGTTTCCAAATCCTGGGGGCGCAATACTGAAAACGGAGATCAGGAAGAGAAATGAAATTAGAACAGCCCCCACTGATTTCCCCATCTTCTGGAAACTTTGTGGTGGGAAAAAGTGAAGTCAACTTAGGAAGGAGTCGAAGAAGAACAAAGACATAGGAAGTAAGCGAGAAGCAGTTGAATGGCTTGGTACCTAAACAGCCGCACTGGCAAGGACTGAAATTTGATGGTCTGATGCAGGCGGGAGATTGACGAGAGACTGGAGAGGTGAGCTGAGATGAGCACGGTCGTGTTGACTTTGAACCGACAACCCGGGATGGATATAGCTTGTCCTGTTCTATGAAAGCATAACCGAACCGGTTCAAAATTGGATAAATAGTCCTCCACGTGTCGTCTCAAGTATTAAGAATAAAAAGAAAAAAATTATTTTGCTCCGACATATATTTTTTAAATTAAATTATAAGATAAAACTTTGATTAAACGTCAATTAAAATACCAATGTAAAACTTTGAAATTAATACATAATAAATGCAAAATGGAAACATATAAGATAATTTATTAAACTTTAAAAATATATTTTTAATTTTATGATAAATAGAGATGTGAAATTTAAAATTTTAAAAAATTTATTCACCGTATAATTTAACCTAAATATTTTTCCTTCGAAACGCCGAAGTAAAATGCCAAAACCCTGAGGAACTAAGATATAAAACCCCAAAAGCCGGGAATCAGTCGAGCCTCAAGCTGCCGGATCCAGTTCGCCCGAGCGCTGAAGCTACTTCCCGACTCTGAAGTCGAAATGGCCTACGCCGTGGTATCAAGATCGTCGACGGCTGCCATGAGCATCACATTGGCGTTTGTATCTGCCTCCGCCATCCTATCTCGTAAAACTTCGATAACTTTTAAGATCCTATATGTCTTCTCTCTCAATTTCTCCGATTTACTACGTGATTCTCACAAGTCGTGTTTTTGTGGGTTCTCCAGTTTATTTCGTGACGAAGAAGTCGAGAGAGTTGGGTTCCAAAGTCCGAGAGCTCGAGGCTTCTCTGGCAGCTTCTTTAAAGAAAACCATCGCCGAGAGACAAGGCCGAATACGGGCACAGCAGGTATTTCATATTTGCTCCTCTGCATCGCTTCATGTTCCTGACTCCAATGTTGTTATCGATATTTTGATTTTTTATTTTTTTTTCCTTCCTGTTTGTAGGCTTTAAGGAAAGCAGTTTCGGAACCGAAGTCTGATAGCGTGGAGTGTACTTTGTATCCCATGGCACCAATTGGTACTATCCAATCATCCTTCTCTACTAGGTTAGTTTTAGATTGCATATCTGGTAGTCTAAACATCAATTATTTAGTTGTTGTTTTCTCATAGTTCTGTTCACAAAACTAGTTACAGCCGTATTCTTCAGCTAGCGCTATAGAAATTAAGCTTTGTTGCTTATTTTTTATTTTTTTATTTTTCTTAAGGAATGGGACTCCGAGGCAATCTTTAGTGGTACCTCTTGCGAGGGCACGGTTGGTGTTTTCTTCTCGCATTCCTCCAGCTTCCATTGAAGGTCTTGGAGAATATTCCCATTGCTGGGTCATATATGTCTTTCATTTAAACACAAATCTTGACAAGTTGTGGAAGGATCCATCGAAATCGAAATTCAAGGCTAAAGTACGCTTCTTCATTTGTTGATGATCCTTAAATATGGAATTCACATTTCTATTATTCTTATAATTCCCTAAAATCCCATAAAAGGACAGCTCAATGGTAGGTTAAAGTACCGAGGTTGAAAGGCGAAAAAGTAGGAATCTTTGCTACGAGATCCCCACATAGACCATGCCCAATTGGAATCACCATTGCAAAGGTAAGATAACATTTTTTATTGCTGTCAATGTAACTTGCAAGTTAATGGAGAAGGCCATCATTCATCACATTGATAAAAATATGTCCCCCCCCAAATGAATTCTAGAGAGGTTTCACTGTCACATGAACTGGTCCAATGTGTTTTTGTATGGTTAGGCCGTTCAGTTTCATTTTGTATTAGAAATTTATGGTTACAAGCTTACAGTTGAAAGTGTTAAACAACATTCAAATGCAATAGATAAATGGGGGATATTGAATCTAAGATTAAAAAATCTGCTGTACCACTTCAGGTGGAGGCTATCCAGGGACATCAAATTCTACTCTCTGGTGCCGATCTTGTTGATGGAACTGTAAGGGTTTGTTTCGTTTTTTTTCCACCTGCGATAATGGTGTAATCTTGAATTTAGTCATTACTTCTTGTATAAATGATTGTTTTGATTTCTTGCTCTGTTCGAATTTTGTTACAGCCAGTACTTGATGTTAAACCTTATCTACCGTACTGTGACAGTATCCAAGATGCAACAGTCCCTAAGTGGTTAACGGTACTTCTTCCATATTTAATTTTACTGACTAAATTTTATCTTAAAGTTTCCTTGATGCTTATGTTGTTACTATTCATCCTTTCAAATCATTCTTTATATGGAGGTTTTTAGCCATTCATTCTTTCATTCGTTTGCCCAATGTAGATTCATTCTACCATGTTATATGTTTTTATACATTCTTCTTGGCAATCTAACATCTTATTGACGCAAACACAGGGGGAAAATGTATTGTCTGTTGCATCCATTTGCTTCTCTGAGGAATTTACTCCCTCGCTATCGGAGTGTTGGCCACTAATAGTGAGTTCCTTTTTTTAAAATTAATTAATTAATTATTATTGATGTTGTTTTTTATATAACCATGAGTGTTTGGGCCAACTTGCGCACCTCAACAATATGCCAAAAATATTCCTTTTTTTTTTGCACGTGAGAGTAAAAAACAGTATGGTTTCTTTGGTTTCATTGGTATCAAACAAAAGGGACCTTTCAAGCTATTATATTTTATGCCTTAAAAGACGTTACTGGAGTTTTGGGTGATTATCAGCCTGAGGTTGGTGCTTTTGATGCAAAGCTTAATAGAAAGAAAAGTGGAAGCCCTTGATATCTCCTGGTGGTGTTGTATCGCACAGAGTCTGAATTCCTTAAGAAAACTATGCCTCTGGAAATTTACATTATGAATATTGAGAGAGAGAGAGAGCTGCTTTGTAGTCTGATTACCATTTTTATGAAACTCCACCTTACAAAGAGCTAGTGCTAACAAGTGCTCATAATTTCTCATGTATCATAATTTTCTTGTTTCAGGAAAAGAAATCGCTTTATGCATCGGCAGATGAGTTGAAAAGCTTTGTGAAGCAGGTGCTTTCATGGGATATTCGATCATTGTCACAACGTAGTCAACCTCATGAATCCTACCTTACGACTACAAGAGGACATGAGTTGTCCGATGGTAGTTCAGATTCAGATGGTCACCTAGATGAAACACTTCCTAGTGGAACTTCCCAAAGTTCTTCTAAGAGCGTTGTCTATCACCTACTTGTAGATGGATTAAATGTGTCATACACAATCGGTTGCCAAGGCGACGTGGTTGTGAGAAAAGTGGAGGTTGCATCACCCAGCTGAATAGGCCAATCAGGGTAACTTGTCTTTTTACTATGTAGGGAATTCTCACTCAAAACTAAACTGCCTTGTATGGAGCTCGATCTCCTTACATTTCTTATTCATCTTTCTCTTCACAAAAGGTGTATGGTTGAAATTGAGACAAGCATGCTGGATAGAATCTTAGTCGTGGGTTGTTAGATGGTCAGTGAAATAGTTTTGGTTGAAAATGTGTGGCTATCTGCTGATGAGTGATTGTTTGACTTTTGTACCACATTCTTAAAGAAGGGAAATGTTTTGAAGTCTATACTCCAGAAGTATGAACTGTTATCACAAGTGACTAAGTCACATCGAGCTGAACTGATGCACAGCTTGGATCAACTAAGATGAAAACAAAGGATCTTTTGGACGTGGTTCCAGTTCACTTGCGGCATTAATCCATGGTTTGGTTTGGGCTTTGTTGGTTTTTATTCTTCATTTTTGAAGCATATACTGATATCTTTAAATGAAAAAAGCGCAGGAATTTAATGTCAACTTGAGAGGCTTTAATATGGAGTTTCACCAGTATGTTTGGGGTATTAAAAACCTTCATTTATGATTTACCTAATCGTGAATGTGTTAGCTTAATCCACCAAGTTGAATCGTATGTCAGATTCTTATCATTATTCTTGGGCCACTGCACATTGATGGCAAGATAAATTCAAACTAATTGCAAATGCAGCAATTCTCTTCAAATTTGTAAGTTTTATTTTTATTTTTATATTTTAAGTTTGTGTTAAAACTAACATTCCTCCTCTCAGCACTTGAAAAAACTACTGCTTCCTTTTACACTAAGTGATTGTTTATTGTTTATTGTAGTTGATAAAAGTGATAGATTTCAATTATGCCCTAAAATTTTAGTAATATCTTTTATTGCGTCAGTATTATTTCAAAAAATTTATTGAATATAAAAAATAAAAAAATATTAATCTCATTTGAAGTGACATCATACTTTAGATGAGAATGAAGTCGAAGATTATAATAAAATAATATTTTCACCTTTCTTTCATAAATCAAAATCCTCATGAAAAAATCAAACCTTTTAAAATTGAGAAGAGCATACAATATTAGAGTTTTTATGTCTTAATTAATTGATCAAACTTAAGGATAGCACAGCACATGAATTGAGAACAATAAAGAGACAAAACAAATAAAACCAAGACACTAGAGCTTAGTGATGACAGATTTCTGACATTAAAGGATGAAATTTGTGTTCCTTATTCGTTAATCAATTACAAGACGAAACAATGGATTTTGAATCACTACTTAACCATGACTGAATATGTGATTGATTAACTTACCATATTTGGTGGATACACGTCTAGCTGAGGATGTCTGTTGACATCTGCCAGCGCAGTCCCCGTGAACATCGACTTCCCGGTGGAGAAAAACCAGACAAGAACAAACCCAAGTCCCCATCACCGACGCCACTATTTTATTACTCACAACCCTCCAACCTCCCGCTTTTAATCCTACTCACCTAATCTCTATACTCAACTCCCAAGGGGACCCTCTTCAGTCTCCACACCCTGCAATCCCCCCCCCCCCCCCCCCCCCCCCCCCCCCCCCCCCCCCCCCCCCCCCCCCCCCCCCCCCCCCCCCCCCCCCCCCCCCCCCCCCCCCCCCCCCCCCCCCCCCCCCCCCCCCCCCCCCCCCCCCCCCCCCCCCCCCCCCCCCCCCCCACAATCTTCCTCCCATACCATCTTTCATTCAGAAACACTTTAGTTGAAGATTGGATTTCCCATTTGCCAAGCTGTATATCTAACTTCAGGAAATGGATCATTCCAGAGATGGAGGCGACCAGGTTAGTATAGCAGCTCGCTCCTCGTTATTCGACTCACTGAAAGGATGCGGCCTGTCGGGGATCCCAATCGACAAACAGGAGCTCAATACAAAGGTTATGATGCCGCAGTATCTCCGCTTAGCCATGCGTGATTCTATCCGCTTAAAAGACCCCACTGCCGGAGCCTCTGCCTCTCTTCCACCGCAAAATATAGTCCCGCCACTGCCAGAGGCTCCTTTGGTGGTCTTCATTAATCCGCGTAGCGGCGGCCGCCATGGCCAGAAACTCAAGCAGCGCCTCCAGCAATTAATCAGCGAAGAACAGGTCCACCAAAAAAATGCTTTCCACTTGCGTGATTCTTCTTTTCATGTGTGTCCTGTACGTGTCATCTTTGGAATTTTCTGTTTGTTTGTGTTGTAGGTTTTTGATCTTTTGGAAGTGAAGCCTCATGAATTTGTACAATATGGACTGCGCTGCCTGGAAATCTTGGCTGATCAAGGTGACATCTGTGCTAAACAAACTCGTCAGAGGATGAGGGTCATGGTATTTTGATATTTTCTATAACCCCAGATAAAAAGATTGTTGCTTTTCTTTCGCTTTACATATTTGGAATCTAATGGAACTGGTAGCGCAGGTTGCAGGAGGCGATGGTACTGTCGGTTGGGTACTGGGAAGTCTAGCAGAACTTAACAACCAAGACCGCAAGCCTGTTCTTCCTGTTGGGATTATCCCTCTTGGTACTGGCAATGATCTTTCCAGGAGTTTTGGTTGGGTGAGCTTTTGTAGCTTCAACTCGAAAATTTACAGGAAGGTACCACTAGTATTAATGGATATGGATCATTGGTTTTTATCAGGGAGGTTCATTTCCTTTTGCCTGGCAATCTGCTGTTAAAAGATCTCTCCACAGGGCTACCACTGGCCAAGTTGGTTCTTTGGATAGGTGGGAATTCCAGTTCTTTCATGATATTATCTTTTGTTTTTGGTTTTTGGAGTTGTTTCAAACTTGATTCTCATGATGCAGTTGGCATGTTTTGCTGTCGGTGCCTGCTGGGGAGAGAGTGGAACCACCTCATTCTTTGAAGCTTACAGAAGAAAGTGATCTGAATGAGGCTGTGCGTGTAATTATATACTCTTCCGCACTAAAATTCTAGATATACATAGAATTTGAACATTGCCCATTTTGGATCCAATTTTCATTCTCATTTCAATTATATTATACCACTTCCATGGCTGCAGAAACTGGACGAAAAAGGAGATTTACCAACAAAACTGGCTTCCTATGGAGGAGTATTTTATAATTACTTCAGCATAGGTAAGCTGAACTCTAAAAAAGTGTGTTTATTGCACTGAATTTCTTGATTCAACAAAGATGTGTGTGTAGATTAGTGGGAAACTGATATTAGTTGTTGTAATGGCCTAAGCTCACGGTTAGCGGATACTGTCCTCTTTGAGCTTTCCCTTCTAGGTGTCCCCTTAAGGTTTTAAACTGCACCCTTGTGAGGCTCAACGAATTTTAGAGGTTTCCACACTCTTATAAAGAATGCTTCATTCCCTTCTCCAACCGATGTGGGATCTCACAATCTTGTTAGTGGTGTGTTTGAGCTCAAAGGGAAATCCCAAAGAGGACAATATCTGCTACCTGTGAGATTGGGCCGTTACAAATAGTATCAAAGTCAGTATCTGGATAGTGCGAGACACTAGTTAGAGTAGGACTAGATGCTCTCCATAGTAGATGCGTTTTAAAACCTTGAGAAAAAACCCGAAAGGAAAAGTACAAAAAAGACAATATCTACTAACGTGGGCTTGGATGAATTAGATTGATATTCATGCTCTAATTCCTTAAGAAATAATCTATTTGCTTCTTCAGAAAACTCATTAGCAGGCCATTTAACTGATTCAGTGAATGCATAACGCAGGAATGGATGCTCAAGTTGCTTACGGCTTCCATCATTTGCGTAACAAAAGACCAAAACTTGCTCGAGGTCCACTTACAAATAAGGTTGAACTTACCTGCTTAGACCTTAAACAAAAATATTATTTCACGATTAGTGGATGTTTACCAACTTACACGTGCTTTCTTTCATATGTGAAAGCTGATCTACTCTAGTTATAGTTGCACTCAAGGTTGGTTCTTCACTTCCTGCTCAAACGATCCAAATTTGAGGTGATACTTTATATTCATTAAAATCCCAGTAGAACACATGTTTTTGCAGTTTCTAAGAACAAAAAGCCTCTCTGTTTGTAGGGGCCTTAAGAACATCGTTAGAATACATATCAAAAAGATAAATTGCTCAGAATGGGAAAAGATTCCAATTCCTTCCAGGTAGAACTGTTCTTGGTGAAACTTGTATAGTCTGTCAGTCTTACTGATCCTTTGTTGCTTGGGCTGTGTAGTGTTAGGTCTATTGTTACTTTAAACCTTCATAACTACGCAAGCGGAAGAAACCCATGGGGTAAGCCCAAGCCACAGTACTTGGAGAAGGTACCCACTATGAAGCTCTGTGTGGCTGTTTTCTCTTGTCTATGCTATGCTTTATTGACTTCTGATCTTTATCTGGGGCTAGAGAGGCTTTGTGGAGGCGCATGCTGATGATGGTCTTCTAGAGATTTTTGGCCTAAAACAAGGATGGCATACATCGTTTGTTATGGTAGACATAATCTCTGCCAAACACATCGCCCAGGTACTTCAACACCTCGGGATAATTCTACTCATTGCTCTTGTAATTGTTAGGAATCACAAATTTCTATAATAGTATGATATTGTCCACTTTGAGCATAAGCTCTCATGATTTTGCTTCATTCCAAAAGAGATGTATTCCTTACTTAAAAATTTATGACCAACACCTTAGTTAGCCGATGTGGGGACTCTTTTCCCAACCGTAACAACTCCAACTTAAATAGCCACCATGATTCTTGCTTCTGAAGTGTTGCATACTATTTTTCAGGCAGCAGCCATTAGAATTGAAATCAGAGGTGGGAAGCGGAAGAAGGCATATCTGCAGATGGATGGGGAGCCATGGAAACAGCCAATCAATAAGGACTTCTCAACGTATGTTGAAATCAAGAGGGTTCCTTTTCAATCACTAATGATCAACGGGGACTAAAACTTTCCTCTTCAGTTTGGTCGCTGAGTGGATTTTTTTGGCTGATATATTTACGTTCAAAATATTCATTTGCAACAAAAGCTTAGATTATTTTCAACGAATGTGTACTTTACAGAGAGATTATTCAATGATATACAGTAATCAATCAAGTATAATTACCCTACATCAAATTATAGAACTACTTGGCAACAGTATTCATGGAATCGACATTATGGTCGGGAACAGTCTGCGGTGTCGTTGTTTCTTCTGCTGTTTCAGGAACAGCGTGTACCCTGGGTTGACTTGTTTGCGGAGAAGAAGAGTGGAAGTGTTCCTGGCAAAAAAGCTTGCCCATTTCAACAAATTTGGAGGTGAGTGGAGACTGGACGCTGCCGGAGTCCGGCCAACGTGTGATAAGGAACTGGGCCAAATATATTAATAACGAAGACCAGGTAGCAACTGCCGTAATGATGAACAACCCACCAAATCTGTAAACATCCAGAGGTAAATCGTTGGGATCTGGATTTGGTGCTGTTTTATTTGAGAAGTATTTCTGCTCAATTTTGAGCATTTGGTCTTGATCTTGGGTCACGTTCAGTATTGCCCTTGAAAAGTCAGCCACCAGAGGGGATCCTTTCGGGAAGGCCTGGATTAATTTTGATAGAACCCAGAAGGCAAAATCGTGAAAATTACGCTCTTAACAGAAGTAAGTTCAAAACGAGAGAGAGAGAAGGCGAAAGAACTCACGAATCCAAGACCACCGGTTCTGTAAATAGGTCCGACCGTTTGATAGCCGGAAGAATATTTCCGAAGAAAGACCTTAATGTAAGGAATTTCGTCAAAAATGGCAGCAACTCCACCATTAAAGCTTCCTTTGTTCAGGGCTATCTTAAACTCGTCGGGGCTTCCGCAGGCTATCAGCTTGGTTTCATCAAATCCTAACCGAGTGTGTAGAAAATCTTTCACAAAGGAACCGTTCTGAAAACCCACGAAGTAACCCTTCTCTCTGATCTCTTCAACATCGACAAAGGAAGGATGGAGCCTTTGCGCCGTCAACATGGATGATAAGTTCGCGGTGTAACTTTGGGTCAGGATTAGCACCACAAAAACCCATATGATCAGCAAAAATCTGGATAAGTTGTTCAATATCCTCTCCCCTAAAACAAATCAATTTACACGCACCCATTAAAGGAGTAAAAAATTAAGCTATGAATAAGAGTAGTAGAGTACTGACTGTGAGCAAAGACGAGCGTGGAGAAGCTGAACCAGAAGATGAGGCCGATTTGTTGTTGGGCTGGGCCTCTTCCGAAGTCAGTGTTGACACGACATTCCAGTAGCCAAACCACAAAGCCTGTAAATACGAAGGAGAGGAAGGAAAGTAGCCATAGATCCCTTGTAAATGGCTTCATGAATATCCACATGTGTTCCTTCTTATCGCTTGTCACAGAAACCAGCATTGACACCCCCGATTCTGAGTAAGGCTGAGTGAAGTCTACGAACTCCGACCGATTTGCAACTATTGTTATGTCTCCAACAATTGCATCCACTTTCTGAGCCTCAATCTGGCTCAGAAGCTCGTCGTAGGACCCCTTACTTTTCCCAATTTTGTCTACAAAAGGGACGAACTCGTAATCTATGTTCATGTGTGGTACTTCAATTGCAAGGCGGAAGACGTCGATGCAGAATCCGGACGACTTCTGGGGCTCTTTTATGTTCGTGTTTACGAACTCCGGGAATCCTTTGATTGGAATTCCTATTCTCAATTTCATCTTGGGTTGTTCGGCCGTGGGTCCGGGCCAAATGGGTCGCTTCAGTTGGTTTTTTGAATTTGATATTGCAACTTCAGGCCGGACTCCTCCGCCTCCTTTCTGGCTCCAGTATCCGATGATCCGCTCCTTCTCGCCCACCAGATTGAACACTTCAAAGGTTGGTGGGTTTAGCTCTCCGTCGACCAAATTGAAAACTCCACTAATGCCTTCAATTTTTGTGTTCCTAATTGCATCCCGAAGACTTACCCTCATCGCGCGTCTATCAGTTGCAGTTGCAGTCGCAGAGATGGTGGCATTCAATTTCTCCACCGCCGTGCCCAACGCCCACATCGTATCGTACGCCTGCACTGCAAAAAGATTGAGCGATGCTGTTGCACGCGCATCCCCATTTTATGTCATTACATTTCAACGGCGGTATTAAATCACGCAAAAATCTAACCAATTAAGCTTGTCACCAATTTAGCCGTTTTAAACTTTTAACATAATTTTCACTGTTTTGATTAAAAATTTAACTCAAAATTTCCAACAAATATTATTCTTCAAATTCTAAAATATTTATTTACAATTCTAGCATTTACGATTTTGATCTCCAAACTCTTATTAAGTCTATTTTAACCACTAATTTTTTTCTAAAAAAAAAATAATTATTATTTAGTAGAATTGTTGGGGAGAAATCTCATATTAGCTGATTAAGGAAAATATCATAATAGAGGGTATATTTTGTCCAGTCGAACCTCAATTAAGGAGAGGTTGTTCAAGGGCTCGAGATAGTCGAGCCTTGATTAAGGAGAGCCTGTTCGAGGGCTCGAGATAACCGAGCCTCAATTAAAGAGAGGCTGTTCGAGGGCTCGAGATAGTCGAGCCTCGGTTAAGGAGAGGTTGTTCGAGGGCTCGAGATAGTCGAGCCTCAATTAAGGAGAGGCTGTTCGAGGGCTCGAGATAGTCGAGCCTCAATTAAGAAGAGGCTGTTCGAGGGCTCGAGATATTCGAGCCTCAATTAAAGAGAAGTTGTTCGAGGGCTTAAGATAATCGAGACTCAGTTAAGGAGAGGCTATTCGATGGCTCGAGATAGTCAAGCCTCAATTAAGGAGAGGCTATTGGAGGGATTGAGATAGTCAAGCCTCAATTAAGGAGAGGCTATTCGAGGGATTGAGATAGTCGAGCCTCAATTAAAGAGAGGTTGTTTGAGGGCTCGAGATAGTCGAGCCTCGATTAAGGAGAGGTTGTTCCAGGACTCGAGATAGTCGAGCTTCGATTAAGGAAAGGCTGTTCGAGAGCTCCAAATAGTGTTTAGTAGAGGCTCTATGATATACTTTATTTAAGTAGATTGTTGAAGATGGTTGAGAGACGAGTCTCACGACCATAAATTTAGAAATAAGGAATACATGTTGATGAGGGCAAGAAGAAAACAAAAACGAAAATCACGTGAAGAGAGTGGATGGTGCAGAGACAAACCTAAAGGGAGTGGAAGTTGTTGGTTGAAGGTTGCTTGAAATTGTTGAAGCTTTTTGGTTTGGGGTATGTATGGCCTTACGCCCACAATCCCTTGCATTGCGTCAAGAGCCTGGGGATCCGTGATTGGATCAAGCAAAGAGGAAATCCCATCTGTCACAATCCATGCATACCCATCACTCATCATTCCCTCCTCCTTGGCCTCAATTAAAACCCTCGACCCAAGGGAAGCAGTCATGTGAAGAAGGAACACCCTTATTCTCCGCCTCAAATTCATCACCCTCCTCAGCTCCTCACGAATTTCCCTCCCACTCGCCCTCCAAGGGATCCCCCTTCTCTCAAATAATCGGGTGCCGTTTTCTTGCAAGGCGTCTGCCAGATCTGGGATGATGCCACGTCCATATTCTGTGTCTTCGTAAATTGCAACTATCTCTCGCCACCCGTACAGTTGAACGATGGCGCTTATGGCTCCAACCTGGGCCGAGTCGCTTTGGCCTGCCCTTATGAAATATGGGTTGTGCTTGGGAGACAGCGAGGGGCTTGTTCCTTCGAGGGAGATTATGGGAATTTCATATTTTCCTCCGAATTCCGCCAGGTACATCGCTTTTTCTGAAGTTTGAGCTCCGATGATGACATCTACTCCTTCTCTTAATAACTCCGACGCTGCCACAGACCATAGTAACGATTTAGAGAAGAATCGTAAGTTTATAATAAAAAAGTACTGTGTTCTAATATAAGAGCAAAAGTCATGAGAGCTAGAAAGAGTTCTGAAAACAGTTACCGGCAGATGCAACTCCGACGATGTCTCCAGCGTTCTCGAATATAGGAATAATCCTGGTTTTGTACTGAGGATTTGCAGTATAGAAATCGGAGAGGGCCAATTGGATGGAGGCGTTGCATAGTTTGCCCACAGTCGAGTTGGGATCAAGCAGCACGCCCAGTTTAACGCCCTCGCCTCCGATCCAACAAAGCACCGCCCACACAAACCACGCCGCGATGCAGCTTCCGCCGCCCCATTTCTTCCCCGTTCCCATACTCAGGCGACTACGCCAATAATGTCAAAGCGCGGGTTCTTTCTTTCACTGCTTTGCTCCACGTTCCCTCTTTAGAACCTCTCTAAACTCTGTTTCTTTAAATTTATACTTTCGAGTTTTTAAATTTATTTATTAGCATATTTTTTCAATTTTATAAATATTTTACACTCAAAATTGAATAAGTCATACTAGTCATAAAATTCTAATAAATTCCTAAATGCTTAATTTATCAGAGAAGAGTAAGAAACTTAAAAGACACACTTATTTTTATTATATACAAAATTTAATTTTAAATTTTTATTATACTCGTAAGATTTTAATTAAATATAAATTCAAAGCTTAAACTCTATTCTATAATAATTTATTTTTTTACTTGTCACAACTATTCCATTCTTTCTTAAAATAATATTCCACGGGGCTATTATTACTAGCCAAATTCGAAAAACAAAAAATTTTAATTTTAATTTTATTTCTAGAATTTTATTGAAATTATATTCCACGGGCTATTATTATTTTTTGGAATTTAATGATAGAATTAATTCCAGACTTGATAGGTCGTTGTGTGGATTATGTGGCAGATGGAGTCATTTGACGAAGCACACAAGTCGTTACTCGTGTCGGCCATCCTCAGCGTTCAAACCGCGTTGGAGAGATAAGATGCTTGGCAGTAGACTGCGTAGTTGTGCGACTGGCCACAAAAAAAACTTGGTGAAGAAGGAAAGTCGAAATGGGGATAGTTATTGCGACAACGAATGAGGTGGGACAACAATTTTCTTCACCATTGATGTTTCCTTGTAATTCCCAAAAAGAAATTATTATTAATTACATTGTCTCCTTGCTCGTGTAAACCAAACATTTTAAATTTATCTGTGATATTATCCACTCTCGTAGCTTTGCTTTGAGTCTCTTAAAAGATCTCGGACAAATGAAGAGAGCATTCCTTGAAGAAGGTCTCAGACATATGAATAGAATATTTCTTGTAAACTCATAATCATTTTCTAAATTACACTCCCTCTCAATAATTCTCAACAAAATTAATTAAAATATATGGTTAAAATTGAAGTTATTATTATGTGGTTTTTTTTTTTATTATTATTTTATTTATTTTTTATTCCGGTCTGGATTATGTGAGCGCTAATTTCGTTTGAGAGAGAGTGGGACCATATAAGTAGGGCGCGACTAGAAAGCGCGCCATGCTTTTAGTTTGAAGCATCGGTCTCTGGACGTGGAGTGGAAGTGCTCTAGGGTTTACATTTCGTATCGAAGATTCTCCCACTGCCAAAACAAATTCGATAGCCATGGCGAGCACCAAAGTTCAGAGGATTATGACTCAACCGATTGTACGCGCGGAATCTCTTCATTTTTCTTCCTTCCTTGATTATACTTTGGGCTGCCTTTATCTATTTCTGCGTCTTACTGATAATTTCCGGATGTCTTTTTTTTCTTTTTTCCTTTGATCACGGTGTCGCTGTATCTTTGGAACTAGAACTTGATATTCAGATTTCTCCAAAGTGTAAGAACTTACTTCCATTCCTAATTATCCACCTTTTTTTTTCTGGCCTAACTCGGTTTTCTGATTCGAGTTTGTAATCAATGCAGAAAGCTCGTATTCAGATTTGGCTATTTGAGCAAAAAGACCTTAGGATCGAAGGCCGAATTATTGTAAGGTTTTGTTTATTGCTGCTTACTATTTTCTTTTTATACTGGCTATTTACGTAATGCGGATTGAAGCCTACGTTTTCCTATACGTCGATCTTTTGGCATGTATTCATGATTGATAGATGCTCCAACTTTATTGTTGGACAATTTACTCTCTCATATGCTCCTTATAGAAATCCTCTGATTTCAGTGGAGCACAGGGCAAGAGTGTGTTAAAAATTTCTTCGATATCCTGGATAAAGACCTCAAGCTCCTACTCCACATCCACATCATGAATTTCCGCAAAATTTCTAGAGTTGAACAAATTCAATTGTGTAGGCGGTTTATTAGGTACAGGTAGAATTGGAACCTACTTGAAATTCATGTTACGTAATAAATGGGCATGCCTTCAAGATTGTGCTTTAGTATTTCGATTTCCTTTTACATTGCTGCCAAAAGTTACACACATGCTGGAAATTGGGTGAAATTTGGGACATAGCTTCAAATTGCCGCTCATGTTGGTTATCACCTAAACTCGCTCTTGGAATAGGAATGGATCATGGTACAGAGTTCTAATTTCATATTTCTTTGTGTAGTTAGTGAGTGTTATTTGAATCTCAGTTCTAAATAGATCAAGTCTCTTATGGAAAAATTTTCACGGTTAGAGTTATATCTCAGTATTCTTTCCAATTCAAACAGACCGTTGGGGTTGGAACTAGGTTTCCCTGAAACCTCATAATGCCAAAGGCAATGGTCAATTACTTCTATGATCCGCAGTTTTCTCCATGAAATTGTTTCATCTTCTGTTGCCGGAGCGCACACCTTGAAATGAAAATTGCTTTAAGCGATGTCCCCATGCCTGGGAATTGATTTCCATCGGTCTATTCCTCCATGAAGTTAGTTTATTCTTCCACATAAGGTTGTTGCGCCCTGTTCTTACTCGATTAAGATGGTTTCCTTTCTCTTGTGTGCGCAATTCTCCTCATCAATCTATGTAAAATGTGACCAGTTCTGCAGAAAACTTTTCCTACCAAGGACTGAACGCTGTTTTCAGAATTCAGACAGCAAGCATGTTTGGTCGTTATTCCTCTTGTGAACTCAGTGAATCGTCTCTTAACTTTTGATATTTAATTTAATGAAATAGCGTATTTCATGTCTCTTTCGTCTACTTCATCTTAAAAATTATTGCGATGCTAGGAAGCACAAACACTTTGCTCGACAAAGTGTCTGTGTTAGACACAAATATGTTTGGACACGCTCTCAACACTGGTCCAACACACAAAATTGCGTTTTTTTTTTTTTTTTTTAATAGCTAAGGACACGTCTCACACACCAGGGACACACCTAAACAACCTCAAACCTTTGAGACGGGACGGCACTGGGGTGAAGTTAATAGGGGGAAGAACGGAGGGAAATCACAAATGAAGGTGAAGAGAATAAATGAAGACGAGAGAATCCGTGGAGAAGAGAGCTTCGTGGGGTTTATTTCTAAAAGAAGTATAACTTTTTTATAACCTTTTATTTTGAGTCTGGCATGCTGGGCTTTTGTTCTTTATTGGGTTTCTTTATGTGGGCTTAGATGATTTAACTTATTGGTCATTTAATTTTTATGCACTATTTTAATTTGAACTTAAACTCAATGGGTACTTTTTCTTGATTCACGTTTTTAAAAAATAGTTAGTAAAAAAGTATAGTTTTTTCAGTTTGATTTTTTAATATTTTAAATAAAATTTAATTAAAATAACAGGTCCCCAACGCGTCTATGTCTATGTCCTACATTTTTAAAAATTGGTGTGTTGTCATGTCCATGTTGTTTCTGCGTCTGCGTCCATGCTTTTTAGTTGCAATGTTAGCTTATATGCCTCAGCTTTTCTGTAGTTTACATCCAAGATTATGTTCATGGATTATCTTGCACTACAAAATTTGAAATTTCTTGGCCCTTCGTTTGTTGTAATTACCTATGTTTTGGCTGATTTATTAAATGCTTTTATTATAACTTATAAAGGAGGTAGGCAGAGGAAGCTGGTTCTTTTATATTAAAGTTATCATTTTCTTGACCGAACAGGGATTTGATGAGTACATGAATTTAGTTCTTGATGATGCTGAGGAAGTTAATGTAAAGAAAAAGAGTAAAAAAGCACTCGGTATGTCTTCTTTCCCCCTCATTTGTTGTTGCCTTCCCTATACTTGAGTGGTGTTATCTGAAATGCCTTTCGTCTTTCCCTTTCAGGGAGGATTCTTCTCAAAGGAGACAATATAACGTTAATGATGAATACGTAAGTGAAATTGATCTTGCATTTCCTCTCCATTTCCCTTACACCAATTAACATAACTTTTTTTTTTCTTCAAAATTTCAGGGGAAAATGACAGACCACATTATTGAGATAGTTTTCACTTCCATCGTATGGCGTTATAGCTTTTACAATTATCTTCCTTTTGGAGTTGTATCTTTCAACGTTTTAATCCATCGATGATTAACTAGTTATTATCTGGATGTATAATGTTATTTTGCTGTTGGTAGATAATATCCTTGTATTCAACTCCTTTTAATTTATCATCCTTATAACCGGTTGTTTATTCGTCTAACCCTTGAAATTATGGAACTAGGCTTCCTCGAATTGTAAACTATAAATGGTGGAGCATCGTTTGAGAACTGACCTGTTTATTTCGAGCGGGATGGTGGTTGCCATAAATTTGTTTCACTGGGTCTCAACTGATTGTCTTAATCCTCGGAGAAAACAAAAGCTTCACCTTCCTTATGCTGTACAAGATTGTTTATCAAGTTATGTTGTGATGATGCGTTCTAGATATTACTTTCTAGAGGATTTGGTTACAACTCTTAAACCAAAACTCAGTCAGTCATTTTTTCTTAAGGCAACTGTTTAGGGTATGTAATCCTTGGACTTAATATCGCTCCAAGCTGTCCAGCAGTATTGAGTATGCAAGTTCAAGCCAATGTACAGGATAGAAAACCACATGACGAGAGAGGTCTATAGGCAATAATTGGTGTGGGGTGCTAAATTTTTGCCTTTTGTTAGTATATGATCTATAAATTTGATACAGTGATGGTTGTTCTGCTTTTGTTGTTTTTACACGATAGAGGCAATCATGAAGTGGGAAAGGGGGTGTGATCGGATTAAAGGCAGACATCTAATAGTAGACTTTTGGTGATAAAAAGGCATATCTGAGCACCAGGCTGCGGGAAGAAAGACCAGGCTGCGGGAAGAAAGATCGAACTACGAAGTGAAAGAGAATTATGAAGATGACCCAAGTGAGGGTGGTGGTGACCGGTGGGACACATACCATGGGGTCAGGGAATCACCTCTTTCTAGGTCATGTGACCAAGCCATTGTTTTCTGCTTGCAACTGGAGTATGAGGAAAGGCATGTGTACCCTTGAGTTGGAAACGACTGCGCTATCGCATTTGTTCTTTTACATTTATTGGTGACTGACTCATCCTCCACACATAATTTCTCTCTCTTTCTCTCTCTCACTCCATTCCATTCCTGTGTTGGTGCCTTCTGTGACACATTCCATAACCCCTGATTTCCCTCTCTCATGATTGGAGAAATGCATGATTGTTCAACAGTGCTTGACACAACATGAGAACATCACTATTATTATTGTTCTTATTATTATTTTAACCAAACTATCCATGGTTGATCAATTTTCTTCATTTTGGGTTGAACCTAACCTACGTTTTCTTCTGACCCTCGCAGGACATTGGTGTATCAAGTTATTTGGCATTTGGAGATAGGAATTTGTTCATGATAGCGAGGTTGAATAATAGGATTCTGTCACTCCCGATTCGTGAAGCCTGGCTGTCGCCGATACCCTTGCCCATGTGAGTTTTGGGTATGCTTTCACCAGAATGGGGTCTCAAATACTACAAAAGATAATGCCCCTTCAAACTTTTTGATGACATAGCTTTGTTGTGATGGAACAATACGAGCTGAGGGATATATTGATAGTGAAATTTCAGGAAACACAAGGGACCCTCGATCTACAATGCACATTCTACTCGCACCTGGAGGCTCCTCATCCTTCGTTTCAATCTTCATGTGAGGAGAAGGCTAATGCTGTGTCTTAGTTTTTCAAATTTTGAAGACCGCACTTCCATAAACATAGCTCCTAACTTCACTCTGAACAAGCTTTGAAGACAGCTAAAATGGTCTATGAAGTTTGGAACTCAGCAATGCCATTTATAACATCGAACTCAAATAGATGGAATATCATTGATCCAAGACCTTATCATCGGCAAAGAAATCAACCATCCACCGCGTGAGAAATCCGAGAGGATAAGAAAGGCTGTGTTGTGAGCAATAAAATCTTTGGGGGTTAATTCAAACTGCACTCGAGCCCTGCCTTGGCCTGACACAGAAAATGTTCCAGAAGCTGGGCCTCCAAAATTCTGCAAATCAGATTTGTGTGTCATTTCCGGCCAAAACATAAAAAAGGAATAACTGGGGTCGACATCGGCATACACATTCCATTACATAAGACGCAAACACAGTGTGCTGATTATGATTTCCACCATGCATTATTATCATTGCACTTCCTTGGTTGGTTACTTTTAGTTGTCTTGATTGGATGCATTGCTTCTTTCTTTCAATATCTTCACACTTTAGGCCTAAATTGTGTAGGCTAATTATGTAATTATATTCATTTATATCATACATGTTTACTAGATGTCTCACGTTGGTTGAAAAGGAGAACAAAACCCTTCTTATAAAAATGTGGAAATCTCTCTCTAGTAGACGCGTTTTAAAACTGTGAAGTTGATAGCGATACGTAATGAACTAAAGTAGAAAATATTTGGTAGCAGTGGACTTTGATGGTTACACTACCTCTACCTGGCCAAGCTAATACATGCATTTTCAAGGACGCCAAACAAGACAGACATCGAAAAAGAAAGCAAAAGAAAACAAAAGAAACAATATGTATGTGTTGGATGGGAAAGTTGAAACCGTACAATTGGCATTAGAAGGACACATGCGACCAAATCTGAATGTTTTTTCATGTTTTGTGCCAAACGAGATGATATCTTAGCTTAGCAAAGCAACGGTGGGAGACCTTGAGGATGAGGGGTGGGGGAGGAAGAAATCTGTGAATGTGATTGCTTGAAGTTGAAGGTAGTAAATTATGGTTTACGACAGTTGAAAGCAGAGAGGAGGAGAAGGTAAAAGAACTTGACCCTTCTGTTTGGGTTTGTCCTTTTCGAGTGTCTATTTAACCCTCTATGTTTTGTTCCATTTCAGGGCAAACCCACATGTTTCATGTCCCACCTTCATCAGCCTTTACAACCAAACCAAACCAATCCCCCTGATGGATCCATATTCCAAATGATTCAACTCACTTTTCTTCCTTTTATCAACCTTTGATCATTAGCACATGCATAATGCCCCAACTATTTGAGTTATGTCTTAATCTTTACAATTTGGAAGTGGGATTCCATGTTTCCATCATCTTTAGTCTTCATTTTTCTATGTTTTGAACGAATTATTGACGAAAAGACATTGATTTGCAGTGCCTCCGGGTTGCTATGCAGATTGAATGCTTAATAAATCTAAATAAACAAAGTGCTTCAAAAAGAAAACTTGTGTGCATTAAGATAAAGCATGACAACAAAATCTAATCATTTATGGGAAGACCTCTTCTGTTCTACCAATTTGATATCTCACCCACCCATCTTTCTTTTTTCTCTTTGGTTTTTCCCCCCAAAAGATGTTCATAGCTTTTCCAATCACTTCACTCTATTCTTTTCAATTATGATAATCATTTTGTGTCCTTCCTTATATACGTAATCCCCAATCTTTCTTGTGGGCATACACCATATTTAGTGTACTCTTACCATAGCTCTCACCAGGCAATATATAAATAAACTTCGTATAATTAGAAATTGTGAATTGTGTCCGTTACATATCGCCTACTAGGGATAGATTTTCATACTTTTATAAGAAATGTTTCGTTCCCCTTTCCAACCGACATGAGATCTCACAATCACAATCCACTCCTCTTGGGGGTCCAGCGTCCTCGCTGGCACACTACCTAGTGTCTGACTCTTATACCATTTGTAACAACTCAAGCTTATTGTTAGTAGATATTGTCTGCTTTGAACTGTTACGTATCGCCATCAACCTCACGATTTTTTAAATGCGTTTACTGGAGAGAGATTTCCACACTTTTATAAGGAATGTTTCGTTCCCCTCTCCAACCGAATGGTATTAGAGTCAGGCATTGGGCGATGAGCTAGTGAAGACGCTGGCTCCCAAGGGGGTGGATTGTAAGATTCTAAATCGGTTGGAGAGGAAATAAAACATTTCTTATAAAGATGTGGGAGCCTCTCTTTAGTAGACGCGTTTTAAAACTCGTGAAGTTAACAACGATACGTAACGAGTTAAAGCGAACAATATCTACATGTAGTAGACTTGTTCTATAGAGGGTACGCTGAGAGTGACAGAATCTGTGAGTTTACCTAATCTTCGGTAAGAAATATATGTTGTACTGATTAGAACCAATTATTTATCCACTTTGTTTTCTGAATTCCACTCAAGCACCTTATCCACCTCCTTTTTTTTGTTCCATACAAACGTTGGCACATAAGATGGTGTGAAGGCATTGATATTCTCCCCCATCAAATCAGCCATACACAGAGACAAACAAAGAACAAGAGCATCCATTGAAACAAAATATTATGAAAGAAGCAGAATATACCATCCATCAATGCCTAAATTAATCATATTCATTCATATGTTATAATATGTTGATGGGTTTGATTTTAATATCACTTTCATTCGCTTTGTCATATCCATTGGTAAGAAAAGCTATGTGTAGTGCTTACCAATGACTTCATTGTCTCATAAAATATTAATGAATAGCCATTAAAGATGGTTACTTTATGGTCATCCCACTTGCCGAAATTAAGTAAGTAATTACAAAACAAGAGCAAAGTTAGAGAAAAATTCTGTGCTTTATTTGTTTAATCTCATTGCTTTGTTACCTTAACTGAGAAGATGTAATATGATCGATCAATTAAACACCTTATCTTTGAACTTGGGTAAGCTGCTTTTAAGTTTCTCTTCCTGTTCATCATCTTCTCCATCGAACTTTCGAGAAAAAGTCTTACATTAGTCAATTAAAGATAAGATCATGAATTTATAAGTAAAGAACAATATCTGTATAAATATAAATCATTAAAAACGTAAAAAGGTAAGGAGTTAGGAGACCAAACATACCATTATTATAATAAAAAGAAATGATAAAAGATCGGAAGAAGTGGGATTTGGTGTGGATTTGTTTAGAACAAGAAATCCAAGGAAGGAATAGGATAAGATAGAGTTAGTGGGGGGAAGATTCAAATTATTTTAATTTTTATAATAAAAACGAATTTTAGCTTATTGGATGGTAAATTATAAATAAAGTAAAAAGGAAAATGCAAGTGTCCTTGACGTGTACGTCCGAGTGGGCAATTGGATATTTGTTACGGGGTTTGTCCTTTGCATGATTTATTTACATATCATATCTTTCGAAATGATCATGAATTTATAAATAAAAAAAGCATTTCGTAAAAACAAAAAAATAATATAAAAAATTATCACATTTTAATTACATCCTAAATAATTTCACACGTCTTTAAATTTTTTTATTTTAATCGGTGGGACCATGAAGGGTATAAATGTCCTGAACGGCGTACTAGGTCTGTACGGTAACTGGAAATTAGAAAACAAAAGTTTTTATTTTTATTTTTAATTTTTTAAAGACTTTGTTAAAAATAAAAAATAAAAATGAAAACTTGGCCAAAAGGTCACTGACATAATCACTCGTTGCATATTACCAGAAAGCCCTTTTGTGCGCTTGTGGGTCCCACGTCTCCACCATCCGACCCCACCTCTTACATATATGACGACATCCGACCCCATCTCCCTCTGTATCTATAAATAACGGTTCACGCCCCCAAGGCTTCAACATCTTCATCTCAATTCTCAACCATTTGCGAACCCTTTTAACAATGGTGGCCAACAGAGAGCCCTTGGACGTTTCACGGCACTCAGCCGCACCTGAACCCCAATTACATTTCCCGCAACAACAACGGCAGCAGCAGCTGCAGCACTCCCCTTGGCATTCCCCTGTCCCTTACTTGTTCGGTGGTTTGGCTGCTATGTTAGGACTCATCGCTTTTGCGCTTCTAATCCTCGCTTGCTCTTACTGGAAGCTCTCCGGCTACCTCGACAGCGGCGACGGTACCAATCGGGAGCCCAACCTGGAGGCCGGCAACGACGACACCCAGAAACGCCCTTCCCCTGTTTTTGAAGAGAAAATATTGGTTATTATGGCTGGAGAAATCAAGCCCACGTATTTGGCTACTCCCATGTCTAGCAGATCCTCTTCTTTTGGGGATACCAAAAGCAATAGTAGTTGTAGCAGCAGTGCGACTGGTACCGCCGACAAGGATGAAAAAGAGACGGCGAAACAGAGCATCGGAAATCAGGAGGCTCAGAGTATAGAAAACAAAGAAACTCCTGAATCTTCAGATCAGACGACCAATTAACATAATTTTTTTAAATAATTTTATTGGGGTTTGGTTTGTTTTTGTTTTTGTTTTTGTATATATACATATATATAAAAACACGAGCTTTGGTAGTATTCTTAAGTTGCTAAGATTTTTTTTACCCTCTCTGAAATCTGTAAATCTAGCTGAGACGGAATGAATCTTTTGCCTCTTTGAAAATCAAAACTAGTTTCCTTCTCTTACACACAATTGAGTAAAAAAGAATAAACTTCAACAATGATCGTATTGTTAGGGATGAACTGGAAGGCATTGGATTTGCAGAAAGTGGAGGGCGTGAGCAAGGGAGTTGTTTTGGAAGGCACGTGGAGAAGTGGCCGGAATTGGAGGGTGCCGGTGGGGGTGATGCGGCGAGGTGAAACTTCATGCATCCTTTCATTTAATAAAGCTGTTCCTAATTTCCCTCCAAAACGGACTCCAACAAACTCACATCTCTGTGTGTCTGTCTGTATGTCTGTCTGGGTTTGGGCTATGTTCTGTTAGCTTACGAACTATAATACTCACAGTTCTTGCTTTAACTCCAACATCTCAATCAAATCAAACCCTCAACTCAATATTGCTATTTACGGATATAACATCTGAAGTTTCCATCTTTTTCATTCTTTTCATCAGCTACTCTCCTGTCATCAACAATTTCTCTTTATCTCTTTAAGTTGTTCTTCAATAAATATTTTCTTATACTTGTTCTTGGTCGATTCCAAGGAAAGAATGGCTTGGATAAGTTTCTTATATTCACCCTTCAAATTTACCGCTAGCAGATATTGTTCGTTTTGGCCCGTTACGTATCTCATCATTCCCACCTTATTTTGGAATCCAACATCCTTGCTAGCACACCGTTCGATGTCTGACTATAACACCATTTGCAACCGTCGAAGCCCATCACAAATATTATCTACTTTTGCCCGTTACGTATCGCATCAGTCTCACAAATTTAAAATGCATCTACTAGGGAGAGATTTCCACGCCCTCCTACAAAAAAATGAGTTCGAATCTCATGATTTTTAACTGTTTTTGCTAGGTAAGAATGGAAGGAATTTGAATATATTGGGGGCCTACAGTGGAATAGGCACCTAAAAAGGCAACATAGCCCTGGAAGGACACTTTATCCCAAATCCAATTCCAAGTTAGAACCCACTTAAGTATGTCCCTCTTCTATTATTATAACTTTATTCCTTCTTAATTATTGGCAATTGAATATGCTCTCCTCTCCTGAATCCTAGGTCCAAACCTTATTCTATACAATGTTTTAGTATTATTATTATTGTATATACTCTTTTTCTCACTCCAACATTTCCTACCTCTTCGTTATAAGGGTTGGTACACCTACACGGTGAGATCTCACATCCATTAGAAAGGGGAACAAAGCACGTAAGGCTAACGGCAATATGTAATAGGCCGAAGTGGACAATATCTAATAGGGATGAATTTAGGCTGTAACATACATTTTCCTTGTTTTGATAGCGTCGATACGTCACATCTTGGGCCTTCAAGCTTCTTTTAGCTATACAAATCAACTAAGAAGTGGCAACAATAATGATGGGGAAGCCATTAAACTAAGCTTGTTCCAATGTTTTTGTAACCTCATGAAGTTGCAATGAGCTCAAGTTAACATCCATGGGATTGGAAAATAGTGGAGTGTAGAAATTGGCATTTGGTTCCACATCATTCGTCTTGTGGTTCTCATAATTTGAACAAATAATAAAACTTTGTCTTAATTTGAGTGGCATGTTGAGAATTTGGGAGAGAGTGAGTTGTGGGTGAGCTAAGATTGAACGACATTATGAATTATTGATCAATTCGTCATTCCAACTACAACGACTATTGATTGCATATGCACAATATAATATAATGGGTCTCGATAACAACCATTCCATTCGACCATGGTTTCAACCCTGTCGCCGGGGCTGCCTCGTTTCGTTCATGGGCCCTCTCTAACAATGCTTTCCTTTTAAGGCCCTTTTTGCGTCATAATCAATAATTGGTCTTGTTCATATATTTAATGAAAAAGAATGAATTGGTCTTGTTAAAGCCGCAGGAGTGAGCACCCACGCAGCATATCCGACGACAGAGGCCGGCCGAGGTCGGCTTTGATTACATTTACACTAAATTACAAGTGGCAAACTCTGAAACATTGGTAATTTGGTTTAAAAGTGGAAACTTTTCTTTACCAGTTGGATGCTGACCTGACACAAAAACCAAACCATGGGATCGTCTTTCAGTTGCTGTGGCTCTGAGAAAATAGACCAAGGGTTTGTCTGTCAGAACCCAAATCTCAAAAATATGCCCTTTTCCCCTTTTTCTGATGAATTTTGATCATTTTTGTTGTGGAAGGTTCGTTGGAGGGAACAGTTCGTGGAGGATGTTTACGTACAAGGAGCTGCATGCGGCCACGAATGGTTTCCATGAGGACAACAAGCTGGGAGAAGGAGGATTTGGAAGTGTTTACTGGGGCAAGACCAGCGATGGTCTTCAGGTGAAAATTAAGGCCAAATTAGCATGTAAAATATTGTGCAGGATTTGTTTGAAAAAGGAAGATGAATTTGGTGGAAAATTATGTGTGTAGATAGCGGTGAAGAAGCTGAAAGCGATGAATTACAAGGCAGAGATGGAGTTTGCAGTGGAAGTGGAAGTGCTGGCGAGGCTGAGGCACAAGAATTTGTTGGGGCTGAGGGGTTACTGTGTGGGGACTGATCAGAGGCTTATTGTTTATGATTACATGCCAAATCTCAGCTTGCTCTCCCATCTCCATGGCCAATTTGCTTCTGAAGCTCACTTGGATTGGAAAAGAAGAATGAAGATCGCTCTTGGCTCTGCTCAAGGCATTTTGTAAGTCATTACTTCGTTTCTTGTCTTTTTATTCTTTGTTTTTGTCCACACCTTCCCGATATTGTCTTAGGGAGAGTTTTCTACCCTCTTATAAAGTATGTGTGTTACGTATATGCTAGGGAGTGGTTTCCACACTTTTATAAAAAATGTATGTTACGTATATACTAGGAAAAGGTTTCAACACTCTTATAAACAATGTGTGTGTATTCCCCTCCACACCCATCTAAAGAATGTGTGTATTCCCCTTTCCAACCGATGTGGAATCTCACAATCCATCCTCCTTTGAGAGCCAGCGTCATCTTCTGCACCGCCTGATGGTCTACTAGGGAGAGATTTCCACACTCTTACAAAGAATGTATGGGCACCGCCCGGTGGTCTACTAGAAAGAGGTTTCCACACCTTTATAAAAAATGTGTGTTCCCCTCTCCAACAGATGCGCGATCTCACAATTCACCTCCCTTCGGGGCCCATCGTCCTCACTGGCACACCGCCTGGTGTCTAGCTCTGTTACCATTTGTAATGGCCAAAGCCCACTTGCAAGCAAATATTGTTCTCTTTGGACTTTCCTTCTCGAGCTTTCCTCAAGATTTTTAAAATGCGTTAGGGAGAGGTTTCTACACCCCTATAACACCTTTATAAAGAATACTTCGTTCTCTTCCTCAGTCGATATGAGAACTCGGAGAACTCTGAAATATTGACTTTATGATGTGTAGGTATTTGCACCAGGAAGTAAGACCCCACATAATCCATAGAGACATAAAAGCAAGCAATGTGCTGTTAGATTCAGATTTTGAGCCACTTGTAGCTGATTTCGGGTTTGCAAAACTAATACCAGAGGGTGTGAGCCACATGACAACTCGAGTCAAAGGAACCTTAGGGTATCTTGCTCCTGAATATGCCATGTGGGGCAAAGTCTCCGAGAGCTGTGACATTTTCAGCTATGGGATTCTTTTGCTAGAGCTCATTACGGGAAGGAAGCCAATTGAAAGACTCCCTGGTGGAGCAAAGAGAACCATTTCTGAATGGATCAGCATCACAATAAACAAGGACAGATTCAAAGACTTGGCGGATAGGAAGCTGAAGGGACACCTCAATTGGAAACAGTTCGATCATGTATTGCATTTAGCAATCATGTGCGTGCAGACCGAACCAGATAAGCGCCCTACTATCAGAGAAGTGGTAGACTGTTTGAAAGCCTTGATGGCTGATGGCGAACACAAGGGAAGCATCAAGCCCATGCTAATGAGTATCTCAAGTGTTAGATGTGATACTGATGAAGATGAGCAGGCAAGCAGAGAACATCGTGGCGGTGGAGATCAAGAGAGTTTCGATTATGGGGTTTTTAGTGCCATTGAGGAGCAGAAGATGAGAGATCCTTACAAACACCATGAAAATTTGAGAATGCATGCTTAATTAGCACTACAATGTAAGCATATGAAGCCAAAGTTTATTTAATATGAACATATAGGATACAAGGTTGCTATAGTGTTTTTATAGGTCTCAAATTATTCTCTGTTATAATCTTTGATCATATCTGTTTGATGGGACATATGGTAATGATTTATTTATAAATATTTTATATATCATTATAGCATGTCCCCAAACATTATTTGTTTCTCAATAATGAAAAATTCGACTATAAACTAACCTACCTTCCCCTAGTATTAAAAAATACGAGTGGTCGTTGATCATGAAGATCCGGGACTAGAGACTATAAATCGTTACCACTATGGCGACGTTGGTTGGAGAACGGTGACTAGCAATTGAGATTGACAACTCCTGACCATCAGTGGAGTGGTCGTTGGTCACCTAGTCTTTGGTCTTGGTTGTTGGTGATGTGTGGTGGTCGATATTACTCATTTGAGTAGTATTGTAACAGCCCAAGTTCACCGGTAACAGAGTATACTCTGGACTTCTCCTCAATGTTTTAAAATATGTCTATTATGGAGAGAGTCTAGCTCTACTCCGACCATTGTCTTGCACCATCTGGTGATTGGCTTTGATGTTACTCAAGCCCACCGCTAGCAGATATTGTTTGCTTTGACCCGTTACGTATTGTCATTGGTCTAACGGTTTTAAAATGCATCTGTTAAGGAGAAGTTTTCACACTCTTTCTGGAAATATTTCATTCTCCTCTCCAACTGACGTGATATCTCACATGGGCTATTACAAGTTATCATTAATCACCGATCTCTGATCTTCAATCTCGATCCTTGTTCTTGACTCTTACCAAAGTAGTTACAAGTCATCAGTCTGTGACCGTTATTCGCCCGTCCTGATCCATTGTCAGAGTCACCGGAGACTAACGGGTATGTGGTTGCTTATCCTAGTTCCCAGTCATTGACCTCTAATGCTCAAAATGGTTGCTAGTCACAAGTCTCCAGCCTCAATCGCTGGTCTTGGTTTGCAGTTTGCAATGCACATGTGTGTGTTTATATACACATATGACGACGAGATATGACTCTGATCATCCCTATTTAGATACTCGAATTTAGTGAGCCGATGCATGACTTGGAATTCGCATTATAAAAAGGTGAGTGGACCAAATGCTCATAATTACACGAACCAATTATTAGAACTTGAAAACTGCAGCTGCTTGAATCCACTGCCCTCATAAAAGTATTATCTTCCGAGAAGTAATTTAAAAGAAAAACTTTTACAAACCCGTGAAGAAAAAAGCTTTTACCATTCCCAGAAAGTTACAACACTCCACGTGACGCCACTTTTCTGGGATGATACTTATCCAAACAGACACCTCTGTCAAACATCGCCCAAGTTGAGCTAAAATTTTAAATTAGGATCTGGCCAATAGGAATGCAGAAAAAGATTCAGAAGGGCAAATCGGTTATATTTGCAAGGAGAAGAGGGTGACAAAAAACAAGCATCTTGGGATAGCCACGCTCCTGCAAATCTATCACTGCTTGCTTGTTTACATCATCGTCATCAAACACATAATTTGCCGTAATCTACCGTTCATTTATTCAATGCGCACAATAAGAATTATAAATCTAAGCAGCACTGGGTTTAGTTGTTCAGTTCAATTCAGCTTAGTCATGGTTAAAACGTCGGTACCACGCCGTACTGGGTGTCTGCCAAGAACAGAGACGAACCAGCCGACCCATACATTTCTTCAACCTCTGATAGCGTGACAGTCCGTTTAGCGAACCGGCCTTTGATTCTGGGTCGGGTTTCGGCGTAAGCTTTTCTTGAAGCGTACCGGATTGTCTTCTCGAACTTTCTGTTCTTCCTCTTCTCTCTGTACCTCAACACTCTCGCCTCCCGGTCGATTCCACATAATTGAGTCGCTTGGTTGCCGGATCCCGATACCGGTAGCCCCGAGTCCCCCCCACTACTCACGCTTTGACCCAACCGGTATGATATGTCGGACATCGAATTCGCTTCTGGGACAACTCCGACTTCTAGGGAAGAAGAGGAAACCTGAAGAATTCAAACAATCACAACTTAATTAGTTTAATTGACCCAAGTTTTGGGTTAAATTAGAAATTTTTGGTCTGGGGTTGGGTTAATTACACTGTGGCTCAGGGTTAGAGGTTGATGGCCGAATGAATTGAGCTTGGATCTGCAAAAATCGATGTCGTAGCAATTTTCTGGGGAGTGGGTATTGATCACCGGAGTACAGAGTGGCTTGGTTTGAACAGGGACGACGCTGTCGTTAATCGCGCTGTGGTTGTTGACTGGGTTTGGGTAGTCAAAATCAATAAAGGAATCCATTTCAGTGAAGAACATATGATCATGACCAGGTGGCTTGATTTCAGGTTCGTCCACGAGCTTAGAGTTGAAAGGTGGGTTGGATAAAAGCCAGGAGGCAACCTCCATTTCCTCGTGATGATGGGCACCGTGGCAGCCACTGGCGTTGGTTTCAGTGGGCAGGAGAAAATTGAAACCCGAAGAGGATTTGATCATTAACTCGGCCGTGTCGAAAAAAGGCTCGACCGGGACACGCTCGTGGCGACGTGCCAATGGGTTAGCGGAATGAATATCGGCATCGCATGCAACACAGAGAGCTGCAGCATCGGCCTTGCACATGACCACAGCAGGAGCCTGTTCACAGACCTCGCACATCCAGACGCGCTCGTGGCGAGAGGCGAACTTATTAGCGCAGTGAATTTTGGCGTCGCAGGAAAGGCAGAGGAAAGCAGAGTCAGGTCGACAATAGACGGCTGCAGGCCCTGTCTTGCAGGAGTCGCAGGGTTTAGCGACCACGCCCCATCCGCCGCCGAAACCCTTCACAACACTGTCTCCCTGAATTCCCATGGTTGATGGCGTTGTGAATTCAGAAGCCTCCAGAGTCTCCCGCCAAGAAACAGGGTGCTGGGTGTGTTGGGTGAGGAGCTGGGAGAGATATTTGGTGCGCTTTGGATTTGGTTTCAGAAGGAGGGAAGTGGCTGTGTCTTTCAGCAATCTTTATCTATCATCTATCTGACTTGTAGGGGGAAGGAAATCTGGATGCTCACGAGTAGTAACCCGACACGTGGCGACCTCTCTGCCACATTTAAAATATTATTTTAGTAACAAGATTGATACGAAGGATTAGTAATTGTCGTGTCTGTGCCGACGTAGCGCCCACTTGTGAAAGTGGACAGACTTTGGTTCAAGAGGACGGTGACTAGGCCGAGCTACAAGATCTAGTTGGCGTTCAAGCCAGTTCCATGCCAATATTAAAAAGGCTCGAAAATATTGGAAGGGTGTTCCGTGTTTATAAATAGTTTATTATCAAAGTGTACAATATCATATCATTGTAGAAAATTGTGTATTAAAATCATTTTGTTAACTTGGTGACGTTAATAGAATCTCAAATGTCGAACAAATAAATTGTGAGCTTAGAAAGTACAGTGATGTACTTTGTTTGATAGAAAGATTATTAGGAGAGAATCTCACATTGGCTAATTCAAACAATGATCATGAATTTGTAAATAAAGAATACATTTTCATTGATACAAGACCTTTTGAAAAATCCAATACTAAATTAATTATTGAGTCCAAATAATCGGCTACAAGAAAAAAGAAAAAAAAAAAAGTTAGGAGAGTGACAGAAGGAAGTGGTGGGTCATGGGTCCCGCCACGTAACCATGGTTGGCTCTTCGGTACATGGAAAGTCAGAAAAAAAGTTGTCTTTGGTTTTTTTTTTATCTATTCAAGCAACGGGCGAACCCGGCTTCCCCACTTATAAGCCAGCTCCGGTTCTCTGCTCTCCAATTTTATTTCCAATATTCCAATTTCTTGATCCATCTGATTTTTGTTATATATTTTAGTGTTTTTTTCAATGTCGTTTCTTAATTTTTAAATATCTAAATATTTTACAATTAATTACTTACAATTTATAATAGATTTCTCTTTCTTTTTTTTTTTATAAACAACCAATTAAAATATTAAATATTTTAATAATAAAACATTATTAAAATTTAAAAATAATACCCTAATTAATTATGGACTTTCTATATTAAATTATACTCTCTTTTCTCCCAAAACTAAGAGTTGGGTTGTCAGGTTAAGGGTAGACCTAGTCACTCGGGTCTAAATGAGGTCATCCATAGCGTGTAAATTTAGTTGGACCAGGTTGTCCTTCCCCATTGTCATGAGAGTTTGTGGTCTCAAATGGGAATAGAGTCGTTGTCAGCGAGCCAACGTCGCATTTATTGATACGCTTCGGGGCATTTCCGTAACTCTACTTTCAATTTTCCCTCTCACCTCTTCCCCGTGTAGGTAAGAATTGTATCGTTCTTACCGTTTAATTAATTTTAATAAAAATAAAAATGTTGAATAATGTAATATATGTAGGGTTTGTCTAGTAGTGAGATTTGGAAAGTAGATAAGAGTTTGTCCCTTCGTAATTTAAGAGATAAAAAGAAGTTGGTCGTCCACGATATGTTTTGTCGCTTTCTATGGTTGGTACCTTTGGCTAAGAGTCGAAAATGACTACTTAGATATTACTCATTTAGGGTATTCTCATCTTTCAGTTATATTTGTTACTTTTAATTTTTAATGCATAGTACGAAAACTTTAATTTTAGATCTAAACATACAATATGTTCGTTTTTACTACCTGTATGTAATTTCGGGGTTTATTTGAGTTTTTATTACCTCCAATGGAGTGCCTTTATTGTCGATGGCGGCGGCCGTGGCCACAATGTTCATTAGCTCCGTCTCGTTTGAAGGAGCCATCACCACCATATTTGGTAAACATGCCATGAAACTTGTGTCTATCGCAAACCTCACCGGCAGCTTTTGAAGATCTACATCGTCAGCTACCTGCACAACATTTTCCCGACGCTTCAGTCATCGGCTACAAAATTTGGTCTTTTGGGCCTGAAAATTTTCACGAGGTAAATTAATATAATATCAAATATTTAAGACTTGTCTTAAATTGTCAGTCACATTCTTTCAATTCACTAAGTAAATTCTCTGTTTTTATTTGTTACCTGGTCATAGCCTCTTTGAAGAAAAGAAGAGTAAATGGCGCAAAAGGGCTTGCGGCCTTCGGTGGCGAGGCCAGCAGCAAAGGTAACAGCATGTCGCTCTGTGATTCCGACGTCAAAGCAACGATCGGGAAAACACTTCTGGAAATAGTCGAGATCAGTGCCGCCTCCCATGGCGGCATGAATTGCTATGATTCTGTCGTCTCTCTCTGCCTCTGCTATCTTTCTTGACAATAGCATTTGAATGAGACCCATACCCCAGCCATTCGTCCCGTTGTGAGATTTCACAATGGTTTAGAGAGGAAAACAAAGCATTACTTACGACGAGAAACAAAGCAATACTTATAACGATACCGCTTGTAGACGTATTTTAAAACCATGAGACTGACGGTGATACGTAATGGCCAAAGCGAATAACAATGAAGTAGATTGTGAAATCTCACATCAGTTAGAGCGGAAAAGAAACATTTCTTATAATGACTTGGAAAACTACGACCCTAAGTTAAATCATTTGTTATTTTCAAATTCAAATAAGTACACGTTCGCTAGCACGTTCGCAAGACCTTTTTTTCATGTTTCCAACATTCAATTCAACAGAAATTTACAGAACATCAAATCTGTGTGTATACTCCACAAAAGAAATCTCAAAGTTCCACTCTCTCAAATTATGGAATAATTACAGGTACCAAAAATATGCGAGTGTTTGTACAAAAGAAAATTTCTCGTGAAACACTAGCAACAAGCATACGGTAAAAAGTATAAGATGTTCTAAGGATTCCGCACCGATAGTAAAGAATACATGATTATATATTGCTGCTAAAATTTACATTGCGCTTCAAACCACTCATCCCAAGTTTCAGATTCTTTTCATAAAACAAAGTTATCGATCATGTGGAAAACCACATCTGCACCATCAGAATTCAACCAATAGCTCTTCACCTGAAGCCATCAAATGTTTGTTAAAATGGGAAAAGATTTGCAATATATGAACAGAGGTACTCGGAGTCAATGCTTGAGGCAATAGCGGTTCACCTGAAGGCATAAAAAAAAAACATCCTTTTCTTTTTCTTCTTTCTAAACTACTTCACTCTATACTTGCCTGAATGGTACTGTGAGCAATGTATCTCTGTCTGCTTTTCTGAAAGCTAACATCTACTCGTGTCCAAGGAACTTGATTAAGGCCTCTAATCATCTCCTCTACATATTACAAGAAAAAACTATTTCAATGACAGGTCTAAACAAAATAATTTCAGAATTAGGCACCAAGAGAACTTGCAGAGATGGTCAAGTCATGTAGTTAACTAATGAAGCTTATGTCAAGACGGACAATAAACATGGTGGCAAGAACAGCAGCATGCTATTGAGTTCCCACCTAATTTGGCTAATTTTGTGAATCTCTCTCTTCTACTCATAAAGCATACTCTTCTCCCCAACCTTAGATCACCAAAGTTATGGGCGCATAAACACAAGGCTTATGCATGTTTTAGTCCATAATGTTTGGATGTTTTTCCAAGTTCGATCCTATTATTTAAAAACCTTAATTTAGTCCTTTACGTTTCAACAATTTTTATTTTAATCTCTTACTTTTGGTGAATGTTAGAATTGGTAGATGATACCTGCGTAGCAAAAAAAATTTTTACTTGGCAAAATGACTTTAAGGAGAGGAAAGTTTCTAATTCCTCCAAATTCTAAAAAATTGGTAAGAATTTTGAGTTTTCTTCTCTCGAGGAATAAAGATGATGCATCTGTTTTCTGAACTTGTTACCAAAGAGATTCATTTCTAATATAGTTTCACTAAAAGACATCAGACAACTAACAGAAATATAGGAGATACTAGAGAGAAGGAGGGAGAGATTTTAGACAAGGAGGTGGAAGAAGAAGGTAACCTTCTAAGTCAAGTGTTTGGTCTATAACCAGCGATGCTTTATTGCAGATGTCATCCATCCTTGATTGCTCCTCATAGACAATATGTGGGTATTTGTCATTTGTCGTAAGCTTACTTGACTGGTCACAGAATAAGAAGAAAACAGCATTTAATCTTCCTCTAGAAAAGCTCAAGAAACATAAGTGGAGAACAGCTGAAACACAAACCTTACCGTTGGGAGCTCATGTTGACGACGAATAGACGATGTTCTCCACCCAACCATGTCTAATAATAAGTGAAGGTCAACATAATATAGTAACGGATATAACTCCACTCAATTCTTCTTCTGCATTCAGTAACTCTCTGGCCTATGAACTTTTATTAGGTTCACAATCACATCTATAGTCTGAACTCACAACAATTTGTAATCAGGAAGCTTGTGATACATTAATATCTCAAGCCCTTGAGTGTAAAAGGATATGATCATAGTTCACATTTGCGTATGCCACCCGACGTTTAAATGCACGTAATGCTGAGCTAAACAACAAAAGTCCAAAGACAATATACAAAGTCAAACACCAATAGCATACAAATTATAGGCAACTTACTATTCTTATGCAAAAGTCAAAACATACATGAACTTTAGATCTTCGGAGTCGGTGACCATTCTTAGGAGAAGTGGAGGTTTCCCATCATTTTCATCATCAGTGAGGAATAGATGCTTTCCAGACCTCCCAGCAATTAAGTGTGCTGTTTGAGAAGCTCTTCTCTCCAAGAAAGGAAGACCACAAAGAACTGGAAACTGAGGAAACAAAAGGAACAAAGAAGTCATATTAACTAGATATTTCATTTGATAAATCCAACCTCAACCTACCCTCCCTCCACCCAACCCCAATGCTGCGGCAAAGTGAATGCACACTCAATGAAGAACTCTGAATTTTCAGACTGATGACTGGTTTGCTGTACATCTTAAGTTTATTTAACAACCTCGTGAATAATGGGTGAGATGGCGAGTTAACGGTCAACAGGCAATAGCCCCTATTGCTATGCAAAGGAAAATGCACACTCGTGAACAACTCTTTCAAGTTTCAGCTTGATGATCTGGTTTCTGTAGTCTAAAGTGCATATAATAAACAGCATAATCACCTGTTTATTTCCACGTGAACCTAAATGTGGAGTTGCAACTGTTATGAAGTTCACAGGCTCCAATCCAGCAATTCTTGCATGATGGAATTGCTCAACCTGTTGCTTCTGCTCTTCGGCAGAGAAACTTTGAGGAGCACCTGAGGATTCCAATTTAGGGATATGATCAAAAAGCCTTCCAATGGCATACCTTGCAACAAGCCCACCTAAAGAATGGGCCACAAAGGAAATTTTCTGCACCTCTGGCCAACGCCTTATGACAGCTAACACCTGCATTGGATGTGTTTAAAGTAAAGTCCTCGACAACTTTGAGAAATTCAACAATATCAATTTCAAGAGAGAACCCAAATGTCTGTGAGGATGCTGTTTTTATACTCTTCAGAGATGAATCATAAATACATATATAGGACCAAGATACCTCTTCAGACAGCCTTTCTCCCATTGTGTCAACGCCATCAAATGTTAATCTTGAAGTGTTACACTCACTGCCTGCTCGAGAAGATTATTTTAGAAGCAAAGAAATTAATGTGACCTGTACGCATAAAGGGTTGACATAAAGGAGTTCCAACACGATACACTAGCCAATAAATTGAACACAACAAAGGTAAATTCAATTATGAATTTCTCAAAGACTACTCTTGATGTCAGAGTCAAGAAAAGAGATGTGCATTGGAATTTGGATCAGCTAAAAACACTTTTGAGTAGAAACACAAATAAAAAGGCTTACTAAATCATAATTTTAAGCACACTGTATACCAAAACAATCCAAGAGATATCCCCATTAGGTCACAATCTGAATTTTTTGAGTGAAGGGGTGAGTTCAAGTTTGCGGTCTAAAATTACACCGATGGTTAATGGATATCCTATTCGCCCTGCTGACACTGATTCAGCTTCCCCATCACTAGCTATTTCTCTGCATGGTGGTCATAGGTTAAGCAACATTGAAATCAAAAGATTGGATCCAGATTTACCACCTAGAGGTAACCTAGCTTCATCCGCCACGTGATATAACTTTTTTCACATTCAAGGTTGCTTTTGGAAAAAAGATATTAAAGGTGGATCAGCTTCAAAACCATTCCAAAATTAGAATAAAAGTTGTGCCAGATAGATTATTTGGAAAAGTATCATTATCTCTCAGCCCAAAATTATCCTTTCGGGATGCGATTAATCTTGTATTGACTAAACCTAACCCATTTTTGTCAAAAGCTTTTGACACTATATTTTCGTAAATACACTCAAAATAACAAAAATCTTCACATCAAGTGCATAGAGATCCATTGAACTTTTACAATAAGTGGCAACCTATCAAGGAGACCTACAAAATGAATAGAAGATCGGGGGAATAGTAAGTGCTTACGATGTACGATAACGTTATCAGGAAGCTTCAGTACAAATTGCTCTGCAGCGTATCTCCAATCTGCAGCACTGAAGAAATGAAGAAAAGGAAGGATCGATGGATACCCAAATCCAAATCCGATCGCAAATTAACATGCTAAATCAAACGAGCAACAGTTGGACAGCTAGTAATATGGTGGGAGCAGGCATGAGAGTAGAATCAAAGAGCAGTGAAGGAGAGAATACCTCCCAATTAGACCATTGACCATGATGACAAGGTGCTCGGGCGCCGCCTTGACATCGGGGCCAAAAGTTTCCTCGCCAGAGAAATCAGCCTCCACCTTGAGGCCTTTCAGACGGCGGAGGCTGCAGAAGAAACTGTTAGCCAGGCGTCCGATCAAGTCCATCCTGGAATGATCGGAAAGCGAGAGAGCAGGATCCGGGAAGGGCCTAGGTGGAAAGCGAATGGTGAAGCGAGGGAAAGGGTTGGAAAGGCAATGGCGAGTGGGTGACGGGTCGAAGAGAGGCCCCGATGGCGGGGTCTGGAATGGAGTATTGGCCGCGCCCGCGATCATGCCCGTCCCCCAGCTGACGGCTTTTTAACAAACCGGAGGGAATCAGTTGACGGAAAGGTAGGAATAGTTGGATTTGTGAATGAATGGGCGTCGTCCCATATTCGCACGTGTCTGCCCATTTTGTACCGCCCTACGCCTTTTTATTGCCGGCGCCTACTTAACCTATCCTTGGACGCTTTTGCCTCCAATCACAATGAAAAAGCAAGCAGCTGCGGCTACCTCTGTTTCTCATCCTACCCTTCATTACGCCCCATCTTCTCTCCCACAACACTTCTCGAACATCTGGTGTGCAGCTGCAAACAAACAACCAAAATCAGCTGGACCACTAAACCATCTACCGACTGTCAAAGCAACCACCGCCCATGTTTGAGTTACCATTGACATGGAACTTTCAGCTGGAGAAGTATGCCAACAGTAATAGCCAATCACCCTAACCATAACCCTGCTAGTAAATATTGTCAATTTTGACCCATTAAAATCAAGGTGAGATCTCACACTTACTCCATATATAATGTTTTATAATAATATTTCATTTACTATTTTCTTTAAGCGTATTTAAACATCTACTTTTACTATATAATAAAATCAATCAATTATAATGGTAATAGTCAATAATGAAATAAATCATTTATATTAAAATTATGGAAACTCTCTATTATTGACATGGGCCTGAATTGGACTCAGTGTTGGGCCCAACTAAAGCCCATCTGAAAAAGAATCCGATTGGCTAGTGGAGCCCACCGTTCAGAACATAGGCCGAAAGTAGTTGGGAATTTAAATGAGCGGCGACAGATGCATGTTTCCACGTTCAGAATTTCTGACTGTCTGAACACTCGTAATTCTACCGCCACTGCTTCCTATAAATCTATTATTCTTACCTCAATATCTACATTTAATTTTTTGCCACAATAATTAAGACTGAAATCAATTGAATCATTATAATACACAATTATTGCCCATGAATCAAATTTATAATAAGATTACAAACATATTGTAAATCTAATGCCTATGATCATTTACAATATTGTATTGTTTATTATTAACTCATAATCTCTTCCTAATAAAGTTTCATTTCAAAATTTTATTATTTGGTATGGAAATTAGTAGGGCAGGAGAACAAAAATGAAATATATATATTTATTAGGGATACAGCACATATCAATTACATGTGAATTGGACAAGGACATGAACAACAGAGCTTTTACCCATAATGAAGATAATTAATGGCGTTTAATAAGGTCTCTCCCCGATGTAATTACCAGGAGGGTCATAGTTGCAAGTGATGAAGACGCCTTTACCATCGTTGCAGGTGACTCTAGCGCACCCAATCCGCCGTGTCGACCGCCACACAATCTGAGTATAATGCCCACACAGTTCACCCTCCACGCAAGAATTGGCCCAATAACTGTACCACTTCCGCTCCGACACCCAATCCGACACAGCCTGTGCCGGATTCCATGCATTGCCGCTGCCCCAGAAGATATTTTCACCGTAAGGTCCGCCAGAGTGACGGAGGGCACAATCCCCTCGCCGCTTGTTCGCATACCACTGTGCGTAGCGAGCCAGTTTGTTGTCCCAAACCAAGGGGGCCAATCGGAGAGCGTATCTGGCGGCATTGTGAGGGCCGAGGAATTGCTTTTGCAGGACTCTGTCGGACCTCACCGGAGCTGCGGCGGCGGGGCCGGATGAGCTTAGGAGGGTGAGAATAATGGCGATGGGGATGAGCAGATATGCATGCATTTTTTTTCTCCTCCTCCTCCTCCTCCTCCTCCAAATTGAGGCCTTGGAGGGCGATTTGATTGGGCAGCTTTTGTGTGCTCTGGAGTGTGTTTTTTTAGTTTGATGATATTTATGAAGGAATGGCTTTGGAGTTGAGTGGTTGGATAAAGGAGACTTGTGTGTCAACTATGGGGTGGCATCCATGTTCGATAATCATTGCCATTCTCCTTTTTTACATTACATTATATTATTGCTCATCTTTTTCCTATTTTAATTTCATCTCCCTTAATTAAATTTGTTATCGATTTCATGATTCTCTTTCGATGATTATTGTGTATTTATTTAGTTTTAGAACTCGACATGTTCTTAAAAGGTTGGTTATTGTCGTTGTTATTAGACCATTTTGTTATTTCAAATATATGTATTTAATTATGTATTGAGTGCAAACCAAACTAAATGGAGTGAAAATCCTTTAATTAGAAAAAGAATATAGTAATTGGAAAGGAAAAGAAATAGAGAGAATTTAGTAGAAGCAGTCAAATGCGTTTTTATGGTGATCGCCATTAATGGCGAAATCCACGCTGTCTCGTCCATCGACAGGCAGATGGGGTTCCCTTAATTAGTGGAGACTGTATTCTCAACTACTCTTCTATTTTTCAAAACAATAATCAATTCTAAATGTTACATTTTTCTTGTTAACTGTTCAACTTATAAAAGGAAGACATTTTTAGTATTTTAAAAAGATATTAATTTTGAGATTATAATTTATATATTATAATATCGAGTCCGGTTCAATATTGGTTTGAACTAATACCAACACATAGATTAGAGATCTCGGTGTCACCCATTTCATTTTTCATTCCTACAAAAATTCTCCATTTATTTTTTTTAGATAAAAATGGCAGAAATGAGCTTAAAAAAAAAAAAAAAGATTTTTTACCATTTATTATTTTTTAAAAATTTTAATTTTTCAATATATCCTTTACTAAAAAAAAATGATAAAAATTTAGATATTATTAGGATCTTAAAATTAATTAATTTATATATATATAATATAGATTTAAAATATAGTATAGATGGATGGGTGTAAAAAATATTTCCGAACTCTCTTCTCACACCAGTAGAACTGTCGATCGGCATCAGCATTACGAGAACGGCGTCGGCCCATTATGGCGGTTGAATTGCACAAAACCGGCGTGGAAAAATTAAATGAAGCAATGAAGGTGACGTGGAGGAAGCTGGATCATTCAGTTTCAACTGTATTTTGTACCTACCACCATTTTTCTCTCTATTACTACTCCTCCCAATTCATTCTCCCTGTAACTCTACGCCAATAAAATTTAAAGCAGTAAAGGCGGCAGCTACTGCCAATTTACCACGTCGACATGTCGGCATCTCATCGCCCAGCAACCACAAACCACATCGCCGTTTTGGCATTCCCTTTCGGAACTCACGCCTTGCCCCTTCTCGGAATTGTACGGAAGTTCTCCGAGGCAGCCCCACACGTGCGATTTTCGTTTCTCAGCACCGCCAAATCCAACGCTTCAACCTTCTCGGACTGGGGATCAAATGAGGACGACAGGATAAAGCGGATTGACATTGGCGACGGGTTGCCGGAGGGTTACGTGTTGGGAGGAAAGCAAGGGGACATGATGGAGCTCTTCTTGGAAGGGGTTGCGGAGAGGTTTAAGAACGGAGTGGAGGCCGCTGCGAGGGAGATGGGAGAGGGAATCGGTTGTTTGATTAGCGATGCGTTCTACTGGTTTGTGGGAGAAATGGCAGAAGAAATGAAAGTGCCGTGGGTCGCGCTTTGGACGTCGGGGCCTCGGCCTCTGCTCGCGCATCTCGACACGGATGTCATCAGAGAACACATCAAATCTTCTGGTACGTCGCCTTTTCATCGCTTTCTTATTTCAACTTAACGGGCAAAAGGGTTTTAAGGTAAACAAGGATTAATCGGACTTAGGATCTTAAGTCCTATCCCAAACCCAAATATTAATCGGCCTAAGGATTTTGTTCCAGTTTTGTTTCTGAAACTCTGTTGTGCTTAATCTATTTGAAGAACAAATACTATTCTATATCATGCTATGTACAGTGTAGTTTTCTTCTTTAATTAGGCATAAGAATTTCCACGCAGGATCCAGAGAGAAACCCCTAGACTTCTTGCCGGGATTCTCAGAAATCCGGGTAGCCGATTTACCCGAAGAAGTCATAACTGCGAGCCTAGACTCACCCTTCCCAAAATTCCTATATAAAATGGGCCATCACCTTCCACGAGCCACCTCTGTTCTCATAAACTGTTTCGAAGAAATAGACAAGGACGTACAAAGCCTACTAAACTCAAGACTCCCCAATTACCTCAACATTGGTCCACTCAGCATGCTCGTACTAATGCAGCAGCCTCCCTCCGACGACCATGGTTGCTTACCCTGGCTCGACAACCACCCACCGAACTCTGTAGTGTACATAAGCTTCGGGGGGTTTCTATGTCCGCCGCCGCATGAACTCGCAGAGCTAGCAGATGCCCTGCTGGAAAGTGGGATTCCATTCCTCTGGTCGTTTAGGGGCAATGCAGAGGAAAGTTTGCCAAAGGGGCTTCGCCAAACGTGTAGTGGTAAAATTGTTCCATGGGCCCCTCAGGTGCAGGTATTAATGCATTCTTCGGTTGGGGCGTTTGTGACTCATGGCGGTTGGAATTCGGTGTTGGAGAGCGTTGGAGGAGGCGTGCCGATGATTGGGCGGCCGTATTTTGGGGACCAGAGGTTGAACGTGAAGACGGCGGAAAATGTATGGGGAATTGGGGTGGGTCTAGAGGGAGGCGTGATGACAAAAAGTGGGGTTTTGAAGGCGTTGGGACAAGTTTTGGGTAGCGAAGAGGGGAAATTGATGAGGGAGAAAGTTGGAATTCTGCAGCCTTTGGCTCATAAAGCTGCTGAATCCACAGGAGCTTCTTCTCGAAATTTCAGCCGTTTCGTGGAGATCGTAACCAAGTCTTAGGAGCAATTAATTCTAATGAATATATATATGGAGCATCATCCAGTTTGTTTTCATCGGCAATCAGAGTTGTAGCAGAGAAACGGCGAGAGGAAACAATGTCTAAGACGTTATTGGTTGTTCAGGCAGCCGCGACGGGGGCAGCCATTGTGACGAAGGCTGTGCTACCTCCGGCTTCGGTTGCCTCTACAGTTGGGCTTGCTGCCAAATTTTTTCACTTCATCTCTACTCTGTTTTGTATTTTTGGACATTTTTTCATCAAATCCGTTGCGTCTATTGTTTTCCTATTTCTATAAATCTTATTAGAATTTTACGAACTTTCTACTTGAACGCTTTGAATTGCTCGTTCACATTTTATTAGGTGATGATTTCGTAATGGATATCGTAGCAATATTCTTGTCTTAATTTTCATTTGGGGTCATTTTAAGCCGATGTTAAGTCCTGTAAATTTGTCGTGATTTGGAGATGAGTTTTGTGATGTGGTATTCCAAGGCATGCTCATGGTTGCCTATGCTGGCTTGTGTGTGTGCGTCCCATGCTGGCCCTATGTGAGGGCATGCGGGCACTATGCTTGCTTTTGCCTGTGCTCCCTAGTAGCTCATGAGGGTGGAGATTATGTGGATGTCTTGGTAGTTTTAAAACCTTTATAAAATATAAATAATAATATCCTAACATTTGAATGAAAATCCGAAACTAAACTTCATTATTCACACAAATATACAAAGCTTGACGACACAGATTCTTAAGTTGTCACATGCAGGCGAATCCATGTTATGAGCAATAGAAATCCAAGGGCTTACTAGTCTCTCACTCAACCCCTACACACCTAAAGTTAATCCCCCCTAAAGATTATACCCTAACTCAAAATCTTGAAACACCCATTCCGATTCAAGAACAGAAGTTGAATCCCATGAATTAGAGTTCGATCCGGATCTCATATCATGGTCATTATTCTGAGCCCACCAGATCAAGCTGTCCTTGGAAGACCCACCCACCTCCTTAAAGTAATCAAATTCTGCCATTTGTCCTGTTTGTGCCATGAAACCATCAACCTTGACATCTGGAAGTTCATCCACTTGCATGAAGTTTGAAACTTGATGGTACCCAGATGCTTGATCTGGACTTGCGGGGTTAGGTTTTGGGTGAATAAAGAACTCCTCTCCCGTGGGTGGTTGGCCTTGTGGTAATTGAGTAGTAGTACTAGCTTGGAGATTAGGGTTAAGAAAGTTAGGGCTTTGATTGTTGAGGAGTGTGTGGACAATCTTTTCCTGGACAGGGTGGAGCTTGGGCCATAGCTGAGGGTGTGTATAAAAAGAGAGTGGATTCTGAAAGCCCTGAAGTTGCATATGAAGTTGAAGCCTTTCCAAGGCCGAGTTACTCAAACCCTCTTTGGGGTCTTCATTACTGCTTGATGAAGGTGAATTGCCATTGTTGTTATTTGATTGTTTACGTTTTCCAAGTAGCTTCTTTTTCAGCCTCGTGTTCCAGTAGTTTTTTATGTCGTTATCAGTTCTTCCAGGCAGCTGCGCAGCAATTACAGACCACCTAGAAAGACACGCATAGAATTCGAGGACAATCAACCTCCGACAAAAGAAAACAACCAAGAGAGAAGTTATGGCCAAAAAAAAACCTGCTGCCAATGCTTATATAGAGGTTAGAAATGATGTTGTCCTCTTCCTCTGAGAATCCACCGTGCTTGATATTAGGCCTCAGATAATTCAACCATCTCAATCGGCAGCTTTTTCCACATCTCTTGAGCCCTTCAAAACAGTACTTGTTTTCTTAGAGCCATAGAAATTTGTATAGTTATGAAGGAGGAGAAGAAGTAGTTATATACCAATTTTTTGGGGCAGAGCAATCCAGTTTCCTCCAGTTCCATAGTGTTCAATATAAGCTCTAAGCTTTGCATCTTCCTCAGGTGACCATGGCCCTTTCTTGACGTTGGCTTTATCACAGCATGGAGCTCGACCCATCTTCACAATTTTAGCTTCTAATTTGTTCTTCAACTCTGTGGGGTTTTTGTTTTTGAAAGAACTGTGGAACAAGACCCTAGCTTTATAGGTTGAAAAAGTGGGGGAAATCTCTTGCTCTTCATTTGTTTATTTATGATTTTGGTACACAACAAAGTCTTCCCCTCAACCTCTCCTCTTTACAGCCCCATATGATTGGTGGAGCCATTGGTCTCTCTCTCTCTCTCTCTCTCTCTCTCCCTTTTTGGATTAGTTCGGTCGTGGCTTCTTTAACAATTCAAGCAAATGGCCACACCATAAATTAAAAACATACTATTGCTGTTTAATATATGTTAAGAACATTGCTTTAGTTTTTCAAATCTATTAATTTATGGACGGGGAGGTACAATGGAAGCTCCTCCATATCCTGTCCGCTTGTCGCCATCGTCCTCGGAAATGTTCCATCATATATTATGAGAGGTCTCCTTGATAGTAATAGTCTAAGCTCACTACTATTAAGTATTGTCTATTTTAGTCCGTTATTTATTGTTGTCAACTTCGAGTTTTTCACACTTTTATACTCTCCAACTATAGAGAGGGTTCCACACTTTTATACTCTTCAACCAATATGAAATCTCTCAATACACCCCTTTTGGAGTCATTGTCTTTACCAACACACCTATGATGTCCCACATTGGTTGGGGAGGAGAACAAAACACACTTTATAAGGGCGTGAAAACCTCCTCCTAGTAAACGTGTTTTAAAGTTTTGAGGAGAAGTCTATAAAGAACAAATATCGACTAGCGACGGGCCTGGGTTGTTACAACACCACTCGAAACTAAGCTCTTATATCTTTTTAGGAATCACGAACCTCCACAATAATATGATATTGTTCACTTTAAGCATAAACTCTCGTGACTTTGCTTTTAATTTCTCTAAAGGTTTCATACCAATTCAGATGGTATTTATTTATTGTTTATAAACTCGTAATACGAACGATGTTAGCAAAAGTCTTAGGGTTTCCCTAAGCCTTCTTGTTCAAAATAAAACCCCTTTTGTTACCATCTCCAATATCATTGGTCCATGTGTTCCCTTGTGAATATACCATGAAGGCATTAAACATCATTATAGCTGCAACTTGTCACTCAATTAGAAAGACAATGAAGCGTTACACCAATTAATATTAGAAAAGCTTCAAGGAATGACACCTCTCATTGACCTTGGTTTTCCTTTTCATTTGATTAATATTTTATCTCGATGACTTCCGGAATTAAGAAATGAAGGCCCCAAGGAACCGCACCCACAGAGAAATTACAAGTCAAGAACAAACAAAAAAACACGAAATTCCCAATAAACTTCTCATTGTTTCAATATTTATACCATTAAAATACCAATTTGAGTGAGATTTTAGGGGCAAGAACAACACCCTTCTGCTTGTCCTTGTCTCTAACCACAGAATCCGATGGCAATGACTTGGACCTAATTCAGTTTCGTCACCCAGTTAGACCCATCTCATTTCAACACTTTCTGAGTTAAAATAACACAAAAAGCTAGGCCCTTTAGATAAGATAAGATAAGATAAGCATGAGTTTTGATTCGAGGAAACAATCGCTATAAACTAATTGATATCGAATATTTGGTGGCATTGTAATTTGATTAAAGTTGACTAATTATATAAGGCTTAGCTTAGGGTATTTCAACAACTCAAGTTTTGTTTAAGTTTCTGTGTTGCCCTACAAACCCCTTCTGTTTTGCGAATAATTATGCAGTGTTTGGTATAGTGCTTGAAGCTGTTTGCTGCATCATTCAAAACAAAGGTTAAAAAAATGATATCCTTGTTGAAAATATTATAGTCAATAAGTCTAATCGGGATTTGGATGACTTTTTGTTGCACTAATTATTATTATTTTATACATAATCAATCCCTAAACACACTATATTGTCAAACAAAAGATGCATAGTTTATTAGTTGGACTAAGTAATCGAGCTAAGGAGTGGTTGTTTGAGAAAGAAGATAGGGTCAATAGGTTTAGTTTTGGTTCAAATCCGTTTCTGCGTATGAGAGTTCTGATTGAACTTGAACTACCAAGATTGAGTTGGGTTGAACCAAATTAACTCAACCCAACCTTCATTCATGGAATGGAGTGTTCGTGTATAGTGTAGGTGAGGACATAGTTGATTATATCTTAAATGGTGAATCATGCCCACTACTCTTCTTATTAGTGCTTAAGATGATCACATCATAATTAAACAAAAAACCAGAGCCATGTGTTTTGACTTTGTTTTGGCTTCTGAATTGTGAAGGAGTGGCGAGAGTAAGATGCTAGAACCAGAGCCATGTGTCTGGTCGAGACAGCCGGTGGGGTTGGTAGTCCAGGGCCTTCTGGGTCCCTTCAATGTGACTTATACAGGTGTGCCTGTGCCACTTTATCATTGTACCCCACGCAATGTTGATTGTTCTACTACCATTGCATTACCCGCTTTTAGTCATAAACGTGATGCCGAATTGGAATCTTTTGTAAATAGCAGTTTCTATGCCTCTAGAATTTTCCCACTCTCTTGGAGTTTTCTTTATCTTATAATAACCTAACCCCTTTTGGCGGTGTGACATTTCAATTATGTTTAGCGACTAGAATTGAGGATGTTCATTGTATTGTGTTATATTTTTTTTATAGTCTGCGTTTCTCTGAAATCCATTGATGAAGTTGTTGTTATCGAATCATGGGTTGTATGTAGCGCGTGAGTTTACTTGAATCCCGAGTTTCAGATTTTCATTTCATTCTATCAGCCCTTTTCGTTTGCCCTGCGTTACTGTTGATGCTGCCTTACACCTCAATTCTTCATCCTCCTTGTTTCTTTTATATCTCTATGCATTCGTTGCTGTCGGTGTTATTAGTTTCATTTAATTTTGAAGTTGTTCGGCTAGTCTCTAATTTCTAAAATACAAAAGGAGAAGAAATTAGTCAATAGGGTCTCTTCAATAGAAAGAATCAGAGCTGAAATAAGGTTGCTCCTACAATTTGTTGATGCCCTTTTGCACGGACACTCATATTCTGCTCATGCTTTGGGTTGCACGGCTGCTGCTGCTAAGTCCATGAACAAGTACACTTTATTTTTATTTTGGAACATCTACTAGCATGCTCAAGGCATCTGGATACACCCAACTTCACTTATAACCTGTCACTGACATTATCCAGGTGTTGGGTCTCGGTGGATCGTATCGTGGTGATACATTTAGGAGCTATGGAAGCACAGTTGCACCAACCATGGAATGGCTTTTGTATACACACCTATGATCGCCGTTTAGTTCATTCCAAAATAATCTTTTTTTTTTTTTTTTATAATTAAAATAAGAAATTTAATATTTATTGGGAGAGAAGGAAGGGAAATTTGATAAGCATAAGGGGGAGTGATTAAAATGGTAAGAGATACGTAATTGAGATTATTATATCACAAAAAAGGTCCAACAATGAACCGACGTCCTTATCCAACCCAAACAAAATATAAGTGTTCCACAATGTGGGGCCTCCTTTCCTAGGCATATTATTCGACGGCTCAGATCGCACTTACCTTCCCCCTTGCCCCAATCGCAAGCGGCGACCAAAAATGAAATTCAGATCTGGAACCTATAACCGCCTGCTCCCTCGCCCCATGACATCGTTGCATCTGGAGAAGCCACGTTGGATGCTTCGCTCTTTTCTTCTACATCAGTGGACTAAGACTCAGGAGAACGTGTGCCGCGTAACACCTGATTATCTTTGATCTGGAGTTCTTACTTCCAGGGTTGAGAGTTGGATATTAGTCTGCGCTAGACAAGCCTCCGAATTTAATCCTTCTCTCTCTACTCACAAAAATCGCTTTTCTTTGGTTTATCTATCGCTTTTTGGATTGTTTCTCTTACTCTTCTTTTGATTTTCCCGGTATATCGGGGATAATTTGGGGAAAGTAGGAAAGAGTGCTTCCAAATTTTACAGTAAGTCTAGTATCCTTTCCAGGATTGAGCTGGATTTTCGATTCTTTACTTGTTTGAATTTGAGTTAGGGTTTCGTTGTTGGTGGCGGCTTTTGATTTCAATCAAGGGTCTTGAATGAAGTTCCGCTTTTGGTGTGCAGTAGATCTGGGAACTTCGGATTTTCTCTTGGAGATAAGTTATGCAGAGGAGGTATCCGGAGAGGACGAACTCCATGAGGGAGAAAAGGAGCTTGGAGGGCGGAGAAGATGAGCTGCCAGAGCGAAAGCGACCAGCTCTAGCTAGGTATGTCACTTACTTTTCTATTTCTTTGACCATCGTGCTCGTTACAGCTTTCGATCAGTTGTGTTCTAAACGAGGGGTTTCTTCCCTACCCCTTCCCCTTTGGAACTAAATTTAGCTCTCTGTATGTCGGTGATATAAATCTGCTTAGCCCTTCAGGAATCAGGAGTTGTGCATACCTACTGTTCTTTACTTTAATCACTTACAATTTTACTTCGATGTGTCATTACAATGAGGTGATTGCTTGATGAGAGTAATTATTCTGATTATGGTTTCGTGTTTTTGCTTTATGGTTAATTTACAATGTTATGCCAATGCATTCTCAATAAAAGGTTACGTAATACAAATGGTTAAGGCTTTTATGGATCTTTATATTCATGCAGTGTCATTGTAGAAGCCCTGAAGGTGGATAGTTTACAAAAGCTCTGCTCATCATTGGAACCAATTCTCCGTAGAGTGGTAAGATAGATGATTTCTATATTGTGTTTTGTCTACTAAATAAGCACGCTTGAATAAGAGTAGTATTTACTTTGGTGTCTGCCTTGGGAGTAGTTGTTTGCTTGGTTAACACATTATAAGCTGCCTAGTTTGCTTGCACCCTTGCTGAGGGCGATACTAATTCTCATCCAACATGCTTTTTATGTTTTTGTAGACTTGGCTGCCTATGTTTTTATGACGTTCAAGTGTGAGGATAATCTGTTTATGATTATCTAAATATACTAACGGCTTAATTCAAGTTTGGATTTTCATTCTCATTCCTTCTGTTGCAATATGTCACTTTTTAATTGTAAAATCCTATAATTGGTAGTTTTTATTTTTTATTTTTCCTTATTTAATCCTATCTTCACTTTCTACTCTTCCCTTTCCTCTTTATTTCATCATGATTGTTGCTCCACACTCAATATATATATATTTATCCTTCTTCATGTTTCCCTGTTCATTTGGCATTTCTGATCATTGCTTGCTGCTGGTGTCAAACAGGTTAGTGAGGAAGTGGAACGTGCTTTGGCTAAGATAGGTCCTGCTAGAGTTACTGGAAGGTCAACTATGAATCCATGTTTTTTTTTCTTACATTTCCAATCATTTATATTCGGTTTGTGCTCGTAGATGTTCAAATATCTATAAATTATTCTTCACTACCAGTATACCACTTATTTTCAGTTGAGATATTGCTTAAAATCTTAATATATATTGAATCGTATTTAGAAGAGTTTAAGTGTTTTTTGGTCCTTGTCACTTGACGCACACCTCATGGTAATTTTCTGCTTCGTAATCAAAGGTTTTTTTTTTTTACTGTTAGCTGATTTGATTAATCAAAACCATTTATTGCACAGTTGCATGCCTTTTTCTTTGTTTGTAGGTCTAGTCATTATGCTTTAAATGCTACCTGAGCTAATAACTCTAATGTGATATTCTTTTGCTTAAAAATATTGTTTGATAGGTAAACATAATAATGTTGTATATGTTCCAATGGTGGAATGCTCGACTTTTGAAACTACATGTGCTAGGTATTGGTTGTGTTTCATCTTAGCCATGTCTAATTTTGCAATCACTACTTGGAATTTGATTCTGTTGTCTTCATGGCAATTGGTAATTCATTTATAGGAATGCTTGAGGAGATTACACTCTCATATTTCCCCAATTATGTGTTTACTCTAGTGCTGAATTCTTGTATGCTATTATCCATGGCACGTTATCGTGCACCATATCTCAGCCACTGCTCTCTGTCTGTTTCTTGATTTTCCTTCTAATCATGTTTTATTCTATCCAAAGGGACAGAAGCCTTGGTGATTAGACTTGGTTGAATTAATAAATTTATTCTATAGATAGAGAACTCACTAATAATTCTATTCTTACCGTGCTTAATTAGCTCATTTTCTATGTGGTTTTCTATGATGTTCTGACACTTTTACTCACAGGTCTTCTCCTAAAAGGATTGAAGGTCCTGATGGAAGAAACTTGCAACTGCACTTTAGGACTAGATTGTCTCTTCCCTTATTCACTGGAGGGAAAGTGGAAGGTGAACAGGGTGCAACAATCCATGTCGTTCTGGTTGATGCCAACACAGGCCAATTAGTAACGTCTGGTCAGGAAGCCTTGTCTAAATTGGACATTGTGGTACTTGAAGGTGATTTTAACAATGAAGATGATGAAGATTGGACGGAGGAAGAATTTGAAAGCCATGTGGTTAAAGAGCGTGAAGGTAAGAGGCCTCTGTTGACTGGTGACTTGCAGGTTACCCTCAAGGAAGGTGTTGGAACACTAGGGGATCTGACCTTCACTGATAATTCAAGTTGGATTAGGAGCAGAAAGTTCAGACTTGGATTAAAGGTGGCTTCAGGATTTTGTGAAGGTGTACGTATTCGTGAAGCCAAAACTGAAGCTTTTACAGTTAAAGATCACCGAGGAGAACGTAGGTTCATGCTTTGTCATATTTAGTTATGTTCTTATTTAATAGAAAGAGAAAAAAAGCAAAAGAAGGAAGAGGAGCAGTGGGTAAATGATTTCTTAAATCTTTGTTTTACTTCGCAGTGTATAAAAAACATTACCCACCTGCATTAAATGATGAGGTGTGGAGATTGGAGAAGATTGGAAAGGATGGTTCATTTCACAAGCGGCTAAACAAAAATCAAATATTCTCAGTTGAAGATTTTCTCCGAATGGTGGTTCGAGATTCTCAAAAGCTACGGAGCGTAAGTGTTGTCACTTGTCTCGTACTTTATTCTTATCCTTCACAACTCTTTCTAAAAGAATTTCCTGTTTGTAGATCCTTGGAAGTGGTATGTCAAATAAGATGTGGGATGCTCTCCTGGAACATGCTAAGACCTGTGTCCTGGGCGGGAAGCTGTATATTTATTATCCAGAGGAAACAAGAAATGTTGGTGTTGTTTTTAACAATATCTATGAGCTCAATGGACTGATTACAGGGGAACAATACTTTTCTGCTGATTCTCTGTCTGATAGCCAGAAGGTAAATTTAAAACCTATGCTTTTTATACTAATATTATTGTAATTTACATGTGAAAAACACTCGCAAAGAGTTGGCAAGATCATTACTTCATTTAGTTCTTTTCCCCATTTCTGTTACTGAAAAAAAAAATGTTCAGCTGGTTTTACCAGATCAAGGTTACTTTCTTTGACTGAAGAATGAAAAAGAAAGGCCAGTCTTGTTCAGGTTAAGAGTAGCAAGATTTTTTTTTTTTTTTTTTTTTTTTTTTAAAAAAAAATTATAAATTGTCCTCTCTCTGAGGAAAGCTATTCTCCAGAATGCACCTTGCCATTGGATCTTTTCCCTCAATTACTACCTCTTATAACAACTTAGAATTATTGTACTACATCTTTTGAGGCTGTTGCAATTGGAAAAGAAAAATAAAAATCCCCATAGAACGCACCATAACCTCGTGAAACTAACAAACCTGCCATTATCGAATGTAGGTGTTTTAATGCTTTTGTGATTCATCTGTAACCTACTTACTGATATTTAGATATTGGCTTTTATTCAGGGATTATTGATGGTTCAAGATTTTAGCTGTTAGAAATAATAGTCTTTTTTTCCTGCCTCCTTGTGAAGAAAGTTTCGCAAAGAAGGGCAGGCATTTATGCTGCATAATGATTGTCTACCTTTATCCCTAAAAAAAAGGTTAAGAAATATCTTCACTTTGCAGGTTTATGTAGATACACTAGTGAACAAAGCATATGAAAATTGGAATCAAGTTGTAGAGTACGATGGCAAGTCACTTTTGAGCTCTAAGCAGTCTAAGAAGTCGAATGCATCCCGAAATGACCTTCAAGGCGGTCACCTTGATCTTTCTAATACTCTAGATCATGGGTCAATCCCCCGCATGCCATTGTCAGTTCAGCCTCAGCAGCCTGTAATGGATTCAGGACTCTCGGTTGCAGGTAACCATGCTATCATTGTAATTAAGTTTTTTTTGGATTGTCGCATTTTTTATCATTATCAATGATTATTATCTGTGGGAAGGGATTCATTTAGTGGTTGTCAAATCATAAGAGTATAAATACTCCTGTAAAGGCCGCACCTAGAGTCCTGCTAGCTTTTAAATTCAGTTTGGCAAAGCCTCGAGTCCAGTGCATTTAAGTTGGGTTTGCAGTAGGAAGATATTAATTCTTAACGTTTCCCTAGTTTAATTAAGTCATGAAAACACTAACTTTTCACTGTTTGCGTGGACATATTGTGGAAACAAAAATTTGAAATTCCATCCTTATGTACATTCCGAAGATTAGCTGAGATGCACAATCAGCCTCAACTCTCTCATCATGGAAAATAAATCAACTATGTGAGACTATTGTTTAAGTAGTTTACAATACTAGTGATAGAGGCAACGAACTTGTGATCTTTTTGTTTGCACAGATTAAGCTTTTTATATGAAGGTAAAGATTGTTTTCTTCTCTTGGCAGGTAGAGGGGTCATTTTATGCTGTTTTATAGTAGTTTAGAGATTCCCTTCCTCTGTTACCCCACAAACTTCTATAAGCTTTGTGGCTTTGTGATAGACTTTGGTTTCGTTATGTTGGATAATATGAATTCTTATGGTTCTAGCTCACAAATAACTACATTTTCTTACGACTGCCTCATCTATTAGAACTGGTGATTGCTATTGTTTGGCTAACTATAATTTGTGTTTTATTTTCTGTCTTTGTATTTGGAAATTCAGGGTATGATGATAATGCCGCAAGATATTCAACCCAGCCTCAGTTTGTGAATTCAACTTCTCGACCACAGTTTGACAACTCTCAATATACTTCTAATGAGTTGATTGGCAATTCTAACCAAGTTCATATCTCAAGAAATGACAGTAATGCTTTTGGTTTGGCTCTTGCTCCTCCGCAAGCATCATCTTCAGGGTTCCAGATGCTTGGTTCTTCTATTCAGGAAACTAATCTGAATCCATTTGAATGGTCGAACAATAGAGACAAGGGAGCTGACGACTTCTTTTCAGAGGACGAGATTCGTATGAGAAGTCATGAACTGCTTGAAAATGAAGATATGCAACATTTGCTGCGAATGTTTAGCATGGGAGGGCATGCATCTGGTAACGTCAATGATGAGGGTTTTTCATTCCCATCATTCATGCCTTCACCAATGCCAAATTTCGACGATCGCAGCCGTTCTGGAAAAGCTGTGGTGGGTTGGCTGAAGATCAAAGCTGCAATGAGGTGGGGCTTTTTCATCAGGAAGAAAGCAGCTGAGAGACGCGCACAGCTTGTCGAGCTAGATGAGGAATAGAAGTCGGTTAGTCGGTGATTTTCAGCCTGTTATTTGAGCTTCCTCCTCATTCACTGCATCATCATTCTGTAGATCTTGGAATTCATCACGTGACACAATTCATGCTCTTTAACACTCGCTGGATCAACTCAAAAGGATGTCTTTTGTATCTGTATAACATATTAACAGTGGAAGCTACTTTTGTACAGATTCCTGTACAGTGACTCGTTTCTGTTTGCTAGTGACTTTATTTAAGATGTTTTCCTGTCACCATTCTACCTTTGGTAGGCCAAGAATATGAATGGGTTGGCCGGTGACAGGGTAAATTTCTTATTTCATATACCCTTTCTTAATGTGGTTTGATTGATTAGGATCAAGGATTCCCAACACTTTTTTGTTGCTTTGAAAAGTTTCCCATTACTGTACGAAAGATGGTTCGGTGGCTAATGAATAATCCTTGTTATTTTTAGTTGGTTTTTAGTGCATATAAATACAACCGTTCTGATTCTTATGCGCCTATTTGCTGACATCTTCAAGTAAATATAACCTTATTTGTTGCCATTCAGCTGTTTGAACTTCCATTCATCCGTCATATCAATGTTTCCATGTTTGAACTTCATGTCATCTCTTCTATTTTCTCTTCAATTCATAATTTTTATATTTTTTTCTCTTCTTTTCCCTCTCTAGTTCAATACTCTTTTATAACTCTTCTTCGATTTATTGCCTCGAGCTCTTGCGAGAGACATTGTTGGTTGGCTGTGGAAGAAGAAAATGAAACTGAACTGCAAGAAGCTGGACCAGACCAGAAGACCAGTCGGCATTGAAGTTTCTAAAGGAGGAGGCTTCAAATGGGGCTTGGGTCCAGTCTGTTTTCACAAACCCACATCTCGTGGCCCAATCATCGGCATTCCACAAGCTGGAGTATATTCTCATTGGTTGCTTCTTTGGAAATTGAACGCCAATTGATTCAGAGTTGCTGAACTCTCCGATTGGATGGCCATCCATCGAGAAGCCGAAGCATCAAATACGAAATGGATGTCGTTGGAAGGGGCAAAAAATTATAGAAACATATAAGAAGAATTGGAGTAGTGCTAACGTACGTACTTATAGGAAGAATGTTGAGAATTGTTGGGAGGGAGTCCACATTGGCTAATTCATTTAAGAGAATGTTCATAGATTTATAAATAAAAAATACATTTTCATTGATACGAGACATTTTTCAATAGAATTTTCAATGTCAAATGAAGAAGCGAGTGTGTACTTTGTTCAAGGGTGAAAAAGGAGTTATATATTAGTAATTAAGGGAATGATCGTGAATTATAAGTAAAAAAGAAATGCAATCTATGAAGCATTTTGAAATGATAAAAAAGAGAGTGATTAGAACTTATGTCCATATCAAACAAACACTCATATTACCAAAAACTCAAAATCAATCCCATCCCACGTCAACCCTTTTGAGGATTGCTGCAAACAGGAACAAGAATAATGAAAAGAGTCCCGGTAGAAGTTACGAGAAGAGGTATGAAAGATGGGGAATTGGGAAAGAGGAGGGAAGTGGAGGGAGGAAACAGGGCATTGGGAAGTGGCGAAGGAGGTGCCATAATACCCATTACGCCACAGAAGAAAAAGACGCGATTTTTGCGACTAAGCTCGCGCAGGCTTTCCGCCGGCAGACGCCGCCTTCTTTCGCACCAATTGCACCAGCTGTACGTCGCCTCTGCCATTCACTAAAACCATCGGTCTTCGCACATTATATATATATATCCTACCTTTTGTGATAATTTAAAAATATTACATCAAACTCAGATCAAAAAGAATAAAAAAAATGAAAATTGAGAAGTTTATTATATATAGTGAATTACGTTCTGAAGACAAGGAAAAGAGAATATTACCAAAACACGTAACATTACAAAACCCCAAAAAAGAAAAAATGAATAAAATTTAAACGTAGGCTAAACCCAGAAAGGGAAAAGATTAAAAACAGTGCCCCTATGGCAAGCTGCACTCTGTAGGGAGGCCTTGAGGAAACCTCTTGGTGTCCGTACAATAGTTGTAAATCATATAATTCTTCTGCACCCATTTCAGTCTCTCTTGACTTGCAGAGTCCATCTCTTGGGACAGCCATGAGTTCTTGGCCATGGCATTCCCTGACCCCGAGGGGGGGCTGCTGCAAGAAGAGCCCCCCGACGACCAAACGCAGGCCTCGGCCTTGAAGTTTCTGTAGGAAGCAGTGAAAGGAGCCTTTGTCCAGTCCGTCTTCACCAGCCCTCCTCTGGTTGCCCAGTCGTCCGCGTTCCATAAGCTCGAGTATATCCTCATTGGCTGGCTCTTGGGAAATGGCACGCCGTTAGATTCCCAGTTCTTGAATTCTCTTATTGGAGTTCCATCCACAGAAAATCTGAAAGTTAAAACAGAGTCAAAGTCAAAACAGAGCAGCGAGAAAAGGGAAGAAATGATGAACATAAGATGATGGGTACGAACATAATGCGTGTGGGGTTCCAAAGAATGGAATAAGTGTGGAAATCAGCAGTGGGGTCGAACCAAAGATGGAACTGTTGCTCTCTGTTGCCTTTGCCTTGGCTAAACACATTGGTGTGAAGAGTGTAAGGGTCACCACTTAGATTCCCCAAGAACTCGAAGTCTATTTCATCCCATGTGGATCCCTTCGAAGACAACTGCAAAAACCCACCACAAACGAAGCATAATTATTAGCTTTACACAATCACCAAGTTTGGGAGGGGGAAGTTTTAAAAAAGAAAGGAGGGTTACATAATAGGCAGTGACAGTGCCAGCGGAATTGCCAGCCACAAGCTTGAGTTGCATATCAATCTTTCCAAACAAGTACTCGTTCTGAGACTGGAAGCCGGAGCCTGAGGCCTTGTCCAGGGAGAGTGTAAGGAGTTCACCATTGTTGACAATCTTGGCTCGCCCATCTCCCCACGTGATTTGAAAATCTTGGTTGAAGTTGGCTGAAGAGAGGGCAATAAGGGAGGCAGAGACAAAGAGGGTAATAAGAAGCAGAGTTGTGGAAGCCATTTGTGGTTGAATGATTGAATGATTGTGAGTGGGCATGGGATTTTGAGTGTAATTTATAGAGAGGAGATGAAGGTATTGGGAATGCAAAAGCAGAGGAAGGATCCTACGAAACTCCCATCAAACTTCAAGTGCTTTTGGTGGCACTGTCCCAACGCGGTTTTGCATTGCATTCCTCCTAAAATTGCCCACCTCCTACTTTAACAATTATGCTTCCCCTCTTATCACAAATATTTCAAAATGTATCCTACTTTATTTCCCTTGTCTTAATTGTGTTCGATGGATATTGCATGCTAGCTGAGCATTATCTCGAATACAATAAATAAATAAATAAATAAATAAATAAATAAATAAAAAATGTTAGAAATGACGACTCTCTCCAACATAATAGTATGGTATTGTCTACTTCAAATTAAAAGTCCTCATGCCATCTAATCTTCGAGCATCCCCTTAAGATTTATGGAGCTGTTATACAAACTACACCATTTATTCGACATGTAGTCATTTTTTACTACACTTTCGACGGTTCCAACTCTTTTGTTCGACGTTTGAGAATTTTATTGACATGACTAAGTTAAAAACATGACTCTGATACTATGTTAGGAACATTGATCTTTATAGTGTGATATTAAGCATAAACCCTACTGAATTTTTTTTTTTTTGTTTATCCAAAACAACTCATTATAGATATATTTTTTTTATTTATAAATTCAGAAGATTCATGTAAACATGACATATCAACGAAGTTAAAAGCCAATAAGTAAATGGAAGAGGAGGGCGGTGCGGAATGCGGTAGGGTCAGGGCAGGCATTTGGGTTTGGTGAATGTAGGCCCAGGCCACCGTCGAGGGTTAGTGGGTGAGTTGCAGGGCCTACTTCCAGAACTGGGCGGCTTCCTACTACCAGTTCCTATTCATGCTTATTGTCGGCCCAACTCAAAATAAAGGTTTGGACTTGCTTAGAGGAGAGGGGAGAGGAAGAGAGAGGTATAAAATTACGATATACCCTTAAAACTCAATAGAAATAGAAAAAATGGTTAGAATGTTTGTGATTTGATTGGAGTTTTGCGTATTATACCAACACGAAGGCAGGCAGCCCTGTTGCCTTTTGGGTTGTTTTGGGTACAGCTTCCGGGCTTATCACTGTTCAAGATAAAAGGGTTTGATGATGAAATAAGAGTCGAATTTGTGTCGGTGCTGTTTGGGAGCGGGATAGGATGAGGAACTGAGAGCGGCCACCTCTGGTTCGTGTATCAATGTCTATATGTGGACCAGAAAGGAAGGGTTGGTGATGATCTTCTGCTTGAAATGGACTACCAACAATCATCATAAATGCCCTGGACACACACAGGGGAGCATCCTGCATCAACAATTATTATATTCACGCTTTTCAATATTATATATACCCATACAAACTAGTACTAATAATTGTGATTTCTATCCTTGTATTAGAATTATGTCATGGGTTTAGTCGTGTCAATAGAATTCTCAACGGTCGAATAAAGGGTATACTTTGTTTGAAAGCTACAAAGGAGTCAAGCCTCGGTTAAGAGAAGAAGGTGATTCCTGTGTCGAAAAAATGGTGTAATTTATTCAAGGGCTACAAAAAAGGAGTCTCCAAACTAAAAACAAAATCACGAGAACTTATACTTAAAGTGGACAATATCATACTATTGTGAATATTCGTGATTTCTAATAATAAGAACCGCTTGTAACTAGAGTTATCTATCTATTTGGCTCATAATAAAATATCATATATTAAACTATAATTTAGTACTAAAGATGTTCCAAGAAGTAAATACATAATGATAGTTGAGAAGTTACATAATTTGCTTACAACTTCCACAATTATTGAAGTCTAAGAAAATTGTGGGTCAAGAGATATTTTCTTTCTTTGAGGATTTTTTTTCACGTGTTTTTCCATTCAATGACATTTTTCAATTATTACTCTTTAAAATCTATTTATTACAACAATAAATTTTCGATTTTTCTTTTGCAAAAAGGTTTCTAAATTAACGTGCTTTTGAAGACTGTCTACCGTATTTTATACTATTATTCTTTATTAGCCTCTTAATTTTAAGGAAAAAAAAACTTTTTAAAAACACCAATTCAATCACGTGACTTTATGACAAAATTAATGGTCCAATGTAGAACTTATAATTTGGATGTAATGAAAGAAAACCTATAGATATCATATTAAAATATATACTTTTTTTTTTTTTTTTTTAAATTTAGTTTCTTGTCATATCCCCCACTTTTAATTCCAAACTTTGGTTATAAATTTTAATATTACATTTAACAAAATTTAATACAGAAAAGTTGGCTAATAATTTATGACGGCTTGGTAACAAAAGAGGATTGGATTGACACGGTGGACTTAGCGTCTAAAATTCCCAACACGCATCTTATTGTCTCTGACACATTACCCGGATGTCCGAAGAAATTCATTTTTAAATTAATTTAAAGAAAAATTAAGAGATTTACTTAATTTGATACTTCTTATTTAATGAGAGAGGCCTTGAGGAGTTGATATTAAAAAGAAATTGATTCTTCCAAGAAAACAGGCAAATAGGCATAGCCATGCAAAACCAGATATGTATCTTGCAATACCATATTGTTTATACGTAATCGAGTATGATAAGATAATAAACTAAAATTTGTACGGCAGGCAAACCAAATATGCATCGTGGGGGAGGGCTGAATTTAGGCGGCGGTGTTGAGGGCACACTCAGGAGGGTAGCCTTGAGGGAACCTCTTGGCATCAGTGCAGTAATTGTAAACCATGTAATTCCTCTGAACCCACTTCATTCTCTGTTGTCGGGTGATGTCCAGATTTTCAGACAGCCATCCTCTGCCGCCAACATGGGCTCCAGAGGAACACGATGACTTGCCGGCCGACCAAACGCACACGTCGGCGTTGAAGTTTCTGTAGGAGGCAGTGAAGGGAGCTCGGGACCAATCTGTCTTCACTAGCCCTCCTCTTGTGGCCCAGTCGTCAGCGTTCCATAGGCTCGAGTATAGTCTCATCGGCTGGTTTTTTGGGAACAGGACGCCTGATGATTCGTGGTTCTTGAACTCTCTGATGGGCGTGCCGTCCACTGAGAAGCTGAAACCAACAACAAAAACAAAAATTTCAGTTTAAAACTAGATTGGGTTAATGGGTCAATAGATTTTTCTTCTTTTTGTTGGTATGATTCTTACATGATCCCCTGTGGATTCCAGAGGATTGAGTAGGTGTGGAAATTGGCAGTGGGATCAAACCAGAGGTGGAATTGTTGCTCCCGGTCGCCCTTGCCTTGGGTATAAACATTGGTATGAAGAGTATAAGGGTCACCGCTGAGATTCCCCAAGAATTCAAAGTCTATTTCATCCCACGTCGAGCCTTGGGATTTGAGCTAAAAAAAGAAAGAACCCAGCAGAGAAAATCAGCTCCTAAATACAAATACATGTAAATAATACGTAATGTGTGTTATAGAAAATGGGTAAAGAGGCATACATAGTAAGTGGTGACAGTGCCAGCGGAGTTGCCAGGCACAAGTTTGAGCTGCATATCAATTTTACCATAAAGGTAAACATTCTTGGACTGAAAGCCAGAACCAGAGCCTCGGTCCAAAGAAAGAGTAAGAAGGTCGCCGTTATTAAGAATCTTACCTCGACCACTGCCCCAAGTGATCTCAAAATCTTGGTAAAAGTTGCCACCTAAAACAGAGGAAACAAAGAGGAGGGACAGAAAGAGTAGCAGAGATGAGAGGGCAGCAGCAGCCATGAGGTGGGCTTGTTTGTGGTACTTGTAAGTGAAATGGTGAACGTGGGGAATGTAATTATTAGTGTGTGTTGGAGTCTGGGGAGAGCGGGGGAGTTATTTATACAAGGAGAGGGAAGGGGGTTGCGTATACAGACCCAAATTGTGGGGCACCAACTGCGTAGTAGTAAGAGCTGGACACAGATGGCTATGAATGTGTGGGACTACATCAAATTTTGCTCTCTCAATTCTCACATGTCCATCCCAAACAAGACACCCCACCTCTTCGCCAAATTACACTTCCTCCCGATGCCTCCGATAAAAGACGTTTAATCTTTCCGCTAATAGATATTTTTTCGTTTTCTGTTTTAGATTTCCCTCTCCAACCAATGTAGGATCTCACTCTTCTCCTCTCGTCTCTCTGTAAAGCTCTCGGACAAAATAATATAAATTATTGAGTGGATGAGTGTACTTAATGCAATTTGGCCCTATAAAGTCATTTTCCTTTTCCTTTCATACGCCTACCTACTTGCAAGCTGGCCTTCCTCATTTCATATATTACCATTTTTCATCCACCCCCTAACTACTTGGATAATTTAAAAAACCCAACTTTACGGTTACATATTAATTATTATCATTAATTTATATTTATAATTGTCTATAAAGTAGCTTTAGAACGCCCCCTTTGAAGGAGCTATGCACATCATGTCTTCTTCTTTTCTTTTTTCTTTTTCTATTCTTCACCACCTTACTCCACTCCACAATTCATTAAAACAACTTAGATCTATATATTATATTACACCAACTTAGGTTTTCATTAATATTATTGTAGTATCTTAATCTTACTATAAACTATATTAACTATGTGATCTAAACTTAACTTAGAAATCCAAATTAGATGTTATCAAAGACGGCCCCATGTAATTTATATCGGAGGGCCAAACTCTAAATATTTAATAAATGCACCTACATCGAATTTTGTAAATAATATGAGTGTTTAATTAGATAGGGGATTATATCAAATATCAATGTCACAGGTATCCATGAGATAAAGAAATATCAAATATAAGGTATGAGGCTCTTGAGGCTCTTCATGCATTCTTTAGCGATAAACAAGCATGTCTTTATCGATGTGTGTTTCGGATTTGATGTTATTTTCTATAAATTAGCTGTCATGAAGTTAATTGCTTGATTTGATGGCCACTTGTAAAGCCTTAATTAATTATATATATATATATTAGAAAATCTATGATACATTTGTTTTATAATTTGTACTAGATTACTTATTTCGTGAATTAAAACCAAAATTTATGAATTTCAAATTAAGATACAAACATATTCATTACTTTATGCCTACATTAAACCTTCATCAATGTAAATTTGTATGACATTCGAGTATAAAATTATTTATTTATTAGCTTCGTCGTATATTTATTTAAAAGAAAATTGACATTATTATGGATATGTTTAGTGGAATTTAATATTAATAAATTAAAAATATTTTCAACGTTGAGGGATGTGACTTATGGTCCAAAGAAAATTTAGTTAAAAAATAAATAATAATAACTTTTAAATGTGGTTTAGTATTGAGGTAAAGGAGAAGGATAAGGATAAGATAGGAATAAACAATAAAATTACATGATTTGTTTTTATAAAAAAAAAATAAAAATAAAATAAAAAGCGAGAATCATGATTGATGAAAAACAGTACTTTACATTTAAATTAATAAATTAAAATTTCGCAACTAAAATTATATAATAATGACTCTTAATACTGCTTTTTCTTTTCAATTTCGATTAATTGAAAATAAATTGTGTTATATACATAAAAGAAAAAAAAAAAAAATCAAGATGAAGAATATGAAATAAAAAATAATATTGACAAAATTTTTATATAAAAATGGTTATTTTAATTTATGAAACTTATTTATCCTAATAATATTTATCCTAATAATAAATGGTATTATATAGATAATAAGGTGTAAAATAAATTTTTTAAAAAAGATTGGTTATTTTCTCTTTTAACCGTGGGGCATCGTGATCTTAACGGCGTCATGGGTTCGTTGAACTTTTGGCTAGATTTGTCTTTGCCAATCAAACCCAATTAGTTCAAATTCAAGTTTGTTTGCTCACAAATATTATTGTTCGTGTGTGTCTGTAACACAACAACGTTGCATCTTAGTGTTGTCTTGATTTTCAACGGCACGATCCATGCATCTTGAAGCCATCCTCTCGGAACATCTCAACCATATTGTTAAAAATGGCTGACAAGTGAGACCGTATGGTTGGTTATGAATTGCCGAGGCGGGGGTGCCAAGCCAGCGCCAAGTTTCGCTGTATATGGTCAGGCAGCAACCCAACCTGGTCCAGGGGATTTCATGAAATTAAGGGCGGCCATCCTTTGTGCCCATTTTTTTATTTTATTTTTATTTTTAATGTAAATGGATTAGGACCATTAGAATTAAAAATAGACACACAAAAATGGTATTCCATATGTCCAAATTGCTCTGATTCCCATGTGTACAGAGACACCGACCAATCAGATAATCCACTGGAAGCTACTATTACACACAAACCCCCCCTTTCCCCCTCTTCCTTCGTATGATGTTATTTATTAGACAAAAGACAAGGTCAAAATCCGGACATGGGTCGGCAAGCCAAAACCTAGTAATTTGCCAAATGGTGCTACATTTCCTGCACAATATTGCTTCTCCAACAACCATCTCCCACCATTTTTTGTCTGCTTAATCATGCCTGAAAACCAAAACCATTACTTTTGAATGCCTTTGACCTTTATGTCTTCGCCTTCTTTCTTGCCATCCACCTGTTCTTTCCCACTTTTACCTCCAACAACCCAAAAGTCAATTTCATACAACTTTCCAACATTCTCTCGATGCCAAGGCGGCTATAAAAACCCACAAATTATTCTTCCGTTATAATTCACTAAAACAAAATGGTTTATTCAAAATGTCTGCTTTTGATTATCGCTGTATTTCCTTGTGTTGCTGGGAACTTCTACCAAGAAGTGGACGTAACTTGGGGAGATGGTCGAGGACAAATCATGGACAATGGCAATCTCCTTGCGCTGTCTCTTGATAAAGCTTCGGGATCAGGCTTCCAGTCCAAGAATCAATATCTCTTTGGCAGGTTTGATATCAAAATTAAACTTGTACCTGGCAACTCAGCTGGCATAGTCACGGCCTATTATGTAAGAACAACACTCTTTATTGTTGTTTTTTATACAATTACGATGTCGTTTGAATTAACCACGTCGATTTTTGTGTGTATGTTTTATTGTAGTTGCGTTCACAAGAGTCGTTGTGGGATGAGATAGACTTCGAGTTCCTTGGAAACTTGAGTGGCCAACCTTATATTGTGCATACCAATATTTATGTACAAGGACAAGGTGATAGGGAGCAACAATTCTACCTTTGGTTTGATCCAACAGCTGATTTTCACACCTACTCCTTCCTTTGGAATCCTACTCATATAGTGTAAGTTCACTCATGTATACCATTTCTTGTTGATAGTCTCGTTATTGATAAGTGGGGTTGGATTTGTTGAGAGGGAATCTCACGTTAGCTAATTTAGGGAAAGATCATGGGATTATAATTAAGTAATACATCTCTATTGATACGAGATTTCTTGAGAAAGTCCAAAGCAAAGTCATGAGAGCTTAGGTTCAAAGTGAACCATATCATATTATTGTGTGGTTCTTATCAAAGTGGACAATATCATATGATTGTGGAGAGTCGTGGTTTCTACTACTCTCTTATTGTACGTAACTGTAGCCAATATTTCTCCCTCCATTTTCTGTCTTCGATTATTTATGTTCATCTAGATTGAGTGTGTGATATGGTGTTAGGTGGTACGTGGATGGGAGGCCAATAAGAGAGTTCAAGAACATGGAAACCAAGGGGGCGCCATATCCAAAGACACAGGCAATGAGGCTATACGCGAGCTTATGGGACGCGGAGGAGTGGGCGACAAGAGGAGGGCTAGTGAAAACGGACTGGACCAAAGCCCCCTTCACGGCTTCCTTCAGGAGCTACAATGCCAATGGATGTGTGTGGAGCGATGCAGCGTCGTGGTGTGGCCAGAACTCGACGCCGTGGCTATCAGAGGCGCTTGATTCAGGCAGCCAGAAAGTGCTGCGATGGGTTCGGAAGAAGTATATGATTTATGATTACTGCACTGATCAAATGAGATTCCCTCAAGGCCTTCCTCGGGAGTGCACTGTCCGCACCAACCTATAGAATTAGTGCAACACGCTGATCAACACACTGAAACTTTTCACACGTGTTTGTTTTTGGCCAAAGATTGATTCTTTTTTTCTCTTCTCATGTTTGTGACTCCTGTTCGTGTAGGTGCTTCATTTTAAGTAAATAAATAAATATAAAATTTGGCCTCGCATTTGTGTATATTTCCCGTTGGATACAACAGTTCCACGTGGCTAAATATTTGATTTTGTATGTTTTTTTTTTTTTTTTTTTTAAATAGTGAAAGTCGGCTAGAGGGGAGTGGTAGGTAAGTGCAGAGGGAGTTGGTATGGGCTTAGTTTTAGTTTTGAGTGGGTTAGGAGATGCCCAGGTCATGCTCGTTCAAGGTATGTTGCGCATGGCCGCATGCACAAACTAAACCCTTTATGTATTTACATGTTGCTTTACTTCTGTATTTATAAAAAGCATGAAGAAAAATCATGTCTAGAACTGTCAGACATGAAATACCACATAATGTATTATAGGGGAGAATATGACTAGTCGTCAACTTCTCATACCAAAAGAAAGTTATATACTATGAGCCGTTGTTGTTACTCTCTTGCTTGTATATATAACGTCTCTTCCAAAATCTCTCTCTATCCTCATTTTTTAAAACGTTCTTATTAAACCGAGGCCAGAGGCTCGAGCATACGTTGTTTGGCTGTAGGCGAGGTAAGAACAAATTGGCTTAGCTCACTTGTTGTTAGAAAGTGAGTGTCGCACAATCGCAAGTCCGCTGCCATCAAGAGTGCGATTGAGATAAGTGGTATCAGAGTTTTGTTAGCTCCGTGACATAACAAAGATCGAAACGTCGTGCTTCCTAGAAATACAAAAGTAAAACTATAGACATGAAAATACATAAAAAGTTCGGTTTATCACGAACGTGCGACTATAGATAACACGATTTAGACGAGTATAACTATGACACGTAGCAGGGGATGGTGCAGACTACAAAAGCAAACAAAGAAACACGGAAGACGGTGGCCCAGAAGAACCCGCGTAAGAAGCTTCATCTACTATCCTCTACCTGCATCTCCAGCTGGATCCCATATTCACCGTCCCATCCCTTATTATTATATTATTTCTTTCCTCAATATTTTAAAATTTAGACCATATTATATTTCCAATATATAAATATTATATTAAAAATTATGTGACATATTTTTTTAATTACTAAAGATTATATTATAGTATTAAATTTTAAATTTTAATATATTGATTTTTTAAAAATCTTTTTATAATTTTTAATAATAATTATATTAAAAATAAAAACTTTAAAATAGCTCTATCTATTTATTCAAAGAATTTAATCTCCTAAAATTACAGGTTCGAAATTCTTTGTAAAAATAAATGAAGAATTTTATGAAGATGAAAATAGGAAAGACTTTACCTGTCCCTACTGATCTATCATGTTTTGTCCCTGGTGATCTATCATGTTTATACTTTGAATAAAAAATAAAAAAAATCAATTTTGCATTTAATAAGTTACTAATTTAAAAAAAAAAATAGAATACAACGGAAGTTCAACATAAATGGATTTATTAAGCATTTAAGGGAAATTAATATTGTGACATAAAATTTGTATGGTGTCATCGTGGTGGAGCGGACGAGGCGGTGCGAACCGCGTAGCAGGCTTTATGCGTTAGGATGATTCCCCAAGCCCAACCATCTCCAGCTGTACGCAACATTCCAATGAACCTTCTCCCCGTTTGCCTTTTCCATTGGCCGCCTTCCTCATCCCTCGCTATATATAAACCCTGCTTCCTTCTTCCCTCTTCATCTCACACTGCAATTCCAAATCAACCAATATGGCCTCTTCTACTGTCTTCTTGCTTCCTCTACTATTCGCCGCCGCCTCCCTCCTTTCCTCTTCCGCTGCTAATTTCCACCAATCAACCGATATTACCTGGGGAGATGGCCGCGCTCAGATTCTCAACAATGGCGACCTTCTTTCTCTGTCCCTCGACAGAGCCTCTGGCTCTGGCTTCCGCTCCAGGAATGAGTATTTGTATGGGAAGATCGATATGCAAATCAAGCTCGTTCCTGGCAACTCTGCCGGCACTGTCACTGCCTACTACGTACGTTTTACACTTTGAATCTTCTTTTACAGTGGATGCTCGCTCATTCCGATTCTCACATTCATCTTTGTTTTATGAATTTGCAGTTGCGCTCAGAAGGGTCTGCGTGGGACGAAATCGATTTCGAGTTTTTGGGGAATCTGAGCGGCGATCCTTATACTGTTCACACCAATGTGTTCAGCCAGGGGAAGGGCAACAGAGAGCAGCAATTCCATCTCTGGTTCGACCCAACTGCTGATTTCCACACCTATTCAATTCTCTGGAATCCCCAGCGCATTGTGTAAGCACTCTAAATTCAATTATCCACTCCAACCAAAAGTGGGAATTGTAATCGTAATCGCAATCGAAATTGAAATTTGCTCTGTTTTTGCTTTACAGCTTCTACGTGGACGGCACACCCATTAGAGAGTTCAAGAACCATGAGTCGATTGGCGTTGCATTCCCCAAAAATCAGCCGATGAGGCTTCAATCCAGTCTCTGGAACGCCGATGATTGGGCAACCCGAGGTGGGTTAGTGAAGACCGATTGGACTCAGGCTCCATTCACCGCATCTTACAGAAACTTCAATGAAAACGCCTGCATTTGGTCATCGGGACAGTCGTCTTGTGGGTCGAATTCGTCGCCGACCTCCGACCACAAGTCGTGGTTCTCTCAGGAACTGGATTCCGACAGCCAAGGAAAGATGAACTGGGTCCAAAAGAACTACATGATCTACAATTACTGCACCGATGTAAAGCGATTTCCTCAGGGCCTGCCTCCCGAATGCAATGCCACTGCCTGAGTTTAATTCTTTTGATTGTTCTTTTCTTGCCCAATATTCATTTCTATTGTATTTGTATACACAATTTTTTTTTTTTTTTTTTTAACATACTATTATCAATGAAATAAGGAGAGAATTGAATTGAATTATTCTAAATTTTGGTGTTCAAATTTGTTTCTTGTTTTCATATTTATTAATGACGTAGCAAGAATCTTTAAGAGCTAGAAGAGATATTTGAGTTTGGGCCCAGGAATGTTTTGATCCAGTGAGACACTGGGCTGGGATTTTATTTCGCTCGGCCCAAAATAGCGCTCTAAATAATATTGTTAAGGGTAGCTTAAAAAAAACCTAAAATATACGATTTAATTTAAATTATAAAAATAATTAGTTTAGAAAATACAAATTGTAATCTAAAATACAAAAAGAAAATAAAATTCGTAATTTACTCGTATTAGAATCCAAATGAATTATAGAATAATTTTTTTATAAGAGGTCGTTATCACACTAAATGAAAATGAAAGTAAATACAATTCGATTTATATTGAACTCAATAATATTTGGTACATGAAGAAGTACACGCGACGTCAAAACATGAAAAAAAAAAAAAAAAAAATACACACGACATAGAATCACTTCAAACGTAGCTCAACGTAATAAACTATGATAACCCATTGATCATATGAGTATAGGTTTGCGAGCCAAGAGAACGGAATTGACGACGTCATCAGAGGGATGAAAAATAGAGAGAATGTCAAAGCCAACCATATCGGCGACCTCAACCACGGGGTACAAAAAGGCTCGACCTCCTTTAGCACTTCTCACAACCAAAACCCCACCTTGTTTCATATACTTTCTCAAGTGACTTAAAATCTTCACTTTATCTTCCTTCTTCAACCCCACAAGAGCCGCCAAGAACACACAATCGTATCCCTCAAGCTCTTCTCCTACCTCAACAATATCCCTCGTCCAAAACTTCATTCTTCCCTCCAGCTCACCGTCGGAAGCCACGATCTTTCCCGCCACCTCATTTGCCATGCTATCGATGTCGTAGTTGTCGAAATACGTGTTCTTCATGTGTTGCATGGCCAATATAATGGAAGTTAGAGGAAGAGGACCGGACCCCACAAAAGCTACCTTTTTTGGATTCACAACTCCATTGTCAATCAATATCTTGTATTCAAGGTGGGCTAATTTGATGTAGTTGTCATAATATGGAAATAGAGTGAGATTGTTGAGAGGTTTTGGGATTTTTCCGAGCATGGTCGAGAATTCTAACTCGAGTAACCCCTCGGCTCGGCCACAAAAAAGTATGAGGCTCTCACGAATGGCTTGTAAATGGGGTGGCAATGTGGAGACATCTATTGAACAAGGCAAAATGCAAAATTTCACAAGGTTGGTGAAGAGGCCGTTCACTTCCTTGCATGGCTTTAGGGTTTCAAGCCTCGAGATGCTCCCATGGAGGTCGATGACTCGAGCTATCAAAACCTCCTCGGAGATATCGGTTTCGGTGCCAAGAATCTGGAGGGCTTCCATGGAGAGGAATGAAGGGAAGTATTAGACAATCTTCGTAATGTGTTCTTGGTTTTGTTGGTGTTTAAAGGTTTAAGGAATTCAAATATTTATAGGGCCATGGAGGTGAATAAATCTCAACTATAGTATTATTTTGGGAGTTCCTTTCAATTTCTTTTTTCCATTTATGAAAGGAGTTGAACCCACATAACAACTCAAATCATTTAAATAAACAACAACCAACTATATTTATATTTAGATAATCAATGCACAAAATTATTAAAATCTCGTGTTAATAACAAATATAGATAGTTCTTCCCTAGCTCAACTGGGCTTATATGATACTGAACTTATATATATTATCCATTTTATTAAAATTGTGAGTTTGAATGCATGAAAATGAAAGTTGCTTAAAGGGTTTGTGTTCATACGGAAGCAAGGCATGGAAAATGCACTCTTTTCATGCATTTATGTATACAACAAATTTTCTAATTAGAGATTGAAATTTGTCGTTAAAATATGAGATTAAATAATTGTTTGAAGTACATGTACGAGTTGAAACATAATTATTAATTCATTAACAACAAGCTCAAACTTTTCGGGAAGTCTAAATATGAAACTTTTGGTTGCCATCCCTATGCTCTTCATTAAATATTTATTTATATACTGAGGATGACACAGCCTAATGCATGCTCTCGTGTACTACATTACGTGTCTTATTCATTTAGCTATATATTTAGAAAGACAGATTTTTTTATTGATAAGAATCGTCGTCGAGGTGGGTTTGAAGAATTGAGAGAATTAAACCGAAACGACATGAGTTGTTAGAAACTCGGGATGGAGGATGGATTGAATTATTGAAGTGTTGAAAATTGCATGAAGAAATTGAGAAGCTAAGGTTGGAGAAAATGTAGGTTGGGAAGAAAGGGTTATTAATGGGTTGGTAGCAGCGTGAGGTATGTCTAAACAAGGAACTTGAGGCCCCTCGCTTGCTATTCTTATTCATTTACGTGTAAACTAAGGCTGCATTTTTGTTAGCTCCAATTAGTCGAGTTGTTTCATTATTTTTTGTGGGTTGAAGTTCTTGAGCTTGGGGAGATGGGAACCTCTTGCTTCGTAAAAGTTAGTCTCTTAAAGGGAAAGATCTTCTCATTTGGAGTTGCTATGTGCTTTGCTCACAATAGACATTCTTTTCTCTTCTAATCAATTTACAATTCCACACATCAATACTTAAACACCTTTTGCCTTTGCCTTTGCCTTTGCCCTCCTCTTCTCACTTTAAATGAGATCAAAAATAGAATTTTTAAACTATTTCTTGAAAGAAATTGGAGCCGTAACTATTAACTATGTTGAGATTATCGAACCAGAAAGATTTTGGTATTCAACATCTTGGATCACCAAGAAAGGTGGGTTTTGAGATCGTACATCAGTTGGAGAGAGGAACGAAGTACTCCTTATAAGGGTGTGGAAACCTCTCCCTAATAGACGCGTTTTAAAACTGTGAGACTAATGGCAATACGTAACAGGCTAAAACGGGCAATATCTGTTAGTAGTGGGCTTGAGCTGTTACAATGGTATCAGAGCTCGCCACTGGACAGTAGAGCTATACCTTTTCCATAGTATACTTGTTTTAAAACTGTGAGACTAATGTCAAAGGAGATAATATTTACTAGCAATGAGGTAAGCTTGGACGGTTACGAGTAACTTTTTTAAGCGAATTATAAAGTTTTGTAAACAGGCTATATAAAAGTTTCTTTTCTTTAAATGTTTGATAAAGTATGAAGCTTTAAATTTAGATGCAACAACCATGCATTTGGTAAACATATCTATAAATCTATCCAACTTGGTGATCCTCACTTGATATTGTCTTGCATTTTAGTAGGAACTCACATTAATGCTTTCTTTAGCTTTAATTACATTAAGCTACCAAGCATATGAATTAGCATACAGAAAATTAGAACCAACTTTCATTAAAAATTTGTCCCTTTCAACTCTTAATCTAATGAACAAACATTCTTTAACCAGAAAATGGAATCCTATAACAGTAAACATATATGCATCATGATTTAAGTAATTATGATTGAGTATTATTGATAATAATGCGTGCAATGAAAAATTAGAACGAATCGAATCCCTAAAACTGTGTTGTCTTTGATTAACCTAACCTCCCTAATGCAAATTAATTTGTCGATTTCTAGATGTAATGGTTAGAAATTACGTATCTCCAAAATGATATGGTATTGTCCACCTATATTAGTTAACGTGGACTCTCTTGCTCCCAACAAAAAAAAAAAAGAAGATGATGAAACCCAATCATGATTATATCATGATTATAATATACTTAGGAATCCAATGGAACATAAAATACTCTCTCAATCCATCGCTCGCTCCTTTTGGTGGGGTTTCAATCATTACACAAATTTATACGTAAAATTAAAAAATGAGAAAGAAACTCAGAGCCTTAAAGACAAGTCAAGATGGCCAATATCATCAGCTTGATGATGATGAAGATGAAGAAGAAGATTTTGATCAGCGGGAAAAGCTCTTATCTGATCTCTCCCACCATCAATTACTAGAGGTGGTGGCGCTGTTAGAGTCTCAACTTTCCACAAATGGCTTGACTTCATCATAACATTATTGCTTTCATGGTCTCCTCGGTATGCCCTCATCTCCCTGCTCTTCTTCGCCAACGTCCTCTCCAGCTTATGAGCATTTTGGTGACCTCCCAACGCCTGCGAGCTATAAAACTTCCTCTTGCAATAGTTACATGAGAAAACCCTGGCGGCCTCGCAATTTGGACTCACAGGAGCTGAAGAGGAAGGTGAAGATGGCTCTAGAACCAGCTCAAGGTTGAGCTGCTGATGGTGCTTAAACTCCATGAAGAAGAGTTAAAAGGAAAATTGAGGAGATGGGTTTGAAGAAAAAGGGGAAATGAGAAGTGGGTTTTGTAGCAAAATGATGACTTTGCGATGGGTTATATGAGATTAAAGGGTTCACTGTTGGTGCAACTAAAAATGGATGGGGTTTGGACATAGACGCAGACAAAAGAGTTGGAAAAAATCAGTGAGGATCCAATGGTTGTCGGCTCCGGTAATGGCAGCACTCAAATTGGTTGTCGGTTTATAAACCAATATTTTAAAACAAAACAATGGTTACTGCCATTTCCTTTGCACTTCCCCCCACATGTATCGCCAAAATGGTATAAATAATCAGACAAATCTCTCTGTGTTTAGTATTATCATAATCATCGTGTCCACAGCGTTTTTGTGCTCAATTAACATTTTTATGTCATTAATCCTCAATTCTCAGCGCTCGTAATTATCTATATGTATTCCTAACTAATCATTCATTCCAATCTAAAATAAGATTAATACATAATTATTTGGCATTATAGTTTAAGAGCCAAAAGTATGGTCGTAGCTAGCTATATAGGTTGAGGTTAAAATAAATTATGAAATGGTCAAATTCTAATTTAAGCAATAAATGATTAAGAAAGATAAATGATGTTGAGTAGAATAGACCTGACATGCCACATCGTTACACATTGCTCACCTTTTTCACTTTGTTTTATCAAATAATTCAGTGATATCTTTATTCAAACCTAAATATTTGTCCTATGGTTCATTGAACCCGCCGCCCCACAGTGTTGATTAATTATTAAACCACTGATTATATATGCCCACTGCTAACATTGTGCCAGGTGGACTATATATATATATATATATATATATATATATATATATATATATATATATATATATATAGAGAGAGAGAGAGAGAGAGAGAGAGAGAGAGAGAGAGCTTTAATATTGAGCTAATAAAGTACGTTTCCAATTAGCAACATATTAAATTTGTACTTTGGAATTGATTAGCAACCACTAAGCATTTAAGGACAACTGAAATTATTGATTAGTTTTATTTTATTTTTTTAAGCAAATGAATTAATCTAGTTTAATAATATTATTTGGAACTCTCGATATTAACTTAAAAAAGAATTTGTCAAATTATAATATTCTCATTTCAAATATGAAATAATAAAATATATAATAATTGAAGTAGGTATTAAGGTGAATTATATTGAGATTTTGCGATGTTCACTAACATTTAAGAATTTTTTTGCTTGAAAGTTTGTATCTAATGACTAGAGAGAATCTACTGATTATGAGCCGGTTAACTCAACACTACGTTTTGTGTTAGGTTGGAAATAACTTAGGTAGTGTCTTCCTTTCACTTGGGTGTCGTTTAGACTTGAGCCGACTTGAGCTTAGACATGTGTTTGGAGGTATTCGGTCCATGTGACAAGCCATGATTTGACCCATAATTATATCAATAACATATTCAATTGATTTATTAAAAAAGTGACCGAGATCGGACCCAACACAACAACACATCGATGGCATATCCTGTGAAAGTGTGTATGGGATCTTTCCATCTCGTCAATAGGACACAAAAGTTCGTGCATCAACTACCAGACAAGATAACTTAGCCACCAATGGCTGCTAATCTTTTCACCTTTCTACTTCACATCTCCATGACTTCTCTCTCTAAACTTTCAAAGCATTTCATCCATATCAATGATTTCTCAATAAAAAACTGAACCAAGCACATGGGTTTTACTCAAATTCTCTAAACTTATGAATGCTTGACGCAATTAAGTCAATTCTGTTATTTCAGACTGTTAATTTAATAATTTGATCCATCAACGACAACCATAAATAAACAAATGTGCTTTAAGACGATGATTGGGGGATCATAATCTCGCAGCTTTGGCGGTGTCTGCGGTGATGTCTTTAAATCAGAGACCGCTGTGTTTAACTCCTCGTCAGTTTGGTCTGCAGCCTGCAATGGACACTAATTCCCTTCCACAGTACACTAACTGAGTTACTGAAATCTGTTTGATCTTGTACCTTGAGCAGCCAACAGTTATACACAAATCAAATTGGAAGATATGGTGTAATTATAAATTATCTGTGTACTTTTTCCTCGTACATTCTTCTCTCTTAATTGGGTTCAGATAATAAATACATGGAATCAGTCCTTTCTTCTGAATTAAAATGGCTGAGTCAAAGTACAATGATCCGGGTCACTCATTTTCAATTCCGTCTTAAAAGATTTCATTTTTAGACACCTTCTGATAAGTATTATGTTTTGATGATTAAAAATATACATAAAAGAATAGGGGTTTCTCTATCCTCACTCTTTCAAACTTTTCTTTCGGAGAAAGTGTAATGAAGCTTCTTACTGGTTCATTTCACTTACCCATCTTCAGTACCTGGATGTTTTTAAATAGAAAATTTCATTAAAACCTGAATTCCCTTTTTCTTTCAAAAAGTAATAGCTACCAAACCTAGAGAACGTGAGCGTGAGATGCCAAAGACAAAATATTTCTTATAAAAGTGTGAAAACATCTCCCTAATAGACGTCTTTTAAAATCGTGAGGCTGACGGCAATATGTAACGGGTCAAAGCGGACATATCCATTAGCGGTGGCTTCGAACTGTTACAAATAGTATTAGAGCCAAACATTGGGTGGTATGTCACCAAAGACACTGGGCCCCTAAAGGGGTGGATTGTGAGTTCTCACATCGGTCGGAGATGGGAACTAAACATTTCTTATAAACGTGTGAAAACCTTTCACTAGTAGACGTATTTTAAAACTGAAGCTGATGAAGATACGTAAAGGACTAAAGCGGACAATATTTATTAGCGGTGGTCTCGAGCTATAACAAATGGTATCAAAATCAAACATTGGGCGGTGTGCTACGGAGAACGCTGGCCTCCTAAGGGGGTGGATTATGAGATCCAACATCAATTTGAGAGGGGAACGAATCATTTCTTATAAAGATGTGGAAACCTCTCCCTAGCAAAAGCATTTTAAAACTATGAAACTGACGACGATATGTAACGCGTCAAAGCGAACAATATCTATTAGTGGTGACCTCGGGCAGAGTTATCCCAATAGTTTACTAACCAACCAGTAGAAAGCACATTTAATCTGAGAAATTATGTGTGCATAGAAAAAGGGAGAGGAATTGAAGGGATCTTCACATGGGAAAAGTGCAATGTTGAGATCATATGTAGACAGGAATGAAGTGGGCGGACCCTCTCCCTAATTCTTTTTGTCATTCTAGGATAGGCATTAACAGAGGGAACTGAGAGAAACGGGTGGTGGACATGTTCGTGCTGTTGACTTTGTTTTAATGATCGAAAAAGAGGTTTACAAATATTCACACAGGACTCACTAGTCGGTAATTTGCTAATTTCATCCAAAACTCTCTCCCTCTTTGCTCTTTTACATAGAGGGCGTCTGCAAATTACCTTTTTTGCTGTTAACGATGGAATTATGGATGTTGAAAATTCAAAAGCTTAGGACTGACTTGATTATGAAGTGTCATATCAAAGTTTAATCCCAACCCTTTCTTTTCCATGGTTGTCGCAATGTTGTTAGGATTCTCTTAAGAGCGATAGAAATAGGGCCCCCCATCTAAACGCTCTTCCCCTAACACATGCTAGCACTTTCTCCGACCTCCTGAGGCTGTAACTTACAATTGGGATCCATTAACGAAAGTGAGTGGATTGGATGGTTTGGCGGCATTAAAAGCAAAATGATGCGCTTTTTGTTTGAAACAAGGAAAGCACATCTAATTATAATATTCCTGCTGCTTGCAACTCAACCCATTTCTGCGCCTGCATGGCCCATGCAAGGAGTGATTTTCCCCCGTGTGCTCCCCTAAAAAGTACCTCTCCTACCTATCTATTTATCTCTTCCATGTGCTTTGCTTTGTGCTTTCAAACACCCACCACTTTTCTCAGACCCTGTTTCAACCTGTGGAACTCATACTTACACATCCTATCTCAAGATTACACCTAAACAACGTGTATCACGATTGCGATATCCATCATTCCAACCACAACCAAAAAAATGAAAAGGTTAATTGCTTGATTGTTAGTCGGTGAGCAGTCTAATTAGAGTATCATTCAAAATCAATTCAATCTAACAAATCGACCGAATAAGATCTTGAAAATCAAGATTCAGATGCAGAATAGGCGCACCTGTTGGGTGGAAGAAGGCAAAAAGAGAAGATGTAACGTCTGTGAAAGTATAGAAAGAAAAGATGGATGATAAGGCCGGCCATGTTCAGTTTCAGTCTCATCATTTTATGGAGCAACCAATGAGCAGGTCGTGGTTGAGTCACCTTTTCTTCTTTTTCTTTTCACTTTTATTTGTTCGGACGCGAACTGAGGCGAAAAGAAGGAAAGCAAAGCAGGCAATGACAAAAGCCGTGGTGGGGGAAAAAGGTATCGGGAGTTCAACTGTGGCAGACAAAAAAGGCAACACGAACTGACATCAGAAATCGACACATCGGCTTTTGGATGCTGAGTTTTCACCACTCAGCTCAGTTTATGTCAATCTAGCTCTCACAAAAATTCCCTGAACGGAAAAGCCATCATAAATGAGGCACCAAAGCCATTTATGCATACAGTAAGATGGGAACAGAGACCATCGTTTCTACCTCTCCTGGATGGCACCTAAAAAGGGAAACTATTACACTTCATCGTCCACATATTAGGAAGGATAAGGTTGTGTCAATGGTGGACATGAGGCGGTGTGCAAACAAGGACACTGGGCCTCGAAAAGGAGTGGATGGAGGATCCCATATAAGTTAGAAAAGGAAAAGAGTTTCAGCAAGGACGCTAGACCCCGAAGGGGGTGAATTGTGAGATCCCACATCAATTGGAGAGGAGAACGAAACATTTTTTATAAGGATGTTGAAACCTCAGACATGTTTTCAAAATCGTGAAAGGAAGCCCGAAATGAAAAACTCAAAAAGGACAATGTTTGCTAGTGGTGGACTTAGGCTGTTACAACATCTATCATTATCGTTTGTAGATATATATGATCGTAATTTCCTTCTTCAGTTGTGTCTTCCATTTATATGCACATCCCACCTCCAAAGGGTTTTCACGAACCAACATATTTAGGTGATCCAAAGAAGTGAAGTGCTTCCTCCAAAATCAAAGCTAGGCAGCTTTATAAAACACCATACAAGCCTATTCTTTTTTAGTACTTTGCTGCATTGGCGGCACTGCAGAACGAGTTCCTGGGATGCAAGTTAGGTTGCCTTTTACTAGTTTTGGACAATCACTTTACACACCAACTGAAGATATCCATCTTTTTACGTGCGTGGTTATTAAATTTTTGTATTTCAGTAATATATATATATGGGAATTCAATTTATTTTATTAACCTTTGAAATGGATCGACTTCTTATATCTGGTCCTCTACGATGTGACTAGCAGTGGACCTAAACATTGAACAATGTTCTGGAAAAGGAGATGCACTCTTATCTGTCACTACGCGCAGGGTCTTGTGCTATATGATGTGGAGATCTTGTGTTTTATAGGACGATCAGTGAGGCTCTATATTTTGTTTATTCATCAGAATTTTCATATGGGTGCATTGCCAATATTAAACTTAATATCTTAATAATAATTTTTTTATTAGCTCGATAACATGTTTTTTCGCTATTGGTTAAGGAGGTATAACTTAACTACAACAAAAATCAATAAAAGTTTGATACAACAGATTTGGTATTGGGCCAACCAAGGGCTAATTCAATATTGATTCAAAAGGCTAAAGGATAAAGTTAGAGACAAAACTCTCCGAGAACAGAACTTTATATAAACATAATCCACAAAGAAGATCCTTCTCTCTATTTTACATACACGCAATGGAAAGAAAGAGAGAGATTTGAATTATTTGGGGTTGTAGAGTTTGGTGTCTAGTTTGGAATACTGGCGGGGAGCAGAGCTCTAAGTTGTCTCCGCAAGATTTTTCCAGAAGGACTTTTAGGGATGGAATCCACGAAGAAGACGCGATTAATCCTCTTATAAAACACAACCTGCATCCCACGTCCTCAATAGTTACAATCCATGTATCAGATCTCCGAGATTTCAATTAAGATTAAACTATAAAGTTTGGCTTTATTATGCTTTTGAACTTATAAACATAAAAAAACTCTTAGGTTTTCTATAGATCTCTAAGCTTTCGATGTTGTGTGAAATGGTTTCCACTCAAGGTTATAAAATATCTATACGGGAAAGAGGTTTCTTCACCCTTATAAGAAACATTTCTCTCTCCAACCAATATGAGATCTTACCATCTATCTCCTTGGGAACCAGCATCCTTGCTACACATCGCCTGATGACTGACTTCGATACCATTTGTAATGGCTTAAACCTACCGTTAGCAGATATTATCATTTTTTGAGTTTTCTCTTTTGAGTTTCTCTTCAAGGTTTTAAAACGCGTCTACTGGAAAGAGGTTTTCACACCCTTGAAAGGAAAGTCCCGTTCCCTTCTCTAATTGATTTGGGATATCACAATCAACCTCCCTTGTAGGCCTAGCGTCCTCGGCACACCGCCCGGTGTCTGACTCTGATACTATTTGGAGTGGCTCAAGCCCATCGCTAATTGATATTATTTTTTTGGTTTTCCCTTTCAATCTTTTCCTGGAAAAAAATTTCACAACCTTCTAAAGAATGCTTTCCTATAGGGATCACTTTGTATCAACCCAAATCACAAGTTCAACCAGCTATTAGAATTTTTGAAAGGGTATTGATCAAATAGACATTAAATTTTTTTTTTTTTAAGGTAGGCATAGACATTAAAGGTTAAGGAATTATAGCCAAATAGGAAGGGAACCGAAAGAGCAGGGGCCTAAGATGAGTTATATCACAAACGCAAGGTTACCTAATTATTCGGTGAAATCGACGCTAAAATCTCCATCAATGGGTAAAGCTAATAAAATATCAAACTTAAAAACATGAAATTAAGGCCAAAATTGGAGACTTAACCTGTTTGGAGATGTATTCCTTAATTTCATCCTCGGTGATGTTGGAACCGTCTGACCGGACAATGAACGCAACAGGAGCCTCTCCAGCTACTTCATCTTTCATACTGAATTAAAAAAGTAGAGAGTAATTAAACCAAGAAGGTAGGGGTGAAGGAGCAGAATCGAGAATGCTGACATACGGTATAACCGCAACGTCGACAATGTGGACGTTGGAAATGAGCAGGCCTTCCAACTCCGCCGGCGCTACCTGGAAGCCTTTGTATTTGATCAGTTCCTTGAGACGATCGACGATGAAGACCTCATCGTCGTCGTCAACTAAACCTATGTCGCCGGTGTGCAGCCATCCGTCTCCGTCGATTATGCCCTTCGTGGCCTCTTCGTCGTTGAGGTACCCTGGTTCGTGTTGAGTTCAACCAATCAAAACTCAGACGGTGAAACAGACCACACTAATGTAATGGGCTCTCTCGATTTTATCGGGCTTGGTTTGGTCATTACAATGAGCCCATTAGGCCCAATAACTGTGAGGTGGGCCCATATTGACGCTTCCAAATCCAAACAAATGAAATGACGTCCTTCGCTAGGCGGTATTAATAAGTAACGTTTTTTTTCTTGTGGAATGGTTAGGCGGCATTAATTACTTACATCAGCTGCCACTACCTCCTTTGTGTCGTGTACATTACAAACCCTTTGATTACACTCATTTCTAGTCTAATCAATGTTATAATTCCATAAGAATAATGTATTGCATACCTTTCATCATTTGAGGACTTCTAACATAAATCTCTCCGGGTTGATTTCTTGAAAGAGAAACTCCAGTTTCCGGGTTTACAATCTTCATTTCTGCATTTCTCATTAATGTCCCACAAGCTCCCGACTTGATTGCGAATCTCTCCTTTGCAAGTGCCAATGACATTGTCAACACTGATCCTGACTCAGTCATTCCGTATCCCTATAATTATTTTAAAACCTCATTTTGTAACCATGAAATTGAGAGTTTTACATAGAACTAGAATGAATGGATGGTATTAGTTATTTACTTGGCCGAGAATGGCATGGGGAAACTTGGCTCTAAAGGCATCTTCAAGGTTCTTCCCCAGCGGTGCGGCTCCCGACAACACGATCCGTATGGATGACATGTCGGAACAGTCTACAACCGGACTCTTGACCATTGCGAGTACAATAGGAGGTACAACGGTAGCAATGGTGACCCTATATTTGGGAACCAATGCCACAAGGGAATTAATGTCGAATTTCTGGACGAGCAAAATCGCGGCTCCCACTCGCAACGACGACATCACGATCGAACTCAACGAGTAGATGTGAAACAAAGGAAGCACACACAGAACGACGTCGTTACTTCGGATATGGAAGTGTGGATTTTCGCCGTCCACTTGTTGAGCCACGCTGGTCACCAATCCCTTATGAGTCAGCATAACTCCTTTTGGGAGGCCTGTTGTGCCAGACGAATATGGCAACGCAACGACGTCGTCCGGGCTGAATTTCACATCCGTCAATTCCTCCTCTTTTGCTTCATCAGTCAACGACGAAAAATGACATCCACCCTCCGGTGGAGAGTCGATGAATATCACTTTCAAAATCCCCTGGTTTTCCTGAGGCAAATTTTTCACTTTTTCCGCAAACGCGGCTTGGGTTATGATCAGCTTGGCGCCAGACGACGCCGCTTGCTTCGCAATCTCCGCTGGCGTGAAGAACGGGTTCGCCATGGTGGCTATGGCGCACGCAAAGGAAGCGCCGAGGAAAGCGAAAGCGAATTGTGGAGTGTTTTGGAGAAGGAGCATGATGACGTCCCCTTTTCCGATGCCGAGCTTATGAAGGCCGGCGGCTACTCGGCGAGCTGTTACGTGGACTTCACCGTAAGTGTAAATGTCACCGGTGGCGGCATTGATTAGACATGGATTGTGTTTGAATTCGGAGATTCTTTCGAAGCAATATGTGTGCAAGGGGAGGTGGTTGGGGATGGTGAGGTCCGGGAGCTTTGACCGGAATATGAATTCCGGTGAGGGATCAGCAGCCGCCATTGGAGAAGTATATAGATAATGGGTTTTTAGTATTACATCTGGAAATGAACTCAAAATTGGAAATTGGAAGGCATATATAACAGAATTGATGGAAATATAGATATGCGTAACATGAAACAAGGGTGGGTATAATTAGTTCAGATTTGTCTTCAGTAGAAAGGTTAAATGAATATGGTTTCAATCTGACACTATCAATGACTATCAAATCCTTTGTCTTTAGATGAGCCTTTCATGGATTTTTGTATTTTTATGCCCAATTTTCAAACATATAAAATAAATAAATCAAAGCTTATAACATAAAGATATTATTTATTTCCACCTTTATGTTGAAAATAAGTGATTAAAAAACGAAGAATAAAGATATTATTTATTGCCAAGACGATGCTTCATTTCTCCTTTACAAACACATTGCATATTTTAATTTTTTAATGATGTTCTTTAGGGTATTCCTATGTTACAATAATTTATCATCATAACTCTCTTTACTTTTCAACATGTGGATTTGACTTATTTTTAATAAATGATTTTGTCAAAATAAATAATTTTCTTCCCGTGATTCTCAACCTTGAATGTGTACATCTTGATAATGATAAGGAGGTCATAAGTTTATAAATAAGGAATACTATTTCCATTAGTACGAGGTATTTTGAAAAAATAAAAAAATAGAGACATGAGAGCTTATATTCAAAATGGACAATATCAAGGATCTTTATTGATATTCTCAACGTTTTAAATATAATACAAACTACTAACTAATAACCAATTACGAATATTTAAAATATATTTCATAACTAATATATTTTTCAAATATTAAAAGATTGAGACATCTTCTTCCTCGTGGAGACTTTAGGGAAGAATTAAAAGGGCGGTCGTATGGCCCGGGAAGGTCAAGATTATCTGCTGAAAAATATGGTGGGAAGAAGAAAGCAACAAATGCATTGCATCACATCATAAAACGGCAAAGATTGCTCTTTAGATAATTGAGGCTTTTGTCGTGGTCGGAAACTATAGAAACGGTAGGTTCCACGTCACTTTCACGGACATCATAATAAGAGACCATGCATTCCTAATATAATTTACTAGTGTTTATGGTTCAAACTAAACAAATGGGTTAATCTCACATTAATTAGGAAAGTGTACGGAAGTTTCTTATAATCCTAATTAAAACAATCAGAAAAGGAATCTTTTTTACGTAATTACCTCACATAATCATGGAAGCCAAAAAGCTAATTAATCTATTAAGACTGTGTCAAATTTTAGACTTTCCACGGTCTTCTAATCCCACACGCATTACTTTCTCTTGTTTCTCAAGTTGATACCGAAACTTCTCACCAATATCCACAACGTTCTTGCCGGCTAATACCACTATAAATACCTCCAACCTATCCATCATTTTAAACGGCCAGTCTACAGCAACAGCAACAGCTAAGGAAGGAACACGAAAAGTCAAATAGATCGGAGAACACAAGAGAAAGAGAATCGAAAATGGCGGCGACTAGCTTGCTGGGTCGGCTGAGGAATGCGGTGGAGAAGCTGAAATTTATGATGAAGTTCAACATCCAAAGCTGGCGTTTGGCGGCGATGTTGGGGCGGACTTCGTCGAGAAATCTCCGGCTTAGCTTCAACGAAAGCCCGGGGTTGAAGGTCTGTAAAGAGGATATTATAGAGTCGTCTGAACACTCAAATTCTTCGTCTCGAGGAGGACTACAAAGGACACCAAGCTACGCTTCTGAAGACGATGTGGACAAGCGAGCGGAGGCTTTCATAGCGAATTTCTATCGCCAGCTTAGGATCGAGCGCCAGGTTTCGCTTGAGCTTCAATACTGCCGTGGGAATAGCTCTAAGCAGCTTATAGTTTCTCCTTGATTTCGTCGTGAATATCGAGTAAGCTTTTCAATTAATGGAGTCTCTTTGATATTTTTTTGGTTTTTCAAAAGGATCTCCGATTTGGGGTTCATTATCGACTGTTCCCCTTCAGTTGGTGATGCAATTCAATTCAATTCCCAAGAAACGTTGAATTTGGAGGATGTCACTGAAGTCTTTGAATTTTGGTGTAAAATTCAATTATGGTGTGCTTTAATCGTTTGGCTCCGAGGAAGAAGAAGAAGAAGACCCATTTGATTTGAATGGATGACAATTTGAAGGCAATGGTGGGGATATAAGGAATTTGATTTTTCAACATTCAATGATGTTTTAATTTATTGGATTATTATTATTATTATTATTGATTCGTCTAATTCATTTTGTCCCGATTTTTAATATATATAAAATTTGTGGTTTTAATTGAAAAAAATATATAATTTATTCAATTTTTAAAATATCATTTTAATTTTCTAAATTGGAACTACGGTTCTATAAACCTCAACAAAGATATGTAAGTTTTATCCATATTGGACGTGCTCACAAATTTGACTATGACATAAGAACTGAATCAATGTTTATATTATACTATAAAAAGAACATGTAAAGAATAATAATAATAATAATATACATAAATATATACATTTTTTTTTTTTTGAAAATACCTTTCATCTTTTTCTTTAAAAATATTAATTCTATATTTTACAAAATTGAAACCTAAATATTTGTGTTCAACCTTTGTGAAGAGGTTATGTAAATCACTACTCCCTCGTGTGGTTTAAGAAAGAAGAAACTTAACTTGGCTAATAGCCGAGCCGCTTAGCCAGTATCGTAAGTTTCATGACAGGTAAAGTAACCGGTCGGTGACGCATATTACAACACAGACAAATTAAAAAATGCCAATTCAGCGCTTGCGTTTCACATCAACCAATCAAGACGTAAATGGGTGCAACGTGGCATTATAGTGGCGATGCAATCAGTACTCAAATTGACCCTAAATTGACGCAGCAGTCACCTGGACGCGCGCCAACCTGGCATCCTCCTCGTTGCCCATCGCTCGATACAGTGTGGTGATATCATCATTCTCTAGGGCTTTCAGGACTCGGGGCTTGTCGGCGATTCCTGCTTCGAAACCTTTTGGATTAATTCGCAGCGGGTATGTCATTTTGTTTACTATTTTCCGATATATTGGTGTTCAAATCCTCTACCGGCTTAGCTGATTCGAGTTTGCATGATTATACTGGGAAATCAATGGCCCTTTAGCGACCTAATTGCTAATCTTTTTCTTAAGCATGACGTTTAGCTTGCGTATTGCCTCATTTCTTTCTTCTTAGTTAAAGGTAATCCTCGCTTTGTTTGATCTTCAGCCTGCCTTTTCGTTTATTTTGTTTTTATGATCCTGACAAACCATTTGATCTCAGTTTAGCGATAAACGTCGTTTAGCATAGAACCGCTGATTCGTTACATCGAAATGGAGATTTCATTTCCCTTTCTGCATGGTAGGGGGACCTTAGTTTGTCAACAATGTCCTGGAAATCGAAGTGGCCTATGTGAGATGATAAGGATTCGAAGGTTTCAGACGACATTTTATCTATTGAATGCTTTGAAATACAGAGTTTAGACTATTGATTGTACCTCGATTCTTAGATTTTCCTTCTCCTAGAAGTTGAAAGATGCTATAGTCATATTGCCTTCCGAGAAGAATAATTACATCACTTCAAATATCTTAATTTACGGGAGAAAACATGATGGGGAATTTCGTTGTTACTTCGTAAAATGCCACTTCATGGGACATTTGAATGATAGTAAGAAAAGCCATATAAGAAACATGCTGATCACCCAAGGGCCAAAGGTCACTTTCTGATGCCCATTGCTTGAGTTTGCGTTCTGTTGGGTTTGTTAGGGATGCTTCCATAAAAATGTTCTGACACGGAATAGGCTCGGAGAGCTTCTCTCGTGTCCTGTATCCAAAGTTATTCATTGATGGATGGTGAAAACGATGTGAGACCTTGGGTCTTTCTTTTATTCCTCAGCTTGTTGCTTCCTTACGTTGCTAGTATAGAAGGTTAATGCTTTGTGCACGAGCTTACAGGAATTCAGCCTTGTTGTTTTACTCTAAGAAGACAACTTGGAAAGGAAATTATAAAATGGAAGTGTAACATTTGTAATTGTTATAAGTTTATAATAAACCTGATACACATTTATATCTACCAGTATCTCATTCTCATCTTTTCACTTCAATGTGATTTCTTTGATTTTCTTAAGGAGGTCAGACATAGATGGAAATTTGAACCTGATTTCGTCGATTTCCTTTTTTCTTTCTTTGAATATTTATTCTGCTATATCAATATTGACTAACACAGTATTTGTCCGTTTTTCTTCCTTGATATCTATGCTTGGCCTAAATATGGTATAAAACTACACCTTTAATTGTTTCCTTTCTATCCAGGAACTTATAGACTTTGACCATTCCGTGGAATCATGGGCAGTCCTCCAGCACCATTTTCAGATATCGGCAAAAAGGCCAGAGGTACATACCTTAGATATTTTTCCTTGTGCATCTGAGAGGCTTATGTTAACCAGTTTCTATTTCTACTAATTAATTTTTTTCTAAAGAAGTGTCTTGTTTCTTTCCTATTTTTTTATTTTATTTTTTATAATGGGTTTGTTTCAATGACATTTAATATCCTTTCATACTATTCACAAAGAAGATGTTTTGGTGGTTCGTAATATCTCGCATGAGTCATGACACCAATAAATGATCTTCCCCATTTGTACCCAAATATTCTTTCGTTTTTCTCAATGAAAATTGTTCTTAATAATGTTTTAAAAAGTGTCTTAAATATATGCTGTAATTCTTTGATGAGAAACATGGATCCTTGTGTGATGGTCTAACTCATAGTTGTAAATTCCAAATCTTACTTTCACTATGATGGTGACCTTGCAGACCTCTTGACTAAAGATTACAACTTCGATCACAAGTTTACCCTATCACTACCGAACTCCAATGGAATGGTATTATTGGTTCAAATTTATTTCTTTTTCTCGTGATTAATGGTCTTCCCTATTTTTACCCTTATATTCCCATTCTTTAAATGTGGTATCCAGCAGTTTAACTCTTTCAATGATATTGATATGTTTCATAACTTCAAAACTTTCATTCTGAAATATCTTTATTTTGATTGACTGTGTCTCTTTTTTTGTGAATTTGCAACTGATAGCAGTTTCCTGATTTCATCGATGTATCTGAAATGTATAGAAATCAAGTTAACTTAGCAAACTAGTAAAATTTATGAAAACTTTTTTTTTTTGTTCCATGTGTACCTATGTTTCCTAGGCATTAACTCCAATTCTATAAATTTCTTATCAGAGTTTTATCTCCATAAATCAGGCATGGAAAACACCGTATATTTGTTTCATGATCAGTGGTTTCATTATATATCTATATCCATGCACCACCACTGTTCTGGTGTTCTGTATAAGCCTTCAAGTCATCCTTTTCCTGTTGTCTTCTGGCAACTTATGTAAGAAATATTAGTTGATTGTGGCATGAGCCGCTTGACTGATAATTTTTTCTCACAAAATTGCTCTAGCCCTTTGCGCACCTTAGACTATGTTTTTCCCATTTTTCTTTGTTTAGAACTAAATCCAGCAAATAACATAGCTATTGAATATTTAGACAGAACTTCATTCCTAAGTAGGTCACTAGCCTATCTGTTCTCGTTCTTCCATATTTATTTTGTTTTCCTTTGTTTCGATTTAACCTTTTAGAACCTTTACACTAGCCAAGGAGATCACAATGTAATATTTGCTGTTTTCTTTTCATTAGTATTCATCCAAAAATGCCAAGGAATATAATATCTTTGCATGACGACAAGATTTGGTTTTCTATCTAAATGCAATTTTAACTTTTCTTTGACAAACTCTACAAGGCTATTTGATCTAATCTTCCCAAACTGAATTACATAATGCAGGGACTAACTGCTACAGGATTGAAGCGGGATCAAATTTTTATTGGTGATATCAGTTCTCTGTACAAGAGTGGAAAGACAACCGTGGATGTGAAAATTGATACTTATTCAAATGTAATGACGAACAACTTGTCCTTCTGACTACTTTCTAACTTTTTATGAGCTCTAGATATACGCTTATGCTACGGTTTCTAGGAGGCCTTTTCAAGTTGCTAAATTTTCTGTATATACACTGTTCAAGAAAAATAGTCGTTATGTTCAAAGCCAAAGGCAACAAGATTTTACTGAACTTAAACATTTTTCAGGTTTCTACAAAAGTGACCGTGACTGATATCTTACCAACGACCAAGGCCACGTTTAGCTTCAGAATACCTGACCATAAGTCTGGCAAGGTTCGTGAATTGTATGGATACTTTTTTTTCATCAGAAGAAAAAAAATCATGACTGTTGATGTTCGAATTTGAGATAATTGAAAATCAGTCGGACAATCTCCAGTAACGTATGTAGATGAAGAAAATGCCCTTCATTCAATGTATTCCTGGTGTAATGAAGTCCAGTATTGGTGTCTTGAGTCCCTGGTACTCGCTGATCATTGACATGCTCCATTTAAACGTCAGTCTAGCAAAAATCCATTTAGTGTGATATGCCGTTATTTTTTTTCACTTTCAAACATCATTGGACATGTTAGAAAAGCTTGATTCAGAGTATCATATCCTACATTACCTGGGGTATAGCTGCACTGTCAAAATGTTTGCAGCTTTTTATAATGTTAGACCTTGGAATTGTGGGAATCCTGCATATGATCTCTGTACTTGGAGTTACCTGATTTATTAACTGTAAACGGAATACTAACAGGAATTTCATGCTAATGACTTTATGTATGTACTGCATATTGCAGCTGGATCTTCAGTACTTCCATCCTCATGCAGCCATTGATTCCAGTATTGGTCTCCACCCCAGTCCACTTTTGGAATTTTCAGCTGCAATAGGTAGTAAGAATTTTAGTTTAGGTGGTGATGTGGGATTTGATACTACTTCTGCTTCATTCACAAAGTACAATGCTGGAATCAGCTTGAATAAGCCAGACTTTTCTGCGGCTCTTATACTGTAAGTTCTACTTAATCACTAATTGTGGCTCCTAGCACGTGAACAAACTAGTTAATCCTTGCAGCTCATTATAGGTGTTCTTACTCCAAATGATGTCGATATGACTTTGATTTCATTTCCCTATTTCTATCTTGTATTTTAGTGTTGAACTAAAATTTTATCGATGTTGATGCAGAACCGACAGAGGACGGGCTCTGAAGGCATCTTATATTCATTCATTGGATCCCCGTAATGAGACTATGGTAGCTGCCGAAATGACCCACAGGTTCT